TGAGTGTGCGCCTTGACTCGACCGCAAATCTCTCCGAGCTGAAACTTTGGCCGTTATCTCACGCAATGTCTCTGCAGACGTCCCATCGGTCTCTAGGTGGCAGTAAGTGAATGCACACAATGTGTGGAGGAGGAGGAGTGTTTTTTTTATGACAACAGTGGTGTTACTAGACGATGCTTGCTTACCTAGAAAGGTTTTTTTTTCAGGAGGGTCCTGCTAAGATTTCGCGGAAGAGGGCGATGTTGCTCAGTGTAACTCGTTGGTGCTCGACTTGCACGTGAAACTTATTGTAGAATGAGTAGAGAGCTCAATAACAAATTGGCCCCAATATCCCCCCCCCCACCTGCCCTCCAAACAAAACTGTCGTAACAGAGACTTGAAACTCAGTAACGCTTCGATAAAAGTGCATCATTGTTCTCACTGCTAAGTGCATGCCTCTCATTCCCTTATCAGTGCTGCCCACCTTATTACAGACCAACTCAGACCTTACTGGTCACCCCGTGGTGCCCCTTATAAATCTCAACGTTCATCCTACAAAGTCCCATCGCAAGGGACAAACACAAACAAATAGGCACCATTCTCGTTTTGCCCTTATTGAAACGGCTGTACGCCGTATGGACCTGAAAACTAAAATTTCCCTGTGCAGGAGGAATCGGGGATAGACCGTGCGGGTTGACAGGGGGTGACTCCCGACTCCCGGAATCGCAGCGATAGCCGCGTCTACGGTAGCAGTGGAACTGGGGGTTCTTTGGGTGCTACGGAAGATGAGCGGGCAAGTCCGATGGCTCCCTCCTTCTTTGGTCAATCGGGGGAAGCGCTCCTTGAGATCCTCTCGGCAAGGACTGGCCACCCCTGATGGCTCTCCTCTCGGCGGTGACACCACCTCATCCACTTCCTTATCAGCCTCTCGTCGGACTTTTGCTCCACGTAGCACACCACTGTCACTGAGAGTTTACCGTGACAACAACAACAATCCTTGTACAGAGACGCAATACGCCCGCCAATATTCCTCTCCCACGATGATATGAGGCCTGTTACTTTCGTCAATTACCCCCTCAAAATATCGGATGGGAATCACTTTGAGATAAAATCACCATCTTAACACGTTAACATAACTGCTCCTCAGCAACAATATTCACCCAAAATAAATATTTTTATTGATGTAATATTTTAAACGATAGTCAACTACTTCGTTTTTTTAATACGAGCAGACAGCACACATCTATACAGTAAACATACAGAACGATAATCTGTAGTGGTGTCCACTTTAACATTATTTTAAGCCAGCTTCCCCATTGCTGTGCATTCGTCAGACACTAAATTAATCTCCCTATGCCTGTCCTTAGCCCAAATAACTTATATCGCCTTGTAACTCGTGTCATAGATCACATTTAGCCACACACAGAGATCACAAATGAATACAAATGTATGCAGCTGCCCACCCCAAATATTAGGGGTAGTAAATTTTGTTTTAAATGTATGCAACCTGGCAACAACAACAAGGAGGAGGAGCAGGAGGCCGTCAAAGCGACTGAGCCAAGGGCATCACGCGGGGCCTGGACGGAGATTCTCCCGCCTGAGACGGAATATTCGGGGGCTTCCACGATGCATTCGGGAGCGCTGTTTCTGTCCCCGTGACGATACCGCTGAATAAATCCTGTCCTGGGTCCTCCCTGCCCTGTGTACACATTTGTCAATGATCCTGACGTTTTTATCTGACTTCTTCATGGTGCAATGACACCCAAGACTCACGGTTTAAACTGAGGATCCCAGTGGTCCTCAAAAAATATATATATACGGGGACTCCTATACTTCTTAAGAACATTCGACTTCGAAACTCTCAGAGATACGAACAAACCTGACCATATGTCCAGTTGCCTGTTTGGAACGAGATTCGAAAGTTCAACCGCCACGCAATAGATGGTGGTGGTGGCATCTACATCTACACAACGTGAAGAACCAGTGGCGTCTACGTCTACAGGAGATTATACAACTCTTAAAGCCATTCCCTGTGTTTAGTGTACACGCCGTACAACATGTTTGGAATCGACAGGAGTAAAGTTGGACTTACGAACAGACTTCTGGAACCTAACTCGTCCGTAAGTAGAAGAGTCCCTGTATATGGTGGTCACTCTGAACAACGCAGACCCAGCCTCCTTTTTACGATGTTTGGTCCATTAGGACGTTACCAGACGCATCTTTCTGTGCTAACGACCACGCGATACACATTAGACGAGTCACAACAGGTCACGTTTAATACTCTAAACTTGTCTGGAGTAATTCGCATACGGCAGATATTTCTGAAATTTGCAGAATTACATGTCTATGGGAAAGGAACCATGTGTATGGCATTACAAGGGGTGCTTAGGTCGTGTGTGGATGCAGGTTGTTGGCAGTGCCACTGATTAATTAGAATCTTTTTTTTCATCCTGGAGGAATCCAATGAGCTATGAAGCTCTTTTCACATATGTCCAGTAGGGGCAGGGTCAGCGAGGTATGTACAAAAACGATATGAGAGGCAAGATGGAGAAAATGTAAGCATGTTGCTAAAAATACAAAGTACATAGATTCCTGCCGATTTGTCAACAAATGCAAGTTTGGGCAAGCAGCAACACAACAACAGCACCAGACCACGACAAGACAACGCACAGTCCCTCAATTACATTGCAAATTAAAATCGAAAGTTCAATGCGCGATATTTGAAACAGCGTTACTAAATGGCAATATTCCCCTCGAATACCGAATGAATGAGGCTAAGACGTTCACTTAAATCTTTCGTGACTGCAGGAATTAATATTCTTTGGGTCTTTCGGTCAAGTCACGTTCAAAGAAAATAACAAAAAAACTACGACGTTTAAACTGCTTGTGTTGCGATCGAAACGTCGTAGCTTTTTGTTATTTAGTTATTTTATTTGAACCTATCTACGTGACTTTACCGAGATACCCAAAGAATATGAGGTAAGACACTTGCAGTAATGTTCAAATATGCATCGCAAGCCATTCAGAAGTGGTAGGCCTCACGTGACCACAGGGCACTACAGTGGCAATATTAACTACCTCGCCTGGTACGCAGAAGGTCGTGGGTTCAATCCCGACCCTGACGCCTGCTGTATAATTTTGAGGTTGCATGTCTCTCTCCCTCTACATTCAGAATTAACATCACGCGTTTAGAGTATTTGGCCTCTATAAATTTCCATGTGATAAGCCACTTCCTTGAAGCTATCATTTGTGATAAGCAGGTTGCTTCTGAAAAAAAAGCTACATAGCTCCGTGGGGCCTCAAACTGGTAAAATAAATCACAAAAAATAGTTTATACATCATGGGACCTCCTTTGCCAATACCAAAATATGATAATAGGCTTTTCTCCTTTTTTCAGGCAACAAAACAGGTGTTAAGATGTTAAAACACCAAACTGAAACCTTTCACAAGGAATCATGCCCGCATTAACCACACTACTTGCGGTCAGAAGGCTTTGTACGCCTTTTGGCGTCCTCTGGTCTAACACCGTTTGAGACGAGGCTCAAAAGAAAGCTGTCTCTGGTGTGGACCAATCAGTTTCAAGGACAATGCCACATATATTATCAGAGTTTGTTTTTTGTTTGCATTCTGACCACAAGCATTGTGATTAATGCAGACATGATCCTTGTAAAATATTTCAGTTTGGTGTTTTAACATCTTAACACAGCTGTTTTGTTGCAAGAAAAAAGGGGACAAACATATTATAAAAAAAATATAGTTTAGTTTAAAATAGCTGTAGTTTGAGAGTGGCGGTACGGTGGGAGGGAGGGAAAGGGGCATTGCGAGGAGGCGTCGTCGGGAGTGGAATCAGCTGGTGGGAGCATGAGAGTGTTGTAAGTGATGGGGCTGGGGGAGAAGTGGTGGATTTGACGATGTGGAAGCTGTGTCGGTGATGAGGTGTGTGCTTGAAGTGAGGATTACATGGGGAGCGGTGGCGAAGTGGTTAGCGCACCGTGCGACAGAATCCGGCGACCCGAGTTCTATTCCCACTCACAGCCAACATCGGTGACGAGTATCTGAACCGATCTTGGTCCTCTGCTAGGTCTACTCAGCCTTAAAATTAGTACCTGGTTCGGTGAATGGCAGGAGACAAAGGCGGCCGGGCGTGGTGCTGGCCAACCATCCAATCGTGCCAGAACTTTTAAGGTGCTCGCTCTCAGCACCAACAGTCTGATGATGGTTATAGGGGGGGGGGGGGGGGGTTTAGAGGGGTGTGCGACTGATGGGGGTTGTGTGTGTGTGTGGGCGCCACGGTGGTGAGATGTTAACTACCTCGCCTGGTATACAGGAGGTCGTGGGTTCGATCCCGACGCTGATGACGACTGTTGTATATTTGGAGTTTCCATGTTCTCCCCGTGGTCGCGTGGATTTTTCCTCCGTATCTGTCCCCCAACATTTAGAATCAAGGTGCGTTTTGAGTTAGTTGGCTCCTTTAAATGTCCACCTGACGATTAAGCCACTTTGTTGAGCTATCATTTGTGATGGACAGTTCGCTTCTGAAAAACAGCTAAATAACCTTAGTGGGCCTTACCTGGTAAAATAAATATACAAATTTCGTCGTTTAGTAAATAAATGAAGCATTAAGTTCCAATTGCATCAGTACATCAATTCTCAAGCTTGTGAAAGGCAGTAAAACAACAGCAAAAACAGCCACAGTCCACACCAAGACAACATAGAGTGGTTCCTAGGTAAAAAAAAAAATGTACATTAAAACGTAACTATCGCTACATTGTTAATAATTAAAACAAAATATAGTTTTATAAAAGAATTAAAAATATATGTTTTTTTGTTTCCCTTCTACGTGACTTAACCGAAAGAACCAAGAATATGAATCCCTGCAGTCACGAAAGCTTTAAATCAAACTATAGTTTAGTTAACAAAAACATTCGGTTGATAAGGACGTGGGTAGCGATGTGCGATTATTGAGTGGGGGTTTGGGAGTCGCTGAGTGGGAGGAGTGGGAACGGATGAAGCCGGATCTTGCCACGTGCGGCGCTCACCCCACTCAAGCTTCGCGTGGACAGCAACAAACGGAGAATACACGCGGAGAGACGGAGCTCCACCAGGTTGATATCACCACGACACACACACAGCACACACAGCACACACACAGCACCTGCCCAGGGCGGAGGAGAGCGATGATCACCACCAACCCACAGCGCGATCGCCACGACCCTACCCTGTCATCATCACGCGATGCTGCACGGATTGTGCGGTGTTATCAATGAACACGCTCCCTGACACCACTGCACGCGAGCAGTCGGCTGCTCAGTGAACGGAGCTTTTAACGCGGCACGGACCACAGCGAATACTCGGGCTACTCAACTACCTCTGAAACTCAACTACCCCTGTTACTCAACTACCCGGGCTACTCAACTACCTCTGAAACTCAACTACCCCTGTTACTCAACTACCCGGGCTACTCAACTACCTCTGAAACTCAACTACCCCTGTTACTCAACTACCCGGGCTACTCAACTACCTCTGAGACTCAACTACCCCTATTACTCAACTACCCGGGCTACTCAACTACCTCTGAGACTCAACTACCCTCTTACTCAACTACCCGGGCTACTCAACTACCTCTGAGACTCAACTACCCCTATTACTCAACTACCCGGGCTACTCAACTACCTCTAAAACTCAACTACCCGGGCTACTCAACTACCTCTGAAACTCAGCTACCCCTGTTACTCAACTACCCGGGCTACTCAACTACCCGGGCTACTCAACTACATCTGAAACTCAACTACCCCTATTACTCAACTACCCCTATTACTCAACTACCCGGGCTACTCAACTACCCCTGTTACTCAACTACCCGGGCTACTCAACTACCCGGGCTACTCAACTACCCGGGCTACTCAACTGCCTGAGTTACTCAGCAACCTGAGTTACTCAGCAACCTGGGCTACTCAACTACCCGGGCTACTCAACTACCTGAGTTACTCAGCAACCTGAGTTACTCAACTACCCGGGCTACTCAGCAACCTGAGTTACTCAGCAACCTGAGTAACTCAACTACCTGAGTTACTCAACTACCTGAGTTACTCAACTACCCGGGCTACTCAACTACCTGAGTTACTCAGCAACCTTGGCTACTCAACTACCTGAATTACTCAGCAACCTGGGCTACTCAACTACCTGAGTTACTCAACTACCTGAGTTACTCAGCAACCTGGGCTACTCAACTACCTGAGTTACTCAACTACCTGAGTTACTCAGCAACCTGGGCTACTCAACTACCTGAGTTACTCAACTACCTGAGTTACTCAGCAACCTGAGTTACTCAACTACCTGAGTTACTCAACTACCTGAGTTACTCAGCAACCTGGGCTACTCAACTACCTGAGTTACTCAGCAACCTGGGCTACTCAACTACCTGGGCTATTCAACTACCTGGGCTACTCAACTACCTGAGTTACTCAACTACCTGAGTTACTCAACTACCTGAGTTACTCAACTACCTGGGCTACTCAACTACCTGAGTTACTCAACTACCTGAGTTACTCAGCAACCTGGGCTACTCAACTACCTGAGTTACTCAACTACCTGAGTTACTCAGCAACCTGGGCTACTCAACTACCTGAGTTACTCAACTACCTGAGTTACTCAGCAACCTGGGCTACTCAACTACCTGAGTTACTCAACTACCTGAGTTACTTAGCAACCTGAGTTACTCAACTACCTGAGTTACTCAGCAACCTGGGCTACAGCTCCCAGAGTTTCGCACCCGTCGGATTTGGACAGGCGAGAGTTGGACACCGGGGCTGCGGTGAGTGACTCACTTCACACCGCCTTGTTACACACACTGCTGCTGCTGCAGGGTCACTGCTGCTGCTGCTGGGTCACTGCTGCAGGGTCACTGCTGCAGGGTCACTGCTGCAAGGTCACTGCTGCTGGGTCACTGCTGCAGCGAGGGGTCACCGCTACAGCGAGGGGTCACTGCTACAGCGAGGGGTCACCGCTACAGCGAGGGGTCACCGCTGCCGCGAGGGGTCACCGCTACAGCGAGGGGTCACTGCTACAGTGAGGGGTCACCGCTGCCGCGAGGGGTCACCGCTACAGCGAGGGGTCACTGCTACAGCGAGGGGTCACTGCTACAGCGAGGGGTCACCGCTACAGCGAGGGGTCACCGCTACAGCGAGGGGTCACTGCTACAGTGAGGGGTCACCGCTGCAGCGAGGGGTCACCGCTACAGCGAGGGGTCACCGCTGCAGCGAGGGGTCACCGCTACAGCGAGGGGTCACCGCTACAGCGAGGGGTCACCGCTACAGCGAGGGGTCACCGCTGCGCATTTTTACGTGGAACTGTAATACACGACCGGCATCAGTGACCGATGTCTAAAAACCGGTTCCTGGGCCTCCTTAAGGTTGACTCAGCCTTAAACGAGTTCACGCGCTACTTGTGCGGACTGTGGAGAGACAAAGGCAGCCTCTGCTGGACAATGGACCCCCCACCCCACCCCTCCTCGTGTGCCGTCCCGGCCTCAGTACCAAGTCGCTTACTGCGGCATTAGACTGAGAACACCCTGTCCCCAAACAGTCTGTGAGCAAACTCCGTGGTTCTTTCGGTAAAGTCACGTAGACTTTACCGAAAGAGCCAGACAGAATGGATTCCTGCAGTCACGAAAGCTTCAAAGCCAGTTCTGTGAGCAGGGGGGGGTGGTGGTGGTGAAATCTTCCGTCTTTGTGCAGAGTGCAGGATGGGAGAATTCTCGGACCGCATGTACAAGCTGATCTTTATGGGCGACGCCAGTGTGGGCAAGACCAGCCTCATGATGCGACTCTGCCGCAACGAGTTCCGTGCCAACATGAGCTCCACGCTGGGTGATTATTCAATGACTCCCCCCACCCCCCCCCCCCCCCCCCCCCCCCCCCCCCGCCGGAACGTCGCGGCTCAACAATCTGATGCATTTGTACTGCAGGAGGAATCCGAAGAGCTACAAAGCTCTTTGTGTTCTCCGCAGATGTCCGGTAGGGGTTACGGGGTAAGAACGTTACCACAAACAAACGGTACACAAACATCACAGGAGCGCAACAACGTACAAGGCAGGTTAAACGAATCGCCGCAGCACAAATACAACTAAACCATCGCCATCCCATCACAGGCAAAGCGCACTGAGGTTTTATTAACTTGTGTTTCAGAAGCGACAGCTCAATGAAGTGGCTTGTCAATGTACGGCAAATGGATAGCGGCCAATTCATCTAAAACAATCTCAACGCACGTCTCTAAATGTGCAGGGAGAAAGCCGGAGGCTGCCGGACTTGGGGGCAGAGTACAGCAATAAATCCACGCGACAACAAATGAATCATTCATAATAAAGGTTTTTGGGTTAGATCGCGTTTAATTATAAATGTGTCGTAACCCTCCACCACCCGACACGGCCAATCAGCAAAAAAAGTGTCACGTTGACAAAAGACAAATAATTCACTACTTTAGCCCACCGGTGTGTTGAAGAGTGAATCCACATTTACAGTTTGAGTACGACATTTCGCTGGTAAATACATCCAGCATCATCGGGCAATTCGCCAGAATGGTAAAGCCCTCGCTTGCTCCCGGTTTTATATAGAGCAGCAGGGTGATGTCATCACTTAACTCATATCAGGTGCAGTGATTAGAGGCGGAGGGGGGGTATTGTAATTATATAATCGATTAGTAATCAGTCATTGGTTATGATTAGTAATGAGTTGTAGATTAGTAATTCTTTAAGTCAAAATGTAATGTGTATTATTTAATAATACGCTTCCAGGCCGCACTAAGCCTGTAGCTGTCAGAGTGATTAAAGTTATTCTTGTTCCTCTCAATTTCAATGGATTCTCTAATTAGTCTTTGCCAGTAATAATTAGTTTTACACACCACTGCAACATTGTCAAAATCAATTGAGTGTCCTTGTTGACAAGCATGTTCTGCCACTGCCGACAGTTGTGTTTGAGATAATTTAATATTTCTCTGATGTTCTTTTAGTCTTACGCTGATGTTACGTCCCGTCTGCCCAATGTAGCAGCTGCCACATAAACAATTAATCCGATATACACCTTCTGTTGATAATTTAGGTAATGCGTCTTTAGTGCAAGATAAATTGAGAGGAACAAGAATAACTTTAATCGCTCTGACAGCTACAGGCTTAGTGCGGCCTGGAAGCGTATTATTAAATAATACACATTACATTTTGACTTAAAGAATTACTAATCTACAACTCATTACTAATCATAACCAATGACTGATTACTAATCGATTATAAAATTGCAATACCCCCTCCCCTCCGCCTCTAATCACTGCACCTGATATGAGTTAAGTGATGACGTCACCCTGCTGCTCTATATAAAACCGGGAGCAAGCGAGGGCTTTACCATTCTGGCGAATTTCCCGATGATGCTGGATGTATTTACCAGCGAAACGTCGTACTCAAACTGTAAATGTGGGTTCACTCTTCAACACACCGGTGGGCTAAAGTAGTGAATTATTTGTCTTTTGTCAACGTGACACTTTTTTTGCTGATTGGCCGTGTCGGGTGGTGGAGGGTTACGACACATTTATAAATAAACGCGATCTAACCCAAAAACCTTTATTATGAATAATATTGGTCGTGAAAGCCTACGTGTTACACCGAAATGAATCATTGACGGAAGGCGAAACCCATGAAGCCGCTAGGTTTTTATTTTGACAGAGGCAACCGAGGCTCTGTGTTGTGGACCCTGAGATGTCCCTAAACAAATATATAAATATACAAAACCTTCGACGCATCGGAATCTCGCGTCGTGTGCGCCAGGCGTCACCGGAGCGCCGAGCGATGCCGGCGATGCGTTTCGAGAGGACTCCGGCTGCTGTGCCAAACACCCCCCCCCCCCCCTCTCCCCTCCCAGACACGGTCCACGTGCTGACAAGCCAGCCACTTCGTTGACGCGATCATGTTGCGATGGCCTGGTTGCTTTCTTCTGAAAAAAGAGCTGCATTTAGCTCAGTGGGGGCCTCAACCTGGTAAAATAAATAAAAACACGTTAATACGCATAAAAACACCGTGTAGTCACCAACTCACGGACACGCTCGATGCGCTTTCAAAGCGCGTTTTGGTTCGTGGGACGATCCAATTTTTGTTGGTGGCAAAGTCATCCAGCTCGCCACACGGCTGTGTGTGTGTCTGTGTGTGTGTCTGAGTGACTGTGTGTGTGTGGGGAGCGGTGGTGTAGCGGTGAGCGCTACGCTGCGCTACGAACCTGGCGACCCGGATTCGATTCCCACTCACGGCCAACACCCAGTGACGATTATCTGAACCGGTCCTGGGTCTCCCCTAGGTCGACTCAGCCTCAAATGAGTACCCGGTGCGATGCGTAAACATCGCCACTAGGGAGACAAAGGCGGCCGGGCGTGGTGTTGGCCACCCACCCCTTTCGTGTGCCGTGCCAGCCTTTATAGGTGTTCGCTAACAGCACTTGCCCCTACAGTCTGTCAAGGCTATACGGGGGATCTTTGTGTGTGACTGTGTGTGTGTGTGTGACTGTGTGTGTGTGTGTGACTGTGTGTGTGTGACTGTGTGTGACTGACGCAGGCGTGGACTCGCACGTGAAGACCGTGACTATCAACGAGAAGCAGCTGACCCTACAGCTGTGGGACACCGCTGGCCAAGAAAGGTGGACGCACTGCCAGTCGGCATTCACGCGTGTGGCAATTTCGAGATTATTATTATTACGTACAGCAGTTCTTTTTATATAACACGTGAATAATTAGCAGAAAAATGATTAGCGTATATATGTGATTAGCAGCGTGTTTGGAAAACCATGTGAACAATTAGTGGTGTTTTTTTTCTTTCGAAATTGCCACACGTGTGTGTATATATGTGTGTATTTATATATACACACGTGTGTGTGTACATGTTATGGATTGAACAGAATTTGAAGAGGGCTTCAAGGCCACGTAAACAAAGTCAGAGGGGCGTGACCAAGAGCACGGCTCTCGTATCCTGGCAGTGGCTGCGTCCTCCGTGGAGAGTCCGGGAGAGTGTGGGAGAGAGAGTGGGGGAGAGTGGGAGAGTGGGAGAGAGTGTGGGAGAGAGAGTGGGGGAGAGTGGGAGAGTGGGAGAGAGTGTGGGAGAGAGTGGAAGTGTGGGAGAGAGTGTGGGAGAGAGAGTGGGGGAGAGTTGGGGAGAATGGGAGAGAGTGTGGGAGAGTTGGAGAGAGTGTGGGAGAGAGAGTGGGGGAGAGTGGGAGAGAGAGTGGGAGAGAGAGTGGGAGAGAGTTGGGGAGAATGGGAGAGTGTTGGAGGGTCCGGGAGGGTCCGGGAGAGAGTGCGAGAGTGTGGGAGGGTCCGGGAGAGTGGGAGAATGGGAGAGAGTGGGAAAATGTTGGAGAGAGTGGGAGAGTGTTGGAGAGTGGGAGAGAGTGGAAGAGAGTGGGAGAGAGTGTGGAAGAGAGTGGGAAAGTGTTGGAGAGTGGGAGAGAGTGGGAGAGTGTGGGAGAGTGTGGGGGGGTCCGGGAGAGTGGGAGAGTGTGGAAGGAAGTGGGAAAGTGTTGGAGAGTCCGGGAGAGTGTGGAAGAGTGTGGGAGAGAGTGGGAGAGTGGGAGAGTGTGGGAGAGTTTGGGAGAGTGTGGGAGAGTAGGAGAGTGTGGAAGAGAGTGGGAAAGTGTTGGAGAGTCCGGGAGAGTGTGGGAGAATGGGAGGGTCCGGGAGAGTGTGGGAGAGAGTGGGAGAATAGGAGAGTGTGGGAGAGTGGGAGAGTCCGGGAGAGTGTGGGAGAGTGGGAGAGTGTGGGAGAGTGTGGAAGAGTGTGGGAGAGAGTGGGAGAGTGGGAGAGTTTGGGAGAGAGTGGGAGAAGGTGGGAGAGTGTGGAAGAGTGTGGGAGAGAGTGGGAGAGTAGGAGAGTTTGGGAGAGAGTGGGAGAATGGGAGGGTCCAGGAGAATCCGGGAGAGCGCTCACCACGCTGCTGTTGCTGACATCGAGTGGCTGTCACGAGGAACTCCCGTGAGGCTTTCTCCTCGCTCCCCGACGATTTGATTACGTCTGTACGTACGTATGTGTGTACGTTGACCGTCTTTCGCACCGTACGTAGCCGAACGTGCACATCGGAGGCGCGGGGAAGTTTTAGCTGCGTCGTCGGGTGGCGGAGGGTTCCTCGACACAAATTTGGCCCGATAATTACGTGGCCTGTGACCGTCGTGGAGGTCACCGCTCAACCCCCGAGGGAGGGTTGCCAACTCTGACTGAAGCTATTCAGGGGGTGTGGGGTGGGGGGGTTGTTAATTTATCTTATTAAAATATCCTGAATCAAAATCTCCCCGATTGCTTTCAGTGGCCGCCGGTGTGAGATCGATCGATCGATCGATGCCAGTTCCGCGGAGTAACAGACTCCCGGCCAATGCTGCCGGGAGGAGAGTTGGCAACCCCCCCACAACCACCACCGCCGCCGCCACCACTCGGCACGCAGCTTGGTGGTGTGCGGTTGTTGAGGCCTTCGCTGACCACCGCAACGCGGTGCCCCATCCACCCCATCCCACAGGTTCCGCAGCATCGCCCAGACGTACTTCCGCAGGGCCGACGGAGTCCTGCTCGTGTTCGACTGCACCCACGAGGGATCCTTCCTCAACGTGCGAGAATGGCTCCTCGCCGTGGAGGTACAAAACGCCCGCGGACGCCGCTCCTAAAATCCCGAGCGACTTTCTCCTCCCGGCCTCCGCTGCCCCCAATCCCTTGCTCGCCTCTAAAAATGTGTTTTTTTTTGTTGCGTACAATTTTTTTTACAAGTTTTTATTTTGTATTTTACCCAGGTAAGGCCCCACTCAGCTGTAGAGCTCCGCGACAATTCAGTTCTCGCCTGGGTGAAAAGAAAAAAGAACGGGGAGAATTCAACTTGAAAAATCAAAACCATCGCACCGACAGCATTGGGCGGAATCCTATACGAGAGGCACACACTGCAGCAGCTTCAGGAAGACCTCTGGACCATGCTTTAATGTCTCTGTGCGAGAAGCATCTTCTCCCGCTGAAATGAAAACAAAGTTGACGGTTATACAGGGCACGTTTTCAAACACCCGCGGTAAAATTCAAGTGTGTACACAATTAAACTATGTAAACTTTTTTCTTCTTGGTTCTTTCGGTAAAGTCACGTAGAATGAGAATAAAACAATGAAACAAAATAAGACAATAAAATTCTCACGACGCTTCGGCCACAACACAAGTAGCCTTCTTCAGGTGAAGGAACAGAACTGTCGGGACGACAGGTAAGGCCGACTGAGAGCTATTAGCTCTTTTTCGAAAGCGAGCTGGCCATCACAAACGATAGCTAAAACGAAGTTGCTCATCGTTATGTGGACATTTATAGCAGCCAAAGACTCCAAAGAAGTGGTTCTTAACCTGGGCTGCACGCACCTCCTGGGGGTGCGAGATGCCCTTTCTGAGAACCAAAGGGGCACAAGGCTGCAGGGAAGGTGAAGAACCACTGCCCTCGGCGAAACGTTTCAAAATGTGGCGGGGGAAACACGGAGCACCCGGGGAAAAATCCACGCGACCACGGGGAGAACATGGAAACTTCAAATATACAACAGTTGTCGTCAGCGTCGGGATCGAACCCACGACCTCCTGTAGGTAGTTAACATCTCATAGCCACCGTGATAATGATGATGATAATGAGAGAGACACACACAAACTCCAAATATACATCAGCAGGCGTCAGAGTCGGGATCGAACCCGTGACCTGCTGCATACCAGGCGAGGTAGTTAACATCTCCTAGCCACCGTGATTATAATGAGAGAGAGATACTGCAAAGTACAAATATACAGGAGGCGTCAGGGTCGGGATCGAACCCGTGACCACCTGCATACCAGGCGAGGTAGTTGACATCTCGCTGTGGTTTTCACACCTGATGATGAACATTTTCTTGCTGTGGTTTTCACACCTGATGATGATTGCTTGTGTTGCAGTCGAAACGTCGTGAGAATTTTATTGCTTTATATTTTCATTATTTTATTGTTTCCCTTCTACGTGACTTTACCGAAAGAACCAAGAATATGAATCCCTGCAGTCGCGAAAGCTTTAAATCAAAAGTGGCAATTGTTGTATCGACGCCGGAAGGAGGGACGACAGGCCGAGTCAAACCCCCAAGCAGAATTTGAATTCGCAACCTCCCCGATTGAGCAGTTGTCGTTGGCCGTAATGTTCCTCCTCGGTCTGCCACTCCATCGCGAGTCCCGGACCCGCTGCGGCCAGCCACCGTTCCTTCGAGCGACGCGCCCTGCGCTCTCGCGGTTCCTGCCGGCGACGAAGGCTGCGACCGAGAGCCCTCCGCTCCGCTGTTCCTCGTCGCGGGCAATGTTTCGGCACCGCATCGGAGCGGGCGGTCCAGCACCGATTCGCGGCGCTCGTCTTCTTCGGGCCCATCGGCACGATGGCTCTTCGTGAACACGTGCGGCTTTTCAAGAGCGCTTGAGCCCACTACTTGTTTGCGTCTGTGTTTCCTTTCGACGCTGAGCTGCATTCAATGGTTGCCCTCGGTGTACGTACATCTTCGGCCGTGGTCCCATATTGTGCCCCCCCCCTCCCTCCCCCCATTGATTTAGCAGGGTGCTAAGTATCCGCTATTTGCAATGGCCAGCGCTAAACTTAGCGTTCGCATCGGCGATAATTAACAAAAGCACACTGTGTTTATACTCACCGAACATGGCCAGACCTGGCGTGTTGTTGTCAATGATTTTACTCGGCTTGTTTACCCAGGAGAGACTCTCAAGTCTCAGGAGGTTCCTGCAAAGTTGTTTTGGAGTGAGGATCAACAGTTTCCTCTGCATAATCCCAACTGAGCAAATTCGAAGCGCAAATTTTTGTATCGTAAAAATTTTGTGCAATTTTGGAGCGCGACGCCGACACGCAACGGCCTCACCCCCAACCCCACCCCCCGTTGCGGATTCACGTCGCGGGCGTGGGAATATCTCCTCGACGTCCACCACGAAGCGGGCGCACCGTCACGGCCGATACACGCCGCAGCATCGACCTGCGGGAGGCCGCTCGATTCGAAGCGGGCGAACATCCGCGGACGAGCGGCGCAACGTGCCGCGCGTCACCGCCCGCGCCGATTGTGGTCGCCCCCAGGACGCTGCTGGGCGGAAGCTGCCGACCGTGCTGGTGGGGAACAAAGTGGACATGCGCGACACGTGCCTCAAGTACGGCAAGAAGTGCGTCATGCCGGAGGACGGGAAACGCCTGGCCAAGGTACGTGCGTAGAGCTTCTTAAGCGGCGTACCAAGGCGGCCGCGCTAATCGGAGGCGCGCGGGCGAAGGACAACAACGTAACGCGAAAAGCGGCTTCGAAGAAATGCGTTTTCAATCTTGATGATTATTTGAACGTGCGTAGCTCGAGTGGACTCCTAGGGTGAGCGTTCCAGACGGCCGCAGAGGAGCACCTGAAGGTGTGCGATAATTAATTATTCATCGAATGTACAATGCGCATTCCATCCTAGGATCCCAATGCGCAGTGCATGGAAAGCAGGAAACAAAAACAGAACCAGGGGGCAACCGACCAAACTAGAGAGGCAAGGCCACTTTAAAGAGATGGGTTTTCAAAGCAGACTTAACACATTCTCCTGCGGAGGGAGCTGGTAGGAACGTTGGGTTGCTCGGTCAATGGCCAGGGTCAACGGCGGCACCACGTGGTGTATTCCGCACAATATGCCCGACTGTGAGGGTGGGCACAAGCCGACTTGAGTGGGTTAAACGTTGAGTTTTATAAGGGCACCACGGGGTGACCAGCCCCTCCCCACCCAGCCCCTCCCCTCCCACCCCCCAGCCCCTCCCCACCCTTCCCACCCAGCCCCTCCCCACCCTCCCCACCCAGCCCCTCCCCACCCTCCCCACCCAGCCCCTCCCTCCCCACCCAGCCCCTCTCCACCCAGCCCCACCCCTCCCATTTTTGGATGCACGACGGACGGACACAATAATCCCCTGATTTCAAGTGGCAAGGCGTTCCATAGCCTGGGTGCCACGCTAACAAAAGTCCGATCGCCAAAAGAGCGCAACCTCGAACTGAGAGTTCTGAGCAGTTGTAGATCAGAAGATCTTAAGGACCTTGATGGAATGTATCAATGTATTAGTTCCTGCAAGCAATGTGGGGTGAGCCCTTTTAAAGCCTTATAGATGCGATGCAGCGACCGTATTTGTTCGATGGTCATACGCACATTCGTGTTCTGGCAAGTGCTGGTATAGCATAGCCGTCGCATACCGGGAAGGTTCCACCATTGTCTGCATCAGTGACCGTCTTCGTTCGAGCGATCAACTGATCGTGAAGCTCACGGGAGGGCGACAATCCTGAGTTTCTCTGCTGCCCAAACTCTCCAGGCCCCAGCGAACCTTTCACGAGTCGCCCGAGCACATCGTTAAGTAGGCAGGGAGACTTCACTTGCATTTCAAGTTGTCCTTGAATGTTCACATTTTGGAACGGTAGCCACTCCGATATGTTTCATATTTTTTTCCGTAACTTAATTGTAGTTGTACTACGACTGGTTGAAATAAACCGAAATTGCCCTACAGGGAATGTGTTCGGGATAAAACCCACGGCATCCTGTATACCAGGCGAGGTAGTTCAGATTGCGCTACCGTGGAGCATGATGATTCTATGACTGTGAAATGTGTTCTCAGGAATACAATGCGATCTACATTGAGACGAGTGCAAAGCAGGGCACGAATGTCCAAGACGCGGTGGAGTTGCTTGCCAAGTGAGGATTACGCCTTCTGTAACACCTCCTACCCTTTGGTCACGAACAAGATTTGCATATCAACAAGATAACTTACCAATACGAGACATCTCCTTCACATATCTGTCCCTCCACATTAAATAAGTGGGGAGGTTTTTTTGTTGTTGTTGTACACATCCCATCAGTCGCACGGCCTTCCGCGAGTGCGTAATTTCAGCGGCATTCGTCAAATGCCGAGCAGAACTGCTGCGCTGGCTTCGACATTCGGCATCTCACCAAGAGTTTGCGACGCTTCACGAGAATGCGAGAGTTGATCAAGTTGCGAGTCGCCGTTTGCCTGGCTGCTAGCAGCTTCGTTACACCACGCTGTGCGCGCGAGCTGTTGCTGCTGTCGTGAGCTATCAGTGCGTGGCGCTGCGTGATATTGTGTGCTGCGTGTGCTGTGGTGTGTGCTGTGGTGTGCTGCGTGTGCTATGGTGTGCTGTGTGTGCTGTGGTGTGCTGCATGTGTGCTGTGGTGTGCTGTGGTGTGCTGCGTGTGTGCTGCGTGTGCTGTGGTGTGCTGCGCGTGTGCTGTGGTGTGCTGCGTGTGTGCTGTGGTGTGCTGCGCGTGTGCTGCGTGTGTGCTGTGGTGTGCTGTGGTGTGCTGCGTGTGTGCTGTGGTGTGCTGTGTGCTATGGTGTGCTGTGGTGTGCTGCGTGTGTGCTGTGGTGTGCTGTGTGTGTGCTATGGTGTGCTGCATGTGTGCTGTGGTGTGCTGCGTGTGTGCTGTGGTGTGCTGTGGGGAGCGATTGCCGCTCACCGGCAACACCGGTGACGATTACCTCCACCGGTCCTGGGCCTCCCCAAGGTTGGCTCAGCCTTAAATGAGTACTCGGTGCGGAGTGTAAACATCGCCATTGGAGAGACAAAGGCGGTCGGGCGTGACCCTGGTCACCCAACCCCCTCGTATACCGTTCCGACCAACAGTCTGTTAAGGCTATAAGGGCGATCTTTGTCTTTGGTGTTCTGTGTGTGATGATGGTGTGTGTGGTGACGCTGTGCGCGTTGTGCTGCGCGTGTGATGACTCTACGTGGCGTGGTGCCACGTGTGTGATGATGCTGCTGCGCGTGTGATGACTCTACGTGGCGTGGTGCCACGTGTGTGATGATGCTGCTGCGCGTGTGATGATTCTACGTGGCGTGGTGCCACGTGTGTGATGATGATGCTGCTGCGCGTGTGATGATTCTACGTGGCGTGGTGCCACGTGTGTGATGATGCTGCTGCGCGTGTGATGATTCTACGTGGCGTAGTGCCACGTGTGATGATGCTGCTGCGCGTGTGATGACTCTACGTGGTGCCACGTGTGATGATGCTGCTGCGTGTGTGATGACTCTACGTGGTGCCACGTGTGTGATGATGCTGCTGCGCGTGGCGCTGCTCAGGCAGGTGCTGGCTGCGGACATCGCGGAGACGAAGGCGATGACTCTGCAGCTCGGAGGCGACGTCTCCGTCGACGGAGCCAAGGGCCGCTCCGGCTCCTGTTGCACCCCGGCGCCGGCCTCCACGTGAGCCCGTCCTCACCGCACGTGCGCCGAACGCGTGTGTGCGGTGAGGACGTCCTCACCGCACGTCCTCACCACGCACACGCGCGTGGTGAGGACGTCCTTACCACGCACACGCGCGTGGTGAGCACGTGCTCGCCAAACACGCGTCGAACGCGCGTGCCCCGGCGTCTACGAGGGGGCGGTCACGGCACATGGCACGCGTGCGCCAACTTGTGAACAGACGCAGCAACGCGGGCGAATCTCCCCACTCCGGCCATCACGGCAAGGGAGGAGGGGAGGGGTGACACCTGGACAGGAGGCGACTCAAGCCCACGTGACTCACGCTCCCTTCGCATCGCCCCGTCTGTGGCATATCCAACAAACGCGACACATTCGTCAATCACGCCGCCATGCCCCCTCCGCACCCACCAAAATAAATAAATGTCAGGTGACGTTTCGGCCAATGATCCTTCTTAATTTAACTGCCAAGCCAGCGTGTTTCACACACTATAGTATTCCTTTTTTTTTTACAAAGTAAGCAAAGATACGTATACGATTTTACGGAGGTCGCGCGTACATTTATATGCCGTTCATAGTTGTAACATGGGTGTTAGGCAAAGCAGAAATGTGTGTATTTATGAAATAGACCAATATAACCTCATTCAGTCTTAACTGATAATACAATTTTAAAAAACATCACGACCAAATTGTCGCAAGTCGTCGTCTTCGTCTCTGTTGATGTTTCTTTTTAAAGCTGTATTTTCTACAATAAATAATACATTTCGTTTGTACCAGATCACCACGTAGGTATAATGTCACTTTTCCGCCATAACCGTGCACCACCCGACAGAGCCATGTGATCATTGCAAGTATAAGCGCTGCGTACGATTACTGAAGAAAAATGTAGCCGGCTCCGTTGGGTGTTGGGAGAGCGGCATTCTACCTACACGACAATCTGACGCAAAAGAAACTGATTACGAATCGTAAATGTTGGGTCACGAAAGCCTATGCGTTAAAAATAAAAGTGAAATATCCCAACTACGCGAGGTTCTCAAGCGCCCAAAGTCCCTCCCCCTCTCCCTGCGGTTGTTCCGAAACCATCGGCGGCATTGTACCGGGCTTGCGCGCCGCTTACCACGATACAAATGTAAAAGTTTAAAGTAAAAATAAAGCACAGAAGCGGGGCAACACGGCGTCCCAACAGCTGCAACTAAAAGCAGGCGTCACGGGAAGAGTCTCCTGGTCGCGGTCTAGGAAAGGCGGCGACGAAGACAGACGGGAAGAGGTTAAAAGGGGTCAAAGGTGATGGCGTTCGGCGCGAGCGGGCAACACCGGTGGCGAGTCATCACGAGGCGATGGAAGTCTTCCAATGGTCCGGGTTCCAGTTCGTTTTGTTTTTGTCCCGGGCGAGAAGAGGGGTGGAAAAGGAGAGCGTGGCCGAGTCTCAATCGCCAAGGACGTTGACCCGTCGTCTAAATGACAGAAGCAAACGCCGTACGGCCAACGAGGTGGAACGGAAAATCGGCGCAAAAAACAACGCTCGCGTATGGGAACAAATACTGCAAACGTGTAACATTGTTCAATCAAGGCTGAATATTAAAATCCCTGCAGCACAAATCGGCTCGGGCAGATCACCTCCAGCTTGATCACAGCACAGAGTTTACAAAACTAAGCAACGGAAGCATCAAACGTGAAACAGATAGAGATCGAACCGTGCCAACAAACACGGGCACATTTATCATTAAAAAAACAAATCCAGTTTAGCATGAAATCAGCGATCCCTGTGACAGAGCTCCGAGACCGTGGGGAGGCATTGATACCTGGAGAGGTCCTCGTGGGGGAGAACTGCATTGCGGTCAGCGGCCGCAGGGCAGGTGAGGAAGCGGATGTCTCGTGTGGTCGTTCTGACCACGTGGGCGACTAAGACCCCGTGGCGCCAACCGGAGGAGACGCAGGGGACCTCGCGTGCACCTGCTGCGTTTGAAAGCCACGTGGTGGCCTCCACTCTGGTCGTGCGTTGCCGTGGCCGCGACCGCCGGGATAGGCTCCCCCCACCGTTCACGCTGCCGCACGGACCTCGACGTGTTTGGCGTGCGGGAGACGACCGAAACGTGCGTGCGTGCATCGTTCACAGCCGGTGACTGTGCCGAACACAGCCGGAGACCCCCGCCACGTATTTACCAGTTCAATGGTCCGACAGGAAAATAATTTCCTGCAAGCGCATTTTCTGGGTGCAATGCCGTCCCCAACTACGCACAACTTTAATAGTGATGATAATTCCAACTTGTTGCGTGCACAGAATTCGCTTGCTCTCGAAAGGGAGAGAATGCCTCAGAGGCGCGAGGAACCGCAGACGAGTGGGAAGGCAGCCACGCGGTGAGCCAGTGCCAATTCTCCCCCCCCCCCTACCCAAAGCTCTGTGGTTCTCTATATATGAAGGTGTTACATGTGGGAGGAAACCGGAGCAACCGAAGAAAACCAACGCGTGTGAGGGGGCAACACTCGATCCCGTATAAAAAGGGACAGGTGATATTCATTCGCACTTTGCTGTACCACCTTCTCCTGGCGAGCCAGAGTATGGCTCCTTCTGTGACGCCCAATGGGAAGGGGGTTTCACAGCATCTGTGTGATCCACCATTCCTCGATGCCTCCACGGTTTTGGATTACAGGCTACGTGCATAGCCACCACCGCCCGGCCAGTGTTGTGCCGGTGTACCTGCTCAGGAATATTGACTCCATAGGTTTAGTGATTTAAGGAGAACTGTCTTCTCCGTTTGAACTTCCAAACCCTATTAAAGACGCCTGCAGTATTGCACATTCCGCACCGCAGCAGACAAAATGTATTCACGCCGTTTAAAAGCAGCAGCCCGTCGCCAATCACTCGATCGCGATCCAAGCGACGGATCGCAAAAGATGTTTTTGGGAACTTTAGGGCAAATCGGAACAAAAACTAAAACATAAAAGTGGCACACAATTCTCATTTTGGCTGATGGAAAAGCAAAAAATCCCGGACTAAGAATTCATAAAAAAAGGATTATATTGTGCCAATAGAAGGCTCTGGGTACCTTACAGGGATTAAATCCAGGTGTGGTTGGTCTGAGCTTTCTTGTTGATCACAGCGCTTGGAGTATTTGCCACTGCTGGTTTCATTTCTTTAACGAAGCAATTTTAAATGTAGACGTTTAAATAAAATCCGTCACGAAACGATAGCCTTGTAGCTCACATCCACACAGAGTCGGCATATCTTTTAAAACAAACGTGGGATATTTTATTGTGTAAACTTAAAGGGATTCGCTAATACTTTACGCGCATTGTTTCCCTGCACGACAATTTAACCCGACGCTTCAATAACTTTCTCTCGCACACTTTGAATGTGTCTCCAACGATAACATTAGTGTAAAAATCATCAAATCATCAAATCCGGGAGAAAAAAAAAGTGGGGCTTCAAACAGGTGAGCTGGAAAAACTCGTCTCAAGTATGAGCCGCATGTGGGCGGCTAAAGCTTGGTGTGATTAATACAATGAGTGTAGGCGACTTTGAAAACCCACTTTTAACACATTTCACCATTAGGTTTCTAGAATGCGATTCAAACACATGTCAGACCACCCAGAATGGCACCCTATAGTGTTCAATACCAGTGACGTATCCCTGGAAAAAAGTCTAAAAACTTCAAAGACGATCAAACATTCGGGGTCAACCAACTCCGCCGTCCCAAATTCCACCGTGTAGTAACTTATCATGCCAGCCGGACTTAATCGGGCTTAATGCGTAGTGTTTCATCGGACTGATAGTTAAATGTTATAAATCGTCACCGCGGCTCGATCTTAATGTTGACAGCTTGTGGGCAGAGGAGTGCCAACGATTCAAAGTCCCAAAGCACTGTGGCACGTCGCACCGATCGGCAGTCCAGGAATAACCGACCATTAAAACGAAAAACGTTAAAAGTAACACAGTGCAAAGGGAAGTAAAAATAATGCCAACTTGTAACGCAGTATTAACTTACTCTGGAGACGCCAGGACGAACCGCGGACGAGTGGGAAGGGCAGCAGCAGCAGCCACCGCCACATTCCCATCCGAGCTCTGCAGTCCTCTACATACGAAGATCTTATCGACAAATTAATGAGCGTTTACGGGTAAGAAGGAGACCGCAGCACCCGGAGAAAATCCACGCGTGGCGAGGGGGCAACACGAGATCCCGTCCGTTATATTCATAACGGACGGAACGGGTGGAGTCCACGTTTGCCGTACCGCCCCCTTCTCCTGGCGAGCCGGGGTATGGCATCTCCTCGATGCCCACGTGGAGGGGGGCCGTTTCACGTCGTCCGTGTGTCCGCCATACCCTCTCTCCCTCCACGGTGATGGGTTACAGGACACGTGCGTGGCCACCATTGGCCCGGCTAACACAGCGCGACGCAACCACGCTTGGTCCATGGAGTGAGCACCAAGTATGGCGGGAAGCTCACGAGTTCGCAAGCGTCCAGGAGACTTTCCGAGCCGTTGGAATGTGTGGGAGTTCAAGTCCGGGTTGAGGATTTACTTCATCCTTTCAGGGTCGACATCAGTTTTGTGGGACATTTTTTTGATGAGTGGTTGTCCTGCGGAGAGACTCGACCCCGTCGTAGGAATGTGGAGTGTCCACCACCAGATTTGTAAACTTGAGCAGGAAACCACTTTGACATTTGATGACTTTGCGCGGTACATTTAAATACAACAAATGCGTTAAAGACAGATATTGTGCATACACATTTTGATTATAAGCAGACGACTGCGCGGAAAAATCTCAAGATTTACCCAAACGGGATGCACACCACACCATTTGAGGTAACAAACACATTGCATTGTTGTAAAGGAAATATAAAATAACGATATTAGAAAGCAACGTCTCTTCTGCTGGTCCCTACGATTTGAAACATTGTTGTATAAAGTAATATATATACTGCACTGTGCGCAAGCAACTACATAAGCGTGAGTGCCAAGAACCCCCCGTGTTCGGCATCACGATAATGGCGGTGGTGGGCAAGTTAGGATTTGTTCACCCATCGGCGACATTTTTTGAAAGCTCGCAGACCTATTATTATTATTTACTCACATTCTCCCTTCAGATCGGGGTCACAAATCGGCGAGGGTAAACCACCTTCGCATCGTGGTTCGCGTACGAGCGTTACGTGGAATGTACCTCTATGGAGCCACGACACTGTCACACCGCGCTCCTGTAAAAACCAAAAAAAACCGAACGTGACGATGAAGCGAAGCCGAAACGCGGTGGGGTTGTTCACGTGGGACGGCGCTTTGGGCCGCTTCTGCCCCTGGCTCAGATGCGGTGGCGATCAACCAGCACGTCCACGTACTGGCTGGTGGCTCGGGCAACGGGGTCTCGCTCCCAAGCGTCGCCAGCCGCCCCCAGCGGGGAGAATCGTTGGGATGCCCCGTCCAGCTCCGCATGGGCTGCAACAGACAACGATGGTGGTGATGATGATGATAACAATAATAACGAATAGTTTTTTCGTAGAGGCCAAGCCGATTTATGCCGGTTTGCGTTGGCATCACTGTCAACGCAGCAGCAGCAGGATCATTGAATAGTTTGGGTAAAAACGGACATTTGTAGAGAAACATTAGTTTAGGGCAGTGTTCTTAACCTTTACTGCAGCCTTGGACTCCTTTAGTTCTCAGTCTTAAAAACCATGTGCAATGTCAATGAATACACAGTTTGATGACACAAAGTAGCTGTTATATTCTTGGTTCTTTCGGTAAAGTCACGTAGAAGGGAAACAATAAAATAATAAAAATATAAAACATTGTTTGTCATCAAACTCTGTGTATTTATTAACATTACATATATATTCTTGGTTCTTTCGGTAAAGTCATGTAGAAGGGAAACAATCAAATAATACAAATATAAAACATTGTTTGTCATCAAACATTACACGTGGTTTTTAAGATTGAGAAGCAAAGGAGTGCAAGGCTACAGTAAAGGTTAAGAAAAAAACCCAATGTTTTATGTTTTTATTATTTTATTGTTTCCCTTCTACGTGGTGACTTTACCGAAAGAACCAAGGATATGAATCCCTGCAGTCATGAAAGCTTTAAATCAAAGAGTAGTTGTTACTTACCTGCCCGTGCTTAATTTGTGTTTTCAAATATTTACCTTCTAGCAAAATCTGGCCAGGTCTCACACCCCCCAGAAAGGGCATCTCGGACCTCCAGGGGGTGTGTGCACCCCAGGCTAAGAACCACTGGTTTACAGTATTTGGCTGCTATAAATTTCCATGTGATAATCCACTTCGGTGAGCTATAATTTGTGATGGCCAGGTCGCTTCTGAAAAAAGAGCTATTCAGGTCAGTGTGCCTTACCTGGTAAAACAAAAAAAAAGTTTAGTTTTAGTTTAACCACGTGGTCAGTGCCCTCTACTCAAGTCTTCTTCTTCGCGTGGCTGATGCTGATGTGGAGCAACAACTCACACTTTTACATTGAGGTGGTCGAGCCAGATAATTGCATCAGGAGTAGCGGAGTGGTGCATCTCTCTGAAAATGCCTCCTCCTTCCTATCTATGAATCGGGCATTGGTTCCGTTATGGGTCACAACACAGTAGCCGCAAAGTTTCTCATTTTCAATTTGTGCATCATCAAGTACCACCGCATCTGCTGCTGCCATGATCTGCGCAGTTGGGTGCAATTTAGGAGTCGTGGCCATACGCTTGTGTGAGGTCTGGTCCTTCCCGCGGTGTTTCAACTCTCGTGACCTAGCAGAGGTACGACTGCTCTACGCGCATCTACCCAAGCCGTTCACGCAGTTGGCGGAGTGACGTCACACTCCTGACCCTCTCCGCACTCCCCGAAATATTATCAGACTGCATTATTTTTTTAAAGTTTTGCTGGCTGGCTGGCTGGCTGGCCGGCCGGCCGGCAAGTGGGAAGGCAATGCTCGGTTGGTTACGTCACCACGCATATCCGCGTGATGACATCACCCGCATCCCACAGCGTAGAGCCGAGTGGTTCGAGCGTCACGCTGACATCATAACACCACCCATCCTGCAACCCGGCAGTGTGTCCCACGCGAATGCGTGGGCACAGCCAGTCAGTGGATAAAATAACAGCACGCAGATAGTCCATCAAGAGCTGTATATTTCTCAAGAATGTTATATAAATGCGCTACCATTGTTTACACTTGTCCAGAGTAGTTCCACGCGGAGTCAGCTGACCGTCACGTGGTTGTTTGCTCCATTCTCAAACTACCACACCGGTGCACGTGGACTCGGTGAAGTTTTCTTGCTTCGCAAGTGTGATATTACTCGGTTACCATTATCACGTGTAAAAAAAAAAAGCACAGGACGATGTCAAAATAAACATCCACAGTTTGTGGCAATTGCTTGCTCATACCTTGGCACAGCTCTCGAGAAAAGATTTTGTCCATCTCCTGCTGCATCTGGAACACAGGACAGATGCCACGTCGCTCAAGTGGAATATTCACCGGGGGGGGGGGGGGGGGGGGGGGGTGGGGGGGGGGGCATTAACTCGGCACGGTGGCGCGGCACGGAGAGGAGCGGCGTTGGCAGAAATTCGCGGCTCAAAATCCGGCAGGCCGCCCTGGTTCTTTCTGCGGGTGCATTAGCCGTGCAAAAGATGCGCCGTCTGCTTCACCGGCGCACTGTCGTCATTTCAAACGAATGCGCCGGCATCACGGTCCTAGTTCGTCAAATTCCCCCCCAAAAATTCCCGCAAAATTGCTCATTTGGGATATTACGCAGCCTGGCCCCGAGCCACCTTGTGCAGCACAGGGACAGCTGCCTCCGGGGGTGCCCATCAGAAATGTCTTGAGATGAGATGTGACGCAAGCCGCTTATCGTGGGCAAAGCAACGCAATGCCACGGCGTGAAGGAGGACGGGGCGGCCCTATCAAAAACAAACTCTGAATTATTATTACTAACGCAGATATAATCACGATGGGACTTAATCTGACAAGTGAAAAGCGAGACGATGTGGAGGCTACCTCCTCCCACTTGAAACATCGCAGCGGTGAATTCCTACAGTTGTGTGTGCACTGTAACACACAGAATATGGGGAGCGGTAGTGCGGCGCAGCGGTGAGCGCACTTGCGCTACGAACCTGGCGACACGAGTTCGATTCCCCGCTCACGGCCATCACCAGTGACGAATATTTGAAGCGTTCCTGGGCCTCCCCCTAAGCCGACTCGGCCTCACGAGTACCTGGTGCGGTGTGTAGTAAACATCGCCACTAGGGAGACAAAGGCGGTCGGGCGTGGTGCTGGCCAACCCACCCCCACGTGTACCGCCCCGGCCTTCATAGGTGCTCGCTAACAGCACTTGCCCCAACAGTCTGTTGAAGGCTACACGGGGGATCTTTGCCTTTGTTTGTACCCACAGGGTAGGTGTGCACCCGGCTTCTGGGCACTCACCTTGGTGTGATAGGCATGCTTGAAAGTGCCAGAGTTCTGGCTGTCTGCGGGGTACGAGAGGAGGCTCTGAGAGAGGCCAGGAGGGCGGCCCTGAGGTTGGTGGTAGAGGCCCTGAGGTTGGTGGAGGAGGCCCTGAGGTTGGCGGAGGCCGGTGGTGGCAATGGGCAGCAGCGCGGCGAGCGCCGTGTTGTCCAGCAGGCGACCGCTCATCAGCTGAGAGCTTCTCTGCCGCTCGCTCCCCAGGTGCGCGCTCATGTCTGCCAGCCTCTCATTCGCACTGCGGCACACACAGAATTCGGGTGAATGCGGCGCGCGGCTTTTAACGTTCAAGCGAGGGGTCTACTTTTTAAAAAAAAAAAAAAGGTCGAGTGGAGATTTGTGACGGGATAATTTACATTTCTGCATGCAAACTATTCAGTTTAACACAGGGGTGGGCAAATTTTTGGACTCGCGGGCCACAATGGGTTCTAAAATTTGACAGAGGGGCCGGGCCACTCCTGGTCAAAGTGCGCCATCTAATGGGGAAATGGAGGCATTACAGGAGAAGGGTAAAATTTAATTTAATAATAATATTTGGACAAGTTCGGCGGGCCGGATTAAAAAGCCCAACGGGCCGTATACGGCCCGGGGGCCGTACTTTGCCCATGTCTGGTTTAACACGTAGGCTTTCGCGAACTATTCAGTTCCTTGAAAAATGTTAAACTGACAAAAAAATATACACGACTCCACCTCTCTTACCCAGGTGACTTACGCTAAATGGAATTTATTATTTCAAAAATGATTTAGGTTTGTGCAATATTTAGATTTCTCACGCGGCACTGTTGCGTTCGCCCTGATTGATACTTGCTTCGTGGCTGCACTTTATTTGTATCGCTTTGTCATCTTGGCAAACCCAGGTAGACTCGCGCAAATGAAACGCCATGAGACCATTGCTCCTCAACTTACCGGTGAGCTGAAACAATAACAAGTGCCGCGCGTTAAACGCTCGCAGACGTGACGATCTACTTGTTTGGCTGCGGCGGAGGAAAACGGAGGGCTATGAGCATTAAAATTTGGCCAGATCACTACGTGGCCTAACCCCCGCCACAAAAAAATCAACGATGAATCCGGGCTGCTTTTTACTCTTATACCAAAATCGGACCGACGTTCAAGCGAGCCGTGTGTTTCTCTCACCTCTCGAGCTTGGCAGAGAGGGCCTTCCTGCAGCTGAGCTCTTCTTGGTAGAGGCTGGTGTAGCGCCTCAACTCGGCCTGCAAGTGCTCCGTCGCCCTTTGGCTCTCCTCGGCGTTGCTCCTCAGCCTCTCCACCTCCGCCTCCAGCTCCTGCAGCTTCTGCTCCATCAGCCGCTTCAGGTGCAACTCATTCATCGACCTCAGGCCCTCCAACGTCTCCTGGGACACCGCCTGGCTCTGCAAGTCGGCGAGGCCACCGAGGAGTCGTTACGATCCGCGCGTCGGACTTCAACGTGCGCTCTCAACGTCAGCGACAGCTTCCTTGCTTTCAGACGCGCTTCTGCGGCCGTCTGGAACGCTCTTCCTTGCGATATTAGGAAGCCACTGGAGCTATGCAACTTTAATATCTAGACTGAAAACGAATTTCCTTAAAACTGCTTTCTGTATTTAGTTTGTTATCCTTCCCCCTGGCGCCTCCGATTAGCACGGTTGGCTACGTACGGTGTGAAAGAAGTTCAACGTACATTACATACAACACATTCGTCAATAACACAGTGGCCTGAAAAAGGAAACAACATTTACAATAGAACCCCTATGAACGACAGTAATTTGTTCCAGTAAACCGATCATTAAGTGATTTTGTCATTAAGCGAGTATAGAAAATATGCGCTCTCAACGTCAGCGACAGCTTCCTTGCTTTCAGACGCGCTTCTGCGGCCGTCTGGAACGCTCTTCCTTGCGATATTAGGAAGCCACTGGAGCTATGCAACTTTAATATCTAGACTGAAAACGAATTTCCTTAAAACTGCTTTCTGTATTTAGTTTGTTATCCTTCCCCCTGGCGCCTCTGATTAGCACGGTTGGCTACGTACGGTGTGAAAGAAGTTCAACGTACATTACATACAACACATTCGTCAATAACACAGTGGCCTGAAAAAGGAAACAACATTTACAATAGAACCCCTATGAACGACAGTAATTTGTTCCAGTAAACCGATCATTAAGTGATTTGGTCATTAAGCGAGTATAGAAAATACGCTTCAAAGGTTCTAGATTTGAAGCTTTCGTGACTGCAAGGATCCATGCTCTTTGGTTCTATTCGGTAAAGTCACGTAGGTGACTTTACCGAATAGAACCAAAGAGTACACTTTAAAGGCTTAAATCGTTCCGATAGCATCGAAAGTTACCCCCTTTTTCACCCCAAAAACCTACTTTATAATATTTAAACAAGCGAAACTAATACGAAAAAAATACTAATAATATTACAAACAAAAAATGTTAAAAGAAACACGCTTAATCAATGCATTCATTATCATTTTCTGAACCTAAACAGCACGTCGTTAACCGGGGGGAATGGTCGGTAAGCGAACACATTGCTTTCAAAAGAGTTCGAGGGAGGAGGCTGCCGAGTGTTCGAGGGAGGAGGCTGCCGAGTGTGCGAGGGAGGAGGCTGGCGAGTGTGCGAGGGAGGAGGCTGGCGAGTGTGCGAGGGAGGAGGCTGCCGAGTGTGCGAGGGAGGAGGCTGCCGAGTGTGCGAGGGAGGAGGCTGGCGAGTGTGCGAGGGAGGAGGCTGGCGAGTGTGCGAGGGAGGAGGCTGGCGAGTGTGCGAGGGAGGAGGCTGGCGAGTGTGCGAGGGAGGAGGCTGGCAAGTGTGCACCTGCAGGAACGTGTTGACCTCCTGCAGCTTGCTCGCGAGCTCTGTTCGGGCCAGCTCGTGCAGCTCCCGCTTGTGACGCTCCAGCTCCGCCTGCGTCGCCACGCTGCCGCTCAGCTGCTGCTTCTGTAGCGGAGACATCGGCTGGCGTCAGCGCCCGGTACGGTGGGGAGTGCATGGGAAGCCGTGGGGCGCCGTCCAACCGATACCAGATTACGGACGGCGACGGACGCCTGAAGAGTTGACATCAGGAACCACAGAGGAGGGGCTGCCGATAGCTTGGCACAGTCGCCAATTGAACGGGCGGCTCGCAAGGGGGCCGCCTAATGAATCGCTTTATCACGGGGTGGTGCAGGTGGTGGTACACCGTAGTTTGGTTCTCTTCCGCCCCCCCCCCCCCCCATACCGAAGCTGCCACACGGCACCAGCTGACTCACATCAGGCTACGTCAACCGAGAGCAGGACTAGGCCAAGTTCAGAAACCAATTGCATCCAGCGGAGCAATAACGGGCAGAATTGTTTTCAGACGAAGCCTCTCATATGCAATGCGATTCCATCACAAAGACTGCAAAGCCATCGCACGTTGATTCGGAAATCCAGCATCAAATGATTTAGTCTCTCAATTAAGGGCACCATTACCTTGATTACGTCCACGCCAGAACAACATTTCACATACGAGTCTACTCGGGGCTAAGGAAGCGGTTACGGGCGAGTGAAAAGCCAGGACCACCCACCCCCCCCCCCCTCAACTGCCCCCCACGTTTGAAAACCGCGCGTCGTCCGCTCCGCAGGTGACGTTAAAAAGATCCGAAGAAGGGGAGGGCGCCACTTGTGTTGCCGGGCGTCTCAGTACAATGTTTTTTTTTACATTTTTAACCAAATGTAAATAACAAAAATACTCGCAAGTTATTTAACATGTAAGAACAGAGGAATTGTCACCACCGCCTGCGAAAAAACTTAACCGGGACGCCCCCGAGTAAGAGTCTTGTGTGTATGTATGTTGAACTTCTACACAAATATCACCGAAACAAGAGGAGGATTTCATCACAATTCTTGGCTGTCGCCTGATGATGCTGGCTGTAATTATCAGCGAAACGTCACGGTACTCGAATTGTAAATGTTGCGGTGGGTTTAACTCTCCAACACACACCCGTGTGCTGTACTAGTAATACATTGGCACGTTTTGTTCACGTGATAAAACCTTCATAATTGGCTGTGGCGGGAGGTGGCGGATTTTTAACGACACATTCATATTTATGCCGAACTTCTTCTTCCGCACCGTACGTAGCCAACCGTACTCATCGGAGGTAAACAGACGTTAAGTCGTGAATAACGTCGCAAGTGCTTTAACGTGTAAAAAAACACAGCAAACGTCACCACCTCCTGCGAAAACCTAGCAGGACGCCCCTGACAACGAGCCTCGTGCGTACGTTGAACTTCGTGCGCACCGTACGTAGCCAACCGTGCTGATCGGAGGGAGGGAAGCGCACGTAAATCGCGCGAACGACGTCCGCGAGAGAGGGCGGCACCGGCGGGCACCTGCAGGTGGCGCTTGCTGCGCCGCAGCTGCTCCTCCAGCTCGCGGTTGCTGCGCTGCAAACTCTGAGCCGTGTCGTGGGCGGCCTGCAGCTGCCTCGTCAGCTCCTCCAGCCTCTGCTCGTCGCACAAAACAAAGCCGGCAGCGTCGCCGATGAGCACGCCGCAAACGCACCCCTTCTCTTGTCTCCGCACTGGCTAGCAGTCGAGCGTCGAGCGGACGATGAGATCCTGCTGCTCACCGAAGAGGGTAGCGCAAGGGGTCGGCCCCGCCACATTCGCAGGGGCCGATTAAACTATTTTTTTTTATCTTAGCAGGTAAGGCCCGCTGAGCTACGTAGCTCTTTTTCAGAAGCGACCCGGCCATAAATGATGGCTCAACAAAAAGTGGCTTATCACGTGGAAAATGCAGAGCAGCCAAATACTCTAAATGCATGTTTCTAAACGTAGAGAGGAAAAAACGGAGGACCCGGAGAAAACCCCACGCGACGAAGAGGAGGACATTCCAACTCCAAATATACAACAGGCGTCAGGGTCGGTGGGATTGAACCCACGATCTTCTGCATACCAGGCGAGGGAGTTCACATCTCGCCACCGCGGCGCCATCAACTGCTTCAGAACATCAACAGGCCGACGTGCACATCTCCTCCATAAATGGAAAATTAAAGATACAAGCCCACGGCAGTACGACGGTGGCCACAGTATAAACCGCCGGTGACTCCGAGGCGGAGGAGGAGCAACGTCAAAGCCAGGAGGTGCGATGTCTGGGTCTCGAATGCGGGGGTGTTTATTCTGGAAGTCTGCTGTGAACGATGCAACACGATGGAAGGAGAGCGGCTCTCTCTCCCCCTCCCCGCCACGCACCTTTTCCTGCGCGTGTCTCCCCGGGTCATCACCCTGCAAGAGGAACCTGTCGCCCTCACTCCGCGAGAGCCTCGCCTGCTCACGCTCCTTCTTCAGCGCCTTTATCTGCAATTTCATCCTGCGCCCCAACACACGGCGCTGTTACTAGCACGGCCGGGCACGCGGGGCGTTGCGGGGATCTCGTGCGGCAGAAAACCTGCGGTCCCCAACCTCTCGGGGCCCATGGGGACAACCGTCAACCCTCGTAATCGCAGGCTAAAGCCCGAGGAGAGCGATCTTGCGTTTCGTGAAATGGAATCGGCATCTGCGATGGTTCCCGCAGGTCCACTTCCCGCGGCCCTTACAGAGCGTCCCACCAGCGTTCCCGCAGGGCACAGCTTGGGAAAGACTGCGCTCCAGCACCGTTTAAAACGACAGCGGGTCCGTGAAGCGATACATACGGTTAATTTACATAGGTCCGCGGCAGGATTTTCTGACGCTGTTTTGCATGTGTTTTTTTAAGCACTCTTTGTGATACGTTTTGGCGTATCGCACATCTGCTACTGCCGCCACTGCCGACCGCCTTAAGCTGTGGTCTACAAGTGTCAATACAGAGCTATGAATCTCTACGAATGTAACTCTGTGCACCTCTACGTGACGATACAACTGCGATCTCCTGCAAATGCCGCCACTACCGATGGTCTTGGGCTGCGGTCGTCCACGTAAATAAGCCGCTTAGTTCAATGGGCCTTGCTGGCTGAAATAAAGTCTGCAGGTCTGAATATACAAACATGTAACAAGTGTTGTACGTGGCAAGTTAATTATTTGTGCAGCTGGAAAGCGTTACATTTCCCTACGTAAGAATAGAGTTTTTCCTCTTTTTTCTGGCAACAAAACTGAAACCTTTTTACAAGGAATCATGTCTGCATTAACCACAATGCTTGTGGTAAGAATGCAAACAAAAAACAAACTCTGATAATATGATGCATTGTCCTTGAAACTGATTGGTCCACACCAGAGACAGCTTTCTTTTGAGCCTCGTCTCAAACGGTGCTAGACCAGATGACGCCAAAAGGCGTCCAGCACAAAGACAATGCACCATCAGAGTAATGAGAGCTCGGGGTTAAGCATCTACATCATGAGACCTCCTTTGCCAATACCAAAATATAAGAATAGATTTTTCCCCTTTTTCTTGTACCTATAATAAATATACGGCACGTTGTCTGTCTGCTGGTGGCTACAATGCCCTCTACTGCCCACAATGCCCACCACACCTGTCCATTGCGCTTGCTGGACACCCAACTAAGCACTACGCAGGCTCACTCCTGCTTAGCTTCTGGAGGTTGACGGAATTTGGGCAAAATGCAAGTTAATCATCATAATACTACCAAAAATAACAATACTACTACGAATAAGAGCATTGATGATCATCTAAATACAATGATACGAGCAATGGGATAATTTGGCGATGCTGCGTTGGCGGTGGTGCAATGACAGTTTCACCGCTGACCGTGAGACATGGCAACAGCTGAGGGAGTCCTTCATCCAGAAGCAGAATGATCATGGCTGATGATGATCATATGAAAATGGGATAATAAATACGATACGCTTTGGTTCTTTCGGTAAAGTCACGTAGGTAGAAATAAAATAATATGAAATAAAATTTTAAAAATAATAAAATTTTATTTTATTTTATTTCTAACTACGTGACTTTACTGAAAGAACCAGATAGTATGGATTCCTGCAGTCACGGAAGCTTCAAATCAAGAATAAATACGATTTTCATTATTGTAAACGAGCAAGGATTACCAGCGGGACGTTTATAAGGGGTATGAAGAGTAAGACAGAATTGATCAGTTTGTTAATTAGAACTGCGCAATTCCTGGTTCAATGCGTGCCAATCTGCTCTCGAACCCGCGATGCACGTCCCAATGGAACCTCGAAGGATCAAGCAGGAAGCAGGCCGTGTCAACCAAAAGCCAAGGTGAGACGACTTGCCTGTTGCACTCTTCCTGAAGATCTGCATACTTCCTGGATTTGTGCTCCAGTCTTCCCTCCACCTCCCCGAGACGCCTCCTCTCCTCGTCCAGCTGCCGAGCGGCGACACGAGAGACGTCAATGACGCACGGCCACAGGACCCCCCCCCCCCAACGCCGAGTCCGCTCCGCTAAATTCCCGCGTCGTTGCCAGCACCCGTTAAGGGGGCCCGGGCATACAAGCAGGCGGACCACGCACTGGAACGTCTCACAACGCCAAATGCGTACACTGGCACATTTCAGCGTCAGTGTACGCATTGTTTTCATGCGGCAAACATTAACACCACGTGCACTAATAAAATCACAACAACGGATGCCCCGTATTCTCTGTAAACCTTGCGGATGGACATCTAATCGACGAAATAAAATAAAAATAAAAACGAACGGAGTAGGTGCGAACTTGAGCTCCCACCTTGGCTGCCACCTCGGCCTTCTCCGTGCTCAGCTGGGAGAGCCGTGCGTCGGACTCCGGCAGCTCTGGGGCCTTCTCCGCCGACGCCGCCAACATGGCGCTTTCGATCTGTCGCCCCGAAACGATACACACAATACGTCCATGGAGAGGCTGCGGACCATCGGCAATGATTATTATTATTGTTATTCATTATTGATTTTTTGAGCTCGTGTTGATTATCCACGAAGCCGAGTTCTAACCGGGAAAACCAATCCAGCAGAGACACAGGCAGTGAGGCCGAAATCAGGGCAACACTGTTTGTTGTTCTTCCCCCACACCTCCAATTAGCACCGTTGGGCTACGTACGGTGCGAAGGAAGTTCAGCATACACACAACATGACTACGCGGTTGCTCATGAAGGTAAAAGGACTGATGCATGCAGTACCACTTCCTGTCGGCGCCTTAAAGACGTGACCCGAGAAACGAAGCTTTGTCATGTTATTTGAATTCCTTGTATCTTCTAATCGTGTTATTTTACTTATGGAAATAGTTCACCTGGATAATCTCTCCATATGAAACATCTCGCCGGTAAGGGCAGACGGGATCACAAGTGGCACTTACACAGCAAACACGTAATGACACGTATATAAAACAACAAAAACATGCTAAATATATACCTTGCACGGTTTATAATTTATAAGATTGAATACTTTCAAGTTAATCCTGCCTGTGGGAGAGACATACTGGAATTTGCACCACTGGGTAGGACTGCCAATGTGATAATGCACTGCCAGATTGAGCAGAGGGATATTTTGACTTTGGAAGGGCATAGTTCCTCCACTGTAAGACCCGCAACCGTCTCAGTGATGTGATCGTTGTTCCCATGATTTTGGTTATGGCGCCGATTTGCTCTTTTCAACCAACTTTCCTGTGATTTGTGTTCCTGTGTTTATTAATAAAAAAACGTTTTTTGGGTTATACATCGCGTAAGTATAGATGAGTCGTAACCCTCCACCGCCGAGGACACAGTCGGTAAGGTTTGCCACGTAAAAAAAAAACGCGCCAATTAGTTACTACTTCAGCCACCGGTGTGTTGGAGAGTAAATCCACAACATTTACAATTTGCGTACTAAAATTGTTGATACCTTTCCCCTTTATGTCTCTGCATAACAACTGTTAATTATGATTTAAAGCTTTCGTGACTGCAGTAATTCATATTCTTAGCTCTTTCGGTAAAGTCACGTTGAAGGGAAACAATAAAATAATAAAATATATATAACAATTAAAATTCTCACGACGTTTCGACCATAACACAAACGGTCATCATCAGGTGTGAAAAAACCAACGGCACTTCCTTAAAATGTTTCTTGCCATTGGTTTTCACACCTGATGATGACCGTTTGTGTTATGGTCGAAACGTCGTGAGAATTTTTATTGTTTCATTAATATTTTATTATTTTATTGTTTCCCTACAACGTGACTTTACCGAAAGAGCTAAGAATATAACTGTTAATTACTCAACAAAGTTCATCCTGCTATCTCTTCAGTCGATGCTGCGTAGATGGAATCGTGTGTCCAGCACAGGGTAATGCAATGTCTAGTATGGTTTAGTTTTATGTAGCAGTGTAGTCGAACATGCAAGTGCACCTCACAATCGCTGAGGCAGCAGCCAGCGGGTGAGACCCAGTGCTACCAACAATTTCCCAAGCTCTGCGATCCTCTCAAGATTAAGATGTTTTCAGCCAACTAATGAGTGTTTGTTATACAAGTGGGAGGAAACCGCAACATTTGTGCGGTGATCTGCCAACCCTCGCCGCTGCCTCCAGTGCTGGATTACAGGCGGCCACGTGTGTAGGCACCACCCCTCGGCTAAGGGTAAATCAGCTGATACATCGCCCCCCCCCCCTCCCCCACCGTTAGACTTTAGCAATCATTGGGACAGTCTATTCTCACACCGGTGTGCTGTACGAGAAGCGAACTGGCACGTTTTGTTTACGTGACAAATCTTACTAATTGGCTGTGTCTGGTGGTGGCGGGTTTAACGACACATTCATATATTTATGCGATCTAACCAAACCCCTCCCCCCCCACTCTATTATGGATAATATTGTTTCGCGAAATCCGACGTGTTACTCTGTCTCACCTGCTTTAGTTTCTCCTCCAATGCATTCTTCTCTTCACTCAACTGCTTCACTGTCTCCTCCAAGCTCTTGCAGTCCTGAAATACATTCACAGGTAACGCTGAAAATCGAATTGGCTGCGGCGTTCATTTAATGGGCTTGGGGTCGTTTTCAGTTTCAGTTTCATTTATTAGGATTTACCCCATTCGGCTTTTGATTTGGGTTCAACCGCAACAAACAATAAAATTACAAGACACAACTAAAATTCATGGTACACAAATCTAAACATCACCACACCACGTAAACAATGAAATCCTACAGAAAAAGCACAACCCATCCATGCTGCGTACAAAAAATAGCAAAAAAATTCATTTCGATGTTTGATCCCAATAACAATCATAATACAATACAGATCGAAATTTGAAGTATAAACTTATACTAAATAAAAAACCGGGCCAAACCGAGCCCCTTTAAAACTTACCAAAACAATGCTATATAAGCAACGTAACAGTTTTCCCAACAAATGTGATTAAAAGTTTACAATAGCGACACACACAACACACATCACTAAACCGAGCATCCTTTGCTAGCCGCATGGTTGTGTCCGAGAGTGAGCTCGCACACACTGTGGCTCGGAAGAAGCTTCTACATCGCAGAGGGAACGCAGAGTCTGTGTCACTGTACGCAGAAATGGGGACGATGACACGGGGCACACATAACATCCCTCCCTGTGGCTTTCTGTTTCGTGAACGCGTTAAGGGGACTTCCGCTCGGACGTCAAGAAATGACTCGGGGAATGATCGGGATAATGAACGAAGCAGACGGCTGCATTCGTCCAGAAGACAGAGACGTCGCACACTCAGTGAACTAACGAGAAGTCAAAAACAAAAATAGGTTTACGCAGTAGACGAGCACAGGCCCAGTATCAAGAAGCACCCTCAAAGCAGTCATAGATGAGAGTCAACACGTTGCTTGAATTGAGCAAGGTTATTATGGGAGGTTTGGAAAAGAGACGATGAACGGCGCCAAAGAAGAGAAGTGTTGTGACCTGCAGTGTGGTGGCTGGGTGAGTGGATGGGTGAGTGTAGGTGAGAGTATTGTGTGAGTTGCAGTGTGGTGGTGGTTGAACGCAGTACAGACAAGACAAAACAGCATCTGGTAGACCGAGTCCTCAACGTGGGTGGAGGGGGATCAACGAGGGAAAGTTCACGGGAAAAATAAACATCCAGCTGGATAATACTATCTCCAGCGGGTGCTTTGCAGGAAGGTGGGATCAAGTGTGTGGGTGGTGGTGGTGTGGGAATGGTCTCTGGGAGCTGGAAAGAGGAGGTGGTAAGAGGTGGTGTTGGTAAGAGGAGGTGGTGCAGGTAAACAGGTCCAAATATACAACAGGCGTCAGGGTCGCCAGGATCGAACCCACGACATCCTCCATACCAGGCGAGGGAGTTAACATTTAGCCACCGCGGTGCCCCTATAAGGATTGGGGGGGTGGGGGGGGGGGTATTGAGAGGGTCAAGCACTGGGATTAGGGGCCAGGGTGAGAAGAAGCAACAAGGAGGGATGTGGAGGCGTTGGAGTGGCGTGGAGCGTTCGGGCAAGCCGCCCCCGTGCGCTGCGGGCGGGCACGCGTGGGGGCGAGCGTGTGCGGGCACCTGCGCCGAGCGCTGCAGCTGAGCCCGCAGCGCCTCCGCGGTGCCGCTGTGAGCCTGCACGGCCGCCTCCAACTGGCTCCTCTCCCCCTCCACCCTGGGCACACAAAGCCCAGCACGGGCATTCCACCCGTCGCAACTCACTCGGTAGCCGGGCGGCGTTATCGCCGAATCACATCGGTTCTTATTATTTCATAATAATAATAATGATGATAATCGATGTTGAACTTGTTGTTTTAAAAAAATCATCGTACAGTTACAATTAAGTTACGGACACATTAAGTATGAACTTATTTTGCACATGATGTAGCCAACCGTAGCTTTCTAATATCAAAAGGAAGAGCATTCCAGACGTCTGCAGAAGCGCATCTTAAAGCGCGCGATGTGGTGATCGTCTTTGTTGGATGGCTATCCAAAAGCCGCTGCGAGGATGATGACAATAATTACAGCTCGTATTGGCGCCTTTCATGAAATCTCAAGGTGCTTTGTCAATCGACCGATTGGCTGGACGCCGCCGTAGGGCATTATACGACCACGCTTACACCGCACGGGCTTGCTGATGGCGGGGAGCATGGACGTGCGGGTGCCGTGGAATCGCAGCCTTGCAGCAAACCGAATTTCACTTTCAGGGTGTGCCGAGATCGGGGCCACGTTGCCGGTTATCCCGCAAAACGAAACCGCCCCCGGAAACACCGGTGCTGGCACGTTCGCGAAATCAAGGGGCGATGAGCGATGGCGGTGTCAGCGGCGTGCGTCTGGGTAGGAGGGAGGGGGGGAGGTGGGTGGGCGTACCGCTGGCACTTGTCCTCCAGCTCCTGGAGCTGCCTGCGGGCACGGTCGAGGCTGCACGCGTGCTCGTGATCACTGGCGGCGTGCGCCGCCGCCTCCCGCCTGCTCTGCTGCAGCGCCGCCTGCACCTGCTGCAGCTGCTGCTCCACCCGCACGTGCTCCCGCTCCTTCTCCAGCAGCTGCGACGCGCACACAAGCGTGCACACACGCACGCACGCACGACGGCAACCGAGCGCGCGCAACGACAATAATCTCCCGTGCGGCCTCTAACAGCGGGCAGCGGTAAACGTCAATCCGCCGCTGCTCAATCTGCATAAAAACAGCAGGAAAAAAAAACACATGGCTGGCGATGTGCTGGGAACGTTTTATGATGCGTATACAGCAGCTACGTGTTGTCACGTGGGTGGGTTTGAGCTACAAGGATTGGTCAGTGCCCTATCCTTGACCAGGTCAGCTGGGCCGAGGTCGCTCCTAACCTGCTGTCTCTGTGATTCCAGGTTGTTGTGCAGCTGAGACTTCTCGGCCTCCAGCGCAGTGCGATGGTTGACGGTGAAATCCAGAGAGGCCTCCGACATGGCCAGCTTCTTCAGAGCGTCGGCCAGGTCCTGCTTGCGCTGGTGAAGCAGGTCCTGTGAACACGTCGCTCTCATGAACCCTGCCGCTAACACAGAGCAACGCCGGTGAACCGGGTCCTGTGAACACATCGCTCTCACAAACACTGCCTCTAACATACAGCAACGCCGGTGAACCGGGTACCTATGAACGCATCACTGTCACAAACACTGCCGCTAACGCACAGCAACGCCGATGAACTGGGTCCTGCGTACACATCTGGGGAGGCCTGGAGTGGGAATTCCATATCTCTGACGCTTTCATGAGGGACAGATTTTATCTCCTGCTGCCAACACCAAAACGTGTGGAGTGAAACGAAGCACGTACAGGCTTACCTCGTTATTGTTTTTCTCATCCTCCAACTTCTTCAACGTCTCCTTCAAGCAAATGGCACTGGCGACAAGTTCTTGATTCCGCTCCTCCAGCACCTGCTCCCGCTGGTTCTTGTCAGCCTGGAGTTTGGACAGCAGGTCGTCGAACCTGTCCTGAATTCCCGTAACGACCGCCTCCTTTTGCAACACCTTCGCGCTGGCCTCCTGCAGCTGCTGGCGCAGCAGCAGGTTGTCGCTCTGGGCCTGCACCATGCGCTCCTTCTGCGACTCCTCGCGCACCAACAGCTTGGCCGTCTCCTCCCTCCCGCCGCGCAGGGCGACGTCCAGCTCCTCGGCCCGCTGCCGTGCGGCGCCCAACTCCCTCCGGCAGGTTTCCAGCGCGTGGTCCTTCTCGACGAGCTCCAGCGACTGGCGGTGGCGCTCGCTCTCCAGCTCGCTGCAGCGGCTCTCCGTGCGGCTAAGCTGCTGGGACAGGAGCCCCTCCCGCTCGAGCAGCTCCTGGAGCTCCGTGGCATCCCGCCGCCTCTGCCGACGCTCCGGCTGCCCCGGGCCGCCGTTCTCCTCGAGCCCATCGCCCCGCTCGGATGTCGCCCGCAGCAGCTGTTTCCTGACCGTCTCCAATTCTTCCAACGCGCGCTCCCTGCCGACCGTCTCTTGCTCCAGCCTTCGGGCGTTCTCTTCCGCTGCCGCTTTTGCGTTGCTCAGCTCCACGTTGTACTTCTGGACGGCTTGCTGCAGGGCGTCCTCGTTCAGATTAACTTTTCTCCGCAGGGCCTCGAGGTTTTCAAGCAACGTGTTTTTTTCATTCATTAAGAGTTCTTCTCTTTCTCTGAAGGACGCGGACTGGCGCTGCATGTCACGATTCAACACAGAGATCTCCTCCTGCAGCTTGCTGTTGTCCAGGGCCAGGGACGGTCGTCCGAGCTCCTCTCCCTGAACACATGCCGCATGTACACACAGCACAGAATGTCTATAAACTCAACTATTTTCATTTTACCAGGTAAGACCCGTTGAGTTGTGTAGCTCTTTTTCAGAAGCGACCTGGCCACCACGAATGATAGCTCAACGAAGTGGCTTATCGTCATCATCATCATCATCACGTGGACATGTATAGTAGCCAAATACTCTAAGCGCGTCATGTTGATTCGAAATGTGGAGGAAAAAACATCATCATCATCATCACGTGGACATGTATAGTAGCCAAATACTCTAAGCGCATCATGTTGATTCGAAATGTGGAGGAAAAAACCGGAGAACCCAGAAAAAATCCACGCGACCACCGGGAGTGAGGCATGCAAACTGTAAATGTACAGCAGGCATCAGCATTATTATTGTAACCGTGCTTGTTTGCGTTTAGAGTATTTGGCTGCTATAAATTTCCACGCGATAAGCCACTTTGTTTGAGCGATCATTTGTGAAGGCAAAGGCCGCTGCTGACAAAAAGCTCCATAGCTCAGGGTGGCCTTACTTGGTCGTTCTCGTGATGTTTGGCCAAGTTGCCACCACGCACGGTGACAGGGCTGTTCATTTTACTCACAGAGTTATTTTCGCGTTCCTCGTGCGATTGCTGCTGCTTTTGCAAATGCTCGTCAAGAATCCGTTCTTGCTGCAGTCGCAATTTCCTTTCGTTTTCCAAATCCGGCTGGATTTCAGACAGCTTCTTCTCGAGCTTAAAAAATAAAACAGAGGCACAAATACGTGGACAAACAGTTTTCAGCCAATGACACATCATTCCGCCAATCATATTTTTACACACATCATGATAAAACACTCCCCCCCCCACCAGATATTGTTTGATCATCCAAAAGTGTCACGCTAGTTTTCCAACATTTATTTATTTTGGGTGCGTTACGCACGAGCATCAATAAGCTCAGTTACAACGTCCAAGCAACTGCCCCTTTCATGTTCATTCCAATGCGATGGTCATCGGATCGGTGGGTGGTTCCATGTCTGTGCCTCTTTAGCGCTTCGATGGCAGACGGACCGAGAAAACTACTCTGAAACAAGTGCATTGGACAGACGTAAGATGCTCTCTATCATTACAAACGGAGGGTTTTTAAGCAGCTATTGATCAACGGCTCGCGCTCGTTAATCAATAGCCGGCCTTGGTCCCTCAACACACTTAAGAAAAACACACCCGCACAATTTTCTACGCATCTTACGAGCCGCACGGCCTGCTAGGAGCACTTCGCTTCAGCAGCATTGTGTCAACTCAAGACATCTCTTGTGAGACATTGAATGTCAAAAAACCGGTCCAAGGGTTTTGCTCGTGTTGAACCAATGCCGCTGAAATTACGCGCTCCCAGGAGGCCGCGTTGGCTGATGGAATGTCCAAAGGAAGGCGTGCTGTCTGCTTCGTTATTTTGTTATTTCAAAGCCCCGCGACGCTCATGATCATTAACGTGAACAGCAGTTGCCACGTTTGGTGTCTGCTCGTGTTAATACAGCTGCACGGTAATAACCAGGGTGGCCTGGCGGATTCGAACCGCGAACCTCTGCGACAAGCGGCGAATGCGCTTATCGCCGGGGTCACGTCACACTGCCCAACACCCACCAGTGCCCCCGTAATAAAACTTTTTTTTTTACATATATATGTGACAATTTGAAGTCCCAACTGGCCTTGGTACCTTTGCTAAGTGGGCACTCACCAGCTGCATGCGTTGTTCCGCGATGGACTTCTCCAGCTGCACGCTCTGCAGGCTGTGCTCCGCGTGCCGCTTGTCCTTCTCCTCCAGGAGAAGCTGCTCCTCCTTGAGCTGCAGCTGAGCTTGGCACTTCTCGTACAGCGTGGCGACACCTCGGCCATTCTCCCGCTCCTGCTGCAGCGAATCCCTTGCGGCGGCGGCGACGTCGCCACGCGCGCGGAAAGCGAGAACGCGACGCGCACAGAGCAAACCGCGCGTCACTGGTGTGGACCAATCGGTTTCAAAGACAATGCATCGTATATTATCAGAGCGTGTTTTTTGTTTGCATTCTGACCACAAGCATTGTGGTCAATGCAGACATGATTCCGTTTCATGTCTGCATCGCTTAATTTGTGTTTTCGATTATTTAAAAAGATCTGGCCATGTCTCGCACCCCCAGAAAGGGCATCTCGCACGCCCAGGGGGTGCGTGCACCTCAGGTTCAGAACCACTGGTCGAATCAAAATCGATTAATTTGCAGGTACATTTGAAAAAAATTGTCAAAGAGGACCACGACGCCAGCACACGATGGGCAGACTTTTTTTTGCAAATTACTCTTCACAGGGATCTTTAAACGTCTCCCGCCCCCCGTGCAAGCAGCCGTTGCGTAGCATTTCACGGTAAATCGACCGTGCAGCAACAGCCGGGGCGGAAGTCGTGACTTGCAGAAAAGACAACGTCCAGTTAACAATGCGAATTCAGAAGCACAAGAATCCACACTAGACCGGCGAGGGAGCGCAGAACGACGGACACTGGCCAATACCGGAGGGCGTCGAGGTCCGATTCCAGGTTGACCTTCTCTTCCTCGAGACCCTCTTTGCTCCTCGTCATCTCTGACAGAGCCTTCTTCACGGCACTCCGCTCTGTCTCCACCTGCTTCAGCTTCTCGCGCATCACCCGTGAAAGGAAAAACAAGCGTTATCCTTCATGTACCCGCATGCACACGGGGACAAATATGTTCGTTTTGAAGCTGGTTAGTTTGTATGTACGTTGAACTTCTTTTGCACCGTACCCCGTCAACCGTGCTAACCGGAGGTGCAGGGGAAGTATGTATGTAGAACTTCTACATACATCGCACCGTACATAGCCAACCGTGCTAATCGGAGGCGTCAGGGGGGGGGGGAAGGACAACAAACGAAACACAACAACAAGCAGTTTTAAATAAATTAGTTTGTTAATGTGGATGATTCAAAAGTGGCATTGCTCCCAGTGACTTCCCAACATCGGAAGGAAGACGTGACAAGTGTGAGAGATGACGTGGTGCTCACCTTGTCGGACAGCAGGCAGTATCGGTCCTTCTCCCACTCCAACCCTCGCTGGGCCTGGAAGACCCACGCCTGAAGCCTCGCATACTGCGCCGGATCTGACGGAACGCACGGCGAAGGCCAACAACACACGCACACAACAACAACAAAGATCCCTTAGACTGCTGGGGCAATCGCTGTTAGCGAGCAGCTATTAAGGCTAGCACGGTACACGAGGGGGGTGGTCAACACCACGCCCGGCCGCCTTTGTATCCCCAATGCTGATGTGTACACACCGCACCAGGTACTCGTTTAAGGCTGAGTGGACGTAGAGGCTAGGAAGATTCGGCACTGACGTTGGCCGTGAGCCTGAATCAAACGCGGTTCGCCGGGCCATCGTAGCGCAGCGCGCTAACCGTTACACTACCGCTCCCCACAACACACGGACACAGACGCTCCCAGGATAAAACAAATCTCCTGCCTTCCCTTTGTCTGCTAGGAAACACACACACTCATAACTACACTTACTGCTTAGCGATCAATAGGCGCCTGAGATTTTTAGAAACGATGCTCACAATGCACACACAGCACTAAACTGAGCACTTACCAACACTCCAAAACATCTTCAAAATTGAGCTACATCAATACTTGGGTGTATCTAAAGGGTGTTACATGTGGGTTGGTGATTACATGAGGTGTGTGCTCACACCACACACCTTACGGTGGATGGGCGAGTGGTAAGAATAACAGGACTGTAATTACTAAATGAAATTCGAAATAAAATAAAAAGGAAAACGCTTGCATAAAAATGCCTGTTTCAGAACGAATGTAAATTGGGAGGTTGTACCTGTAGGTGTCTGGGGGTTTATTTTTAGATGTTTCCTTCTTTCTTTATTATCAAAGGGTTTGCTTTTTTAAGGAATACTGCGACTTGGTTAATCTTTGGGACGCCGATTTCACAGCCACCCAGATTGCCTGCCACCGTTTGCACATCAACCGTCACGTAATCACACCGAGTCTCTTAACACGTTTCGGCACATTGTGAGCTCAATGCTGGACATAACTCCGAGGAATGAAAATTATTACTTACTTTTGTAATAGATTTTCTATTTACTCATCCATTAGGTTTCCTTGTTTTTGACCACAGAATAGAAAATAAGATGACATGAAAACGTGGAATAACAATGTATATATATGACATAAATTAGTTTAATTATACGTACGCAAGAAAATTAACGGAGGGAAAAAAATGGTATATTTAATAATAACATATACAGGAATACCTTGCAATTTCATCTGGTTAGGGACCAGAGAATGGATGAATGTCAAAAATGGACGAATGTCAAAGCAGAGCTTTTATTTAGCTAGCATATTTATTTTGGCCCATTATGAATATATTAAAGCACAAAAATAAGTATGTTACAGTAATCACAAAAATAAGCACAGTATGAATACTGTACACGTGCTTAATAATCACGAAAATAACTTTGAACACTGTAGCAATATACTGTTATCACAAAAATAACCATGAATTGTTTACAGCATCATCACATCAATAAGGACAGTATTAATAATAATGTGACTAAACACAAATGTAAGAGATGCTCACATGAACGACTTCTGTTCAAAGGCTGAACGGAAAAGACGGCGCTTGGCGCGAACGTCGCGGAAGGTTTGGAGATGAAATCGGACGAAAGAGGAAAGCCGCGTGGACTAAATTCGAAATGTGGTTAGAATTGAAAACGGCCGAAAGAGCGAATCGACGAAAGGCAAGGTATCACTGTATATATATAGTTTTCAGTGCAAGTAGGACCCGTATCTGATAGAGGGTCCTTGCCTATATATGCCTGGGCAGTTCACCAGCATTTGATTTCAAGGAAGGCCAAATGCTGACGAGACACTGAATGTCAAAAACCGGTCCAAACTTTACTCACGTTGAACAAATGCAGCAAAAAAATCATGCACTTCCGGAAGGCCGTGGGGTTGATGGGATGTGTCAAATGTACTGGAGGGGACGCATATGTGAAGGTGGGCGTATTGTCTGCTTATTCAATTTAATCATTAACGTCATATTTAAGATGGTCACGTGATAAAAAAAATAATCTTGGGAAAGAGAATGACCGCTTCGAGTCCAAACGTGGCCATTAGGGACAGAAGCCACAACAACCCGGCGGGGTATGAAGCGACGCAGGTCATACGGGGAGGTCCTCGCTTAACGCGTTGGTGTTTGGAGGGCGCGACTTCGCTGCAACGCGGTTCTTCCATTCGGGAACACTTTGCACGCAACGCGGAATGCGGCCGTACGTTAGAATCACAGTTCCTATGATCGCCGTTACGTTGTTTTTATAGCTTTATTTTGGTGATTTTGGAAACGTTTTGGTTTAGCCATGTTTGTTTGTTGCAGTTACAGAGTTAGCCTGATAACTTGAATCTACATTGTCTCACGGTTGTTATTGTTTGACTTGCATCCCACTGGGATTTTTGCGCACAGCGTAGAAATGCGGTGTTTTTTTTCTGGAAGACTTTGCTGTTTTTTCCTGGATTTTTTGTGTTGCGTGTAGTCACTTTAAGATGTTTCTTGTTCGTGTTTTGTTGCGGTTGCACCCGAGTCTAGAGCCGCATGGCTCACAGGGTTATACCTAATAAATGAAACTGAAAACTGAGAATGCGAAGCGCGCGCACCGTTATAGCGCGGTTTCTGAGCGGTCGATGACGAACTACTTTGGTTTAACACGTAGCAGGCTTGCGCGACCAATACTATTCGTAATAAAGGTTTTTGGGCTAGATCGCGTAAGCCTAAATGTGTCGTAACCCTCCACCACCCGACACAGCCAGTAAGGTTTGTCACGTAAACAAAACGTGCCAATTAATCACTACTTCAGCCCAACGGTGTGTTGGAGAGTAAATGCACAACATTTACAATGAGTACTGTGCCGTTTCGCTGTAATTACATCAAACATCATCGGGCGATATTCTTAGTTTTTTCGGTAAAGTCACGTTGAAGAGAAACAACAAAATAATAAAATATATATAAAACAATAAAAAATTCTCACGACGTTTCGACCATAACTCAAACGGTCGTCTTCAGGTGTGTTGGTTCGCATAAATTTATTTTTAAACGGCGCATTTATTTACTTATTTATTTAAAAAAACGTTAGCGCCACGCGCAACGATTTGACAGTTTACCCAGGACTAGTCCATCTATATTCAGAATATAGATGGACTAGTCCTGGGTAAACTGCCAAATCGTTGCGAATATAGATGGACTAGTCCTGGGTAAACTGCCAAATCGTTGCGCGTGGCGCTAACGTTTTTTATAAATAAATAAATGCACCGTTTAAAAATACATTTATGCGAACCAACACACCTGAAGACGACCGTTTGAGTTATGGTCAAAACGTCGTGAGAATTTTTTATTGTTTTATATATATTTTATTATTTTGTTGTTTCTCTTCAACGTGACTTTACCGAAAAAACTAAGAATATGAATTACTGCAGTCACGAAAGCTTTAAATCAAAATCATCGGGCGAGTTGCCAGAATAGTGAATCAATCCACCTGCTTACGGTCTTAAATAGAGCAAGATGATGTCATCACTGTGAACCCATCAGGTGCAGAGATCAGAGGCGGAGGAGGGGTTTATTGTAATGATATAATAGATTAGTAATCAGTTAATCGGCATTGCTTCCTCGATAAGTAATACATTTTCTTAAGCTGCGCGGCTGAGCGGTACGATACAGCAACGCGGCGACGTGCCCTCAGTTCTTTGTCCCGCCATCTTACGGCGTGGTTCGTACATCGTATCTCGACAAACTTCATCGTCACGTTATTTATGGGGAAACTGTTTTCGCTTAACGTTTTTCCCGCTTCACGCGGCACTTTTCAGGAACGCGCCTACTACCGCGTGAAACGAGGAATGACCTAAGTGTACGTTGAACTTCTTTCGCACCGTACGTAGCCAACCGCGCTAATCGGAGGTGCGGGGGAAAGGACAACAAAACTAAACACAAAAAGGAGTTCTAAAGAAATACATTTTCAATCGAGATTATTTAAAAAGTGCACAGCTCCTCCGTACGCGGGACGGAGTGGACGCGGACCTGCGATGGAGAGCCCCTGCAGAATGGGGTTGGAGGAGGACGGCAGCGAGCCGATCACCGCCCCCTCCGAGTCCTCCGTGTCCGACGACTCGGTGAGCTCGTCCAGGCCTGCAGCGAGCTGCACGGCCCCATCGCAACAAGGCCAGCGGGAAGGGGGAGGCGGAGAGAAAGAACGTCCTCTCGGCGCCTCCACTTTCACGGCGTCAAGCATCGTGCGTCGTTAAAACACCGCCAGACAGATGTTCAATTCCAATGGCGTACACGAAGTATCTTAGGTACAAGCAAAAATAAAAGCAGCACTCTCAAGGGCACTAATTACAACACAGGGCACTCATTTCAACTTGCAGTGTTCGCTCGGAAAGAGAGAATGGCTCGAGAGGGACCACAGAGAGGTTGGAAGGCAGCCACGCGGGTGAGCCGGTGCCAAAAATGACCAAAGCTCTGCTGTCCTTTATATATTAAGGTGTTTATCGGCCAATGAGTGAGCGTTTATGGGAGGTACGTGCGGAAGAAAACCGGAGCACTTGGAGAAGCCGTGCATGAGAGGTGGAAACACTCTATTTCAACCAGAAGGGACATGCCATTAGTCCACATCATCCTGCACAGATTTCTCCTGGCAAGCCACGCATCTGCACGACCCACCAACTCTCGATGCCCCCACAGCGCTGGATTACGGTACAGGCTACGTGCATAGCCACCACCGCTCGGCCAGCGTTGTGCCGGTGTACCTCTTCACGAATACTGACTCCTTAGGTTTAATGATTTAAGGAGAACTGTATTATCCGTGTCAACCTCCAAACTCTATTAGGTCGCCTGCAGTATTGCACACTCCACATTGCAGGTAACAAAATGCATTAACGCCGTTTAAAGAGGCTGTCGCCAATCACTGGATCGCGATCCTAAGCCGCGGATCGCAAAAGCGATGTAATTTTTTCCCTTTAACCATCCTTGAGGACTGTTGCGGTGATCGAGTGGGGAAAGCTCAAGCATGTGTTCATAAACCCCCCAAAGAGCTTACTAAAGCACCTCTCTGCAGCTTCCTTGAGGACAGTCAGGGCCTGCACATGACGAGTGATCGATTAGAATCTTTCTATCACTCATGACGCATGCGTTGAATCGTTACTGTTTGATTAATGCAACGCAATGTACACAAATTTAGTATTTGTCTCATTCGAGATTCACACATCAGCCCTCCTTGGCTTGACATTCCTCAAAGCCATCGGTGCATCATCAACTGCATCCCTAACATAAACAGCAGGCCGACGCACACATCTGCTTCACAAATGGACATTTTAAGGACAAGGCAGGAGCAGCGTGACGATGGCCATGCAATTCAAACTATGGACCGTATAAGCAAGTGAAACCCTTTCGTCTGCGCCCCGTCAGTGGAGGAGGAGCAGCAGACACTGCACGAATTCTCTCCTGACGCCCTCTCTCGTGATGAGCAGACCTCGATGTTAGCACGTGCAAGAATGTAACGAGGCCAACTGAATGGCCACAAGGACACTTCTGATGAGTGTTTGGTAGTTAGTTTCTGGCAGTTGTCCACAGAGTTTTACCTGGAGGTAGTTTTGTGGCTGCATGTGGACCGTGCCTTAAGAGTCAGTGAAAGAAAGGATCAATCAAGTGGGTGTCCTTGTTATTTATCGCAGGCGGACAAGTACGCTTTGTGCCGAGAGGAAGAGTGCCAACATAATTTAAGATAAGTGCTCGGTGAAAGTACTGGGCAGTCGTGTCTCATTTGTTTACACCTGAACTCTCAAAGGTGCAGAGTTTGGTCTTTTGAAGACCATAATGTAAACGAATGCTGCCGGAGGAAGACTTACCCCTGTTTTAATGTCGTTGCTTTCAACACCGATCCTGGCAGTGCGTTCCCTTTCAAGCAAACACAGAATGTCAACATTTGAGCACATTGTTTGCATCGTGATTACGTCACAACTGCTTACTTGTCGACTTATGATGCTAAAACTCTGGGTGCCAACCGACTGCAGTGTTCCGTGATAAACGATTGGACGTAATACAGTGGCTGAACGTGCAAGTGAGAAAAACAAAAGGTGGAAGACACACGGTGAAAAGAAAACAACGAGGCAACATTAAATAAAACTGTGCTGGTACGCAAACAGAAATACAAGAGACTCTCGATTATCCACGCTCATGACGGGGAGGACGGCCGCGGATAATTCAAAATCACGGTTCATACACAAATATAACCATTTCCGCAGAAGACCGCGCCCAGGAAGTGGACAGCAGAGCCACGCCAAACAAAATCAAGCTCCGCCCACTGTTGTAAAGATATGCAACTACTGTACTGTAGAGGCGATCACGTGGATTTTAGATTAACAGGGGCACATATTTGTTCGCTTTCAGCACATGACTTGTAATAAATGAATAATAAATAAACGCAATGTGTGACTAAATTTTGATTTAAAGCTTTCGTGACTGCAGGGATTCATATTCTTGGTTCTTTCGGTAAAGTCACCACGTAGAAGGGAAACAATAAAATGTTCTTGTTGTGGTTTTCACACCTGATGATGATTGCTTGCGTTGCGGTCGAAACGTCGTGAGAATTTTATTGTTTTATATTTTTATTATTTCATTGTTTCCCTTCTACGTGGTGACTTTACCGAAAGAACCAAGAATACAATGTGTGACTGTTTATAGATTATTAATTTGGGCGGTTAATCCGCAAATCGGATAAACCGCACACGGATAATCGAGAATCCACTGCATAATATTAGACACATTTTCTACGACCGAACGAACGCTCTGCCTTGTAGCCATACTTGGAAGCAGCAGTGTGTCTCTTGGTGGGCGCCAGAGAGTCTGAAAGAGGCCTTGGAGGCGGACTGCGGACTCCACCGTCGCTGCCGATGGCACGTCTGCCACTCCGGTGTTGGTGTTCCTCGGGGATCTGCTCGACGTCCCGTGCGTGGCGGCCCACGGCAAGTCCGTGCCGTGGCCCCTGCTCAATCTCGGAAGGCTTTGGCCCACTCGTCTGAGCGGAGAGGCTTGCAGGCCCATTTTGAAAATCGCGTCTCACAGCTGCATCACCAGCGGCCTTGCCTGGTCTGTCGGAGGTAATCTATTCAAAAGGAAACATAAGGAAAGATGTCACCCGTAGCTTTTTTGCAACCAACAGTATGATTTATAGCTGACTTTTGGGTCAGGCCATGCGATGATCTAGGCCACCCGACAAATCCAAACTGAATTAATTTTCATGCGTTCAAGCATTTACGAACGCACCAGTTATTATCGTTTTAAATCTCACAAGCAAGTTGAGCAATACGCATCTAATTTCAACATCTGGGTTGTGAGAATTGTTAAATTAACCGATGCGTGAGCTGAAACAACAATAACAATGGTAGGGGAAACGGAGGGAAGAGGGCGGCAGAGAACAGAGAAGGACGGAGAGGATGGCGTCCAAGGTGCTGCCCCCTTTGAGACAGAGCACCAAAGAAGAATGTGAACAGGGGCACTCCAGCGACGTCACCGCGGTGGTGTTGCATAAACAAGCGCGGGAACGACGCGGCAGCGGCAACGCCGGGGCGTGCGCCTCACCGTCACGACGAGGGAGGGCCAAGCACAGCGCCGATCGCAGCGCCATCCCCTTCCTCAGCCAACAACTGAGATAAGAGGCAAAGTAAATCCTGCCCGCTTGGGAACCCGTCCGCCTTAATGTCAGAGTGTGAATATGAGCTACGAATTAATTTTGGAAAAGAGGCCGCCACATACAAGATGACGAGAATGAAACTTGGCGGGGAATTGTTAAACGGATGGCAACGGACACTCTAGGTTAGCAAAAGAATGTTAGAGTTAACAAAAAGTTATTGTAACTGTTTGTAATCCATAATACGCACCAGCACAGGTGTGATAATGTGCTTTTATAAGTCTGACGTGTTTAAAAAAAACGCCTTCATTTGCTCGAAAGAAAACCCAGTTCCCCGTTATCGCACGCAAAACGCACGGGAGTCCGAAGGACCACGATTTGATGTGACACCGTCAAAAAGCATGTACCTTCTGTTTGAGATGAATATTCTGCTTTTCCAAATGGAAAAAAGCTTGCTTCAACACATCAACCTCGTGGTTAAATTTCTCGATGTCATCTCGACATTCTTTTTCCGAGAACTGCTTTCTGCAATCGATATTGGAGTCTACGCTTCTCGACGCGGAGCTGCATGGCGTGCCCCGTTCCTTGGAAGGAAGGGCGTCGTTAGCTCGGGGGTGACAATCTTCGAGCGCGGGTTTGTCCAGTGCACGGCGTTCATTTAATGATTTAACACCGACCGCCAGCTCAGAATTAACTGCGGCATCGCAGGCATCTATCTTCGCGGCGGCGGCGCTCGCTAACACGCACGTGCTTCCTTGTTCATCGTCAACAGGTTTGCTTTTTAAAACAATACTGCTACTCGGTTGATCTTTGTGCGCCGATTTCGTAAACATTTCGTTAAATGTATGAACTAATGCCTTTACGTTGAGTGAGCTCGAGTCCTCGGGAAGACTCGGTGGCCGGTCGGTGGGGTGCAGCCTTTCGGGGGGGGTAGGATATGAGGGCAGCTTCTCAGACGACGCTAAGTCTTCGTCGCACGCCTGGGCGGTCGTGGGACTTGCGGCGCTCTGACCCACCGCGGCAGCGCACGAGTCGTTTCCGATGTTTCGCGTCGACGACGCGACCGTGCCTTCTCGCACGAAGGCATCGTCGTCACCGCCTCCTCCGCGTCGGCCGTTTCCACCTGCCGAACTGGCCCGACAAACACGAACGTCACCCTGGTCCTCTGCGGGCAACGCAGAGATTCCCTCGGTCGTTTGTATACGGATAATTTTGGTTAACTGGGGATTCGACGAGTCCGTCGCCCTCTCATCGCCGCGTGGCAGGGCTGCGGCGCCGGTGTCCGCTGCGTTTTCAACGGAGCCCGTCTTCGGCTTTTCACGCCCGTCCCTCGTGCGACCGTCGGCTTGCTCGTCAAACGCTGCTCGCGATCTGTTGGCGCCATCGTCCGCTGCCGTGGCTCCTTCGGGGCCTCCCGAGTCCAGGCTCCGCGAGTCGTTCACCTCGTGAACGACACTCTGCTCGTTGTCCTCAAGCTCCGGCTCATCACTTTCATCATCCACCCCTTTACTCACAGGTGCAAGGTCTACTTTACTTACGTCCTTTTGCAAGCGTGCAATTACAAGAAGACAAGCAGACGGATATATAAGCATTCACATCTCGTTTGTGATACACGGTTTACAAAACAAACGCGATACATTTCCGTTCACTATTGGTTCAGATTGAAGAAATAAAATCCTTAAAATGTAATATTTATACCGAGCGTTTAATTTGTTTGCGGGTGTAGTGCACAATGTAATTTGTGTATCTAACTTTGAACAGGAAAGAATCATTACAACACCTACTGGGCATGTTCCCAACTACACCTTTGGAAATAGCCGTAAAGATCCATAAGAGGTTTTTTGGGTTAGAACGCGTAAATATATAAATGTGTCGTTAAACCCGCCACCACCTGACACAGCCAGTTGTCACGTAAACAGAACGCAGTGACGAATTGCCACGTTCTGTTTACGTGACAACCCTCACTAATTAATGACACATTTATATATTTACGCGATCGAACCCAAAAAACCTCTCTTATGGATGATATTGGTCGCCGATTCGCCTTGAATTCAGCAACCATTGTGACATGCAGTTTGCTGTCTATAACCAGGTCAGCCTTTCGGCATTTGAACTACTGACTGACGAACGGACTCCCAATACAAACGAACAATTTATCAAGTTCAACGATCACACCGCACAGCAAACGAGGGCATTCCTAAAGCGAAGAAAATGTTAAACACTCAATAATTGGTCAATAACACCTTGATGTGTAAAGAACCGCAGAGCTTGGGCAAACATTGTTGCAGGCTCACCGCGTGGCTCCCGCTGCCTTCCCGCTTGTCTGTGGTTCTTCCTCGAGCCTCCGCTGTGCGGCGCGCTATTACCAATTATTCATGCATTACACCGGTACATTAGGCGAGACGCTTACCTTTTGATCGGTAATTGCTTCAACGTCGAGTTCTTCCCTTTGGCTCGTTCCGCCGGAGGAGAAGGTCTCGCACAAGTCTTCGTCTGGATCGACACCCGGCGATCCGATCTCATCTGAAGCACACGAAAAAAACGTCAACTGCGTTTAATTACGTATGAAACGCAACAACGCTCACCACATAGACTATAAAAAACCCATAAACTATTATTTTACCAGGCAAGGCCCACTAAGCAATATAGCTCTTTTTCAGAAGCGGCCCGGCCACAAATGATAGCTCCACGTTGTGGCGACATAACCGCACAGCATGAGGCAATGCCGTAGTAACATGCCGTTCACTCGAAGCGGCAACGTTTGATCAGACTATGGTGGCCTCGGTTACCGTAATAATTCACTTTTTGGGGCTGGAATGGGGATGGGTGGGGGCATGGGGGAGCCGCCATACCAAGCATGTTGAGAACCACTATGCGACTACACTGTGCTGATGGGTCACTGCATCACTGCTGTTGTCAGTCGGCCACATTTGCTCGACATTCATTTTGAAGGTGACCCAAGACAAGACGTCCACAATGCACTTCTTCAGGAAATGCTGCTTGGTTTTTGTTCCATACGTGCAATTAGCTGTTCTTTTTACGCATTTTTGCGTCCCGTTTGAAACTCGAGAACCCACTGCCGTAAACCTTCGTTCCCAGTCAAGTCTCCACCCCTTCAAGTAATCCGATAATTAACAAATGCACAGCAACGCGACGACGTTTCATTCCCTTACCAAAAGCAACCTTTGATTTGTCCTCGATTTTCGATGGGTGCTCAATATAAGCAGAGGAGAAGAGGTTGCTGCTGCTGCTGCTGTTGTTGTTGTTGTTGGAGGTGTTCACCAAGGCTGCCGTTTGAACACTCGGCAACGTCCGGGGACCGCTTCCTGCAGCAGCACCACCTACTTTCACTGCAGACAGCGACGACAAGTCTGAACTTTCACGCTTCGCAATCTTCAGAGGGCAAATTTCAACCGACTGGGACGGCTCCGACTCTGCCGTAGGTTTGCCCGGCGGGAGAACGAGAGACGCCCGGCGACCGGCGGCAGAACCCAACGCCCCCGCGAAGCGGGACGGCGGTTTACTCGAAGACGCCAACGCGGCTTGTTCCAAATCGGCGGGGGGCCGTGGTTCCCGCGGCGAGGCGGGGGCGTGGCCACCGCCGACGGCGCCGGCGGAGCCAGCGGCGCGCGCATCACGCGTTGTTCCTGCCGCACCCCGGGGAGCCGCCTCGCTGCCGACGCCGTCGCCGCCGCTGCCGCCGCTCCCGGATCCCGAGGGCTCCTGGACCGGACGGGATGCGTTCGAACGCGTGTCCCCGTGGTTGGAGCGGCGCGCGAGCTGGGAGGGTTCGCCGGCGTCCCGTCCCGCGTGGAAACCCTTCAGCTCCGCGGTTTGGGCGCGCGGCGGCTTGAGCGGGCTAGGCCCCGCATCGTGGGAAGCTTCGGAGCGGCTGCCCATGGAATCCCATTCGGAGGCATCTGCAGGCGAAAAAACACACACGTGAGTAAAGACTTGATGATGACGACCGTTTGTGTTATGGTCGAAACGTCGTGAGAATTTTAATTGTTTTATATATATTTTATTATTTTATTGTTTCCCTTCAACGTGACTTTACCGAAATAGCTAAGAATAAGGTTCTATACCATTAAGTAATTTCCCACTATCTTTTCGGTGTTAGAACTGGACATCAACAATCGTTAAAATACCGCAAAACTCGACTATCTTTTTGTAAGATGCAATAAATGTCAACCACTGTTGACTTAGTAGTTCCAATACTTGAACAAGTTTTGAATTTCAAATAGCGAACACGCGTTTAACCCACGACGTGCGAAACATCTTTAACCGTGCCTCCTCGCTGCGCGACGTTTTTTTATTTGAGCAGTCGGCAGGTGACGTCACGTCAAGCGGGCCTTGCACGGAAAAATAAACACACGCGGTACGAATTGGGAAGGGAGACACGAGGAACCGAGTTTGGGAAACGCCACTTGAGGCAGCATGACTACACCAACCCGGGGCGTGTCGAAGCCACTTGAGCCCAGGCTACGTCCGCCAACTTTTGTGAGGTGGAAGGCCGCGCGTGCTTCAGGCAAATCTGAAATTATTCTGTGGCGGTGACTCCATCTGCAGGACGAGCAGGTCCCGACCGGGCACCCGTCCGGAGAAGTCAACACAATTTGTCGACGGCACTGCCTTGCATGGCACATGCACTTTGAAGAAGGGCAATTGGCCAAAACGTCGCTTATTATAAATGTTTTAAACTTTCATGGCCACAGCGTTATTGACGAAGTTGGAGTTTAAGTTAAATACCCATGCGCATCACTGCCAACGCAGCGTGGGTCAAACACTTTGTTTACGATTGCTCACGAGTCATCATCCCCAAATGGAGTTAGCCAGAAAGACTAGCATGGCACTTGGCTAGGATGACATCTGGCTAGGATGACATCTGGCTAGGATGGAATCCGGCTAGGATGGCATTCAGCTAACAGGGGATCCAGTTAACATGGGATCCAGCTAGGATTGCATCCGGCTAGGATGTGAGTGTGTGCGTCTAATTTGACTGACTGAATGCGCTGGATGAAAGCATGCGTCTCCTTACCCTCCAGGTCATCAGCATCGTCCAGGCCAAGGTCATCAATCACATTTGCTGCACACAAACACAGCACGGATGATGGGCAGGGGAGCATGTCTCATACGAGTATTTTAGTTTTGTATCGCGTGCGGGAACCTCACCGAACGAGAGACATCCAACCAAAGCGTTGGCTCTCCTGGAGCAAATAAGCAACCCGCTCGTCGTGGTCTGTTGTGCTGTCACGCGTGCGGGAATCGCTCACGTTTATTGCCGCTCAAGACGGTCAACGGCTTTGAAGACGTCTCTTGTCCCGGAGGCTTCTGAAGAGGCCGCGCTTCTTTCTTGTCGGACACGGCCTCCGAGAACTGGAAAAAAACAAAAGAGCATCGGGGACAGAGCACGAGACCCGGCACAAACTGATGGTCGCAAATATATAGCGGCAGCAGGCTAAACGGATACAGCTACGACAGACTGTTTCTCATATTCTTGGTTCTTTCGGTAGAGTCACGTAGAAGGGAAACAATATTATAAAAAATATTTTTTATTATAAAAAATATTTTGTATTATTATTTTATAAAAGAACCAAGAATATGAATCCCTGCAGTCACGAAAGCTTTAAATCAAAATTTAGACTGTTTCTCCTATAACTCCAAGCGAATTGGACGCAACGTGATGGATGTATTCGGGAACGAGCTTTTTATAGTGCTGACGCGAATCGGATAGAACGCGATCGGGTGAACGGAACTACGTCGCAGCACGAGTAGGAATAAGCGGTCGTAGCGGCTAGCTGGGCGCAGCGTCGCACAAGGTGGGATGCTGCTGGATGCTTCTAGATGCTACCCACGACACCTCAGTCTTTGTTCAGCCTGCGTACGCGTCTCAAGGTGTCTACCGTGCAGCAGCTGGGTCATCCGATGGAAGGGCAAGGATACTGGCATCGACGGCTTTTGTCATGAAGACGTTAATCGTTACAAGATAATAAATTAAAGTCTTTGGAATCTTCTTCTTCTTTCATACGGCTGCTGATGTACGGTGAGGGAAAAAAGTATTTGATCCCCTGCTGATTTTGTACGTTTGCCCACTGACAAAGAAATGATCAGTCTATAATTTTAATGGTAGGTTTATTTGAACAGTGAGAGACAGAATAACAACAAAAAAATCCAGAAAAACGCATGTCAAAAATATTATTAATTGATTTGCATTTTAATGAGGGAAATAAGTATTTGACCCCTCTGCAAAACATGACTTAGTACTTGGTGGCAAAACCCTTGTTGGCAATCACAGAGGTCAGACGTAGTTGGCCACCAGGTTTGCACACATCTCAGGAGGGATTTTGTCCCACTCCTCTTTGCAGATCTTATCCAAGTCAATAAGGTTTCGAGGCTGACGTTTGGTAACTCGAACCTTCAGCTCCCTCCACAGATTTTCTATGGGATTAAGGTCTGGAGACTGGCTAGGCCACTCCAGGACCTTAATGTGCTTCTTCTTGAGCCACTCCTTTGTTGCCTTGGCCGTGTGTTTTGGGTCATTGTCATGCTGGAATAACCATCCACGACCCATTTTCAATGCTGATCATTTCTTTATCAGTGGGCAAACGTACAAAATCAGCAGGGGATCAAATACTTTTTTCCCTCACTGTACCATGGTTAATGTGAATGCGGTTTAGGGTGGACCATGAGCTTCGTGGAAGATCAAACCCAGGGATTATCTGCGTTGGTTCTTTCACAACAAGGTGTTTGTTTGTCATTTGTTTAGAACTCCATTCATCTCTCCAAGCTTTATCCGGCTGGAATTCCCATTGTTTAAGGTTGAACTTAACCTGAAACAATCCAGGCTTGAAGGTTAACCTTAAACAATGCGGATACGATGATGGCATGTGTGTAAATTAAGTGAATACCTCCGAGTCAGATGGGGACCACCTTCCATGCTCCTGTCCATCGTCCTCTTCCTCGTCATCTTCCTTGTCCTCATCCTCCCCCGTCCCGGCCGCTTCTCCGTCCGCGTCTTCTGCCGCGTCCTCTCCTCCGTCCTCCGCGTCCTCTTCCTCCAGCCCGAGCGCCGCCATGAGGTCTGGGAACGCCGAATCGCGACGGGAAAAGTCTCGCATTTGAACCGTCGCGGAAACTTACAGCCGGCCGAAGGCGACACGAGTCAGTAAACTAGCGCTACCCGTAAAAATCTCCTCCGCAAAGGGAGACGGTGTGAAGGAGCTGGGGCTGCGGACGTGCAGTCGTGATAGCCGATGAGGATTTGGCGGCGAATGATTCTCGTCAAGCGGTAGAAACTGTAAATGAAGGAGTGCCGCTATGAAAGGTGTTCGTCCTGCAGAAGGCCGCGCTCACCGCCGTTTCCCCTCTGCGGAAAAAAACATCGCGGCGTAGCAAGAGGAGCCGTTCAGGAACAGTGCCGGTTATGTATGCTTGCATGTTGAACTTCTTTCGCACCGTACGTAGCCAGCCGTGCTCATCGGAGGTGCGGGTGGAAGGACAACAAACTAAACACAAAAAACAGTTTCAAAGAAATTCGTTTTAAACTTAGATCATTTAAAAGTGCGTAGCTCCAGTGTCTTCCTCATAGCAGACGGCTGCAGCAGTGGGCGACCGTCTTTGTTCAATGGATATACCGTATACACATTCGGTCTCCTGGGAAATGCCGGTATGGCATACTGTCATATACCAGGCCGGTTCCACCACTGTCCGTATCACTCAAGCATTCTGGTGGCAAGGTGGAGCAGTGGTAACACTTGTGCCTCACAGCAAGAAGGGCCTAAGTCTGATTCCCGAGTTGATGTGTGAAGTTTATATGTTCTCCCACGATTCTCCAGAAGTGTGTGTGAATGTACGAGTGAGTATAATGTGTGTTCTCTCTCCCCCTGTTGTGCACGAGTTTCCTCCGGGTCCTCCGGTTTCCTGCCATTGCGATACAGAAGCGGTGAGCGCAAGCAAAGAGAGAGAGAAGTGGTGAGCGGAGCACACAGTGAGTGAGAGAAGTGGTGAGCTCAGCAGAGAGAGAAGCGGTGAGCGGAGCACACAGTGAGTGAGAGAAGTGGTGAGCGGAGCACACAGTGAGTGAGAGAAGTGGTGAGCTCAGCAGAGAGAGAAGCGGTGAGCGGAGCACACAGTGAGTGAGAGAAGTGGTGAGCGGAGCACACAGTGCGTGAGAGAAGTGGTGAGCTCAGCAGAGAGAGAAGCGGAGCACACAGTGAGTGAGAGAAGTGGTGAGTGGGGCACACAGTGAGTGAGAGAAGTGGTGAGTGGAGCACACAGTGAGTGAGAGAAGTGGTGAGCGGGGCACACAGTGAGTGAGAGAAGTGGTGAGCTCAGGAGAGAGAGAAGCGGAGCACACAGTGAGTGAGAGAAGTGGTGAGTGGGGCACACAGTGAGTGAGAGAAGCGCCCACCCCTCCGTGCGGCGTGCGGGGAGCGGGTTCCGTGCTTCCCTGGTCCCGGGGGCCCCAGAGCGCGGGGGGAGCCCGAGTGGAGCGACTCATCGCTGCAGCTCCCAGCAGCATCCTCCTCCTCCCATTCCTCCTCCTCCTCGTCATCCTCGTCGTCCGCCGCCTTCACACAATCACAAAGCGCGATAGCCACACACGGCATTACCCTCACCAGGTGAGTTACACTTGGCATTACCCTCACCAGGTGAGTGACAATTACACGCTGCATTACCCTCACCAGGTGAGAGACAATTACACGCGGCATTACCCTCACCAGGTGAGTGACAATTACATGCTGCATTACCCTCACCAGGTGAGTGACAATTACACGTGGCATTACCCTCACCAGGTGAGTGACAATTACACGTGGCATTACCCTCACCAGGTGAGTGACAATTACACGCGGCATTACCCTCACCAGGTGAGTGACAATTACACGCTGCGTTACCCTCACCAGGTGAGTGACAATTACACGCTGCATTACCCTCACCAGGTGAGTGACAATTACACGCTGCATTACCCTCACCAGGTGAGTGACAATTACACGCGGCATTACCCTCACCGGGTGAGTGACAATTACACGTGGCATTACCCTCACCAGGTGAGTGACAATTACACGCGGCATTACCCTCACCAGGTGAGCCACTAATACACACAGCGACACGCGGCTTTAAAGAGCTCAAGACAGAGACGACCCACCTTCATCTAGGAGAGCGTCGCCTGCTCTGCTATGTAGAAAAAAAGGGGACCGAGTCTGTTTTCTGCACGTGCGTGGAGGTTTACGAACGCTGCATACGCGGCGTTGAAAAACGATTCTCGAATCGAATAAAAACCTCCACCGAGAACGGCACCGAGAGGATTATCCAACGACGCCGCTCCCACGGTGGGTAGAAGGCGAGAGGCGGCGACGGTGACGCGACGCGGCACGGCACGACAGGCGCTCGCCACTGCGGTCCGTTCGCCCCGATGAGCCGCTTGTGCAACCCGCGCTCCTAGCACCGTACCTGACGTGTCCCACTTGGCTGCCCTGAAGCGTCGCACAACGGCGCCGCTCCCATCTCCAGCAGCTCCTCCGAGCTCACGCCAGGAGCTTCCTCCCCCCGCCGGCCTTGCGCACCGCCGCGTGCGTCTTCTAGCCCCGCTGATTCTGGGATTTCCTCAATCCCTGATTCTGGAATTTCCTCCATCCCCGATTCTGGAATTTCCTCAATCCCTGATTCTGGAATTGCCTCCATCCCTGATTCTGGAATTTCCTCAATCCCTGATTCTGGAATTGCCTCCATCCCTGATTCTGGAATTTCCTCAATCCCTGATTCTGGAATTGCCTCCATCCCTGATTCTGGAATTTCCTCAATCCCTGATTCTGGAATTGCCTCCATCCCTGATTCTGGAATTGCCTCCATCCTGATTCTGGAATTTCCTCAATCCCTGATTCTGGAATTTCCTCAATCCCTGATTCTGGAATTGCCTCCATCCCTGATTCTGGAATTTCCTCAATCCCTGATTCTGGAATTTCCTCAATCCCTGATTCTGGAATTGCCTCCATCCCTGATTCTGGAATTGCCTCCATCCCTGATTCTGGAATTTCCTCAATCCCTGATTCTGGAATTTCCTCAATCCCTGATTCTGGAATTGCCTCCATCCCTGATTCTGGAATTTCCTCAATCCCTGATTCTGGAATTGCCTCCATCCCTGATTCTGGAATTTCCTCAATCCCTGATTCTGGAATTGCCTCCATCCCTGATTCTGGAATTTCCTCAATCCCTGATTCTGGAATTGCCTCCATCCCTGATTCTGGAATTTCCTCAATCCCTGATTCTGGAATTGCCTCCATCCCTGATTCTGGAATTTCCTCAATCCCTGATTCTGGAATTGCCTCCATCCCTGATTCTGGAATTTCCTCCATCCCTGATTCTGGAATTGCCTCCATCCCTGATTCTGGAATTGCCTCCATCCCTGATTCTGCAATTTCCTCAATCCCTGATTCTGCGATCCCTGCTGATTTTGTGATTTCCTCCATCCTTGATGATTTTGCGATCTCCTCCATCCCCGCCGATCCTGCGATTTCCTCGATCTCAGCCGATTCTGATATTTCCTCGATCTCAGCCGATCCTGCGACTTCCTGCCCATCCCCATCGCTCTCCCCGTCACTCCCACCCCGCCCACGGCCTTCCCCGTCCCCACGCGTGCGTCCCTCCTCCTCCTTCCGATCCTTGACGAGGAGTTCCTCCTCGTCATTTATGTCATCTTCATCCGCAAGAAGTTCACCAAACATCTCGCCGAGACCCCTACACTGCTCTGCATCCATATTTGCAACGCCTGATCCTTCCGTCTTAATGTCCTCTCCGACGACATGCACACCGTGCTTTTCAGAACATCTTTCTCCGCGACGATCTCGTTCCCCTCTTCTCGGCAGTCGTAGTTCCTCTCGACGGCCGTTGCTTTCCAAATCCTCGATTTCTTCTTTGACGAGGTCTTGCTCCTCTCCCACACCGAGTTCATCTTGAGTCGACTCCCTCCTTACACGGTCATCTTTGACAACCGATCCTACCGACGCTCCCTCATCACGTCTTCGCTCCTCGGCCGTACGTCGTCCGTCGCGACGTGGTTCTCTCCCTCCGTGTTTTTCCTGCGCACATTCACTCTGCCACTCGTCCGAGTCCCCATCCTCGCCACCCTCAAGAGCCGCTTCCTGTGCGTCATCCCAATCGCCATTACCAATCTCCTCCGCGCTCCCACCCGGCACGCACGTTTCCCTTTTCCCACCGCGCTCCTCCTCAGACCGATCGCACGTGTGCTTCTCCTCCGCTCCCTTTGCCCCTTTGCATCCTCCTTCCACACTGTGAGCCTCCTTATTCGTGTCCCGATCCCTTGCCTCTACGCCGTCGCATCCCGCTTGGCCCACCTCCCCTTCCAATTCAGCTCCTGTCTTTTCTGAAGCGTGGTGCCCATCCACGTCCCCAATCTCCTGCACGTGGCAGCTCTGTTCCGCTTCTGTGTGCGCCGCTGAACGCGTTTCCGCCCCAACGTCTCCTTCAGCTGTGGCCTCGTTATCCCCATCGCCTTGGGGGTGTCGTGCTGCCTTCTCATCCGCTGGTACTCTTTCCCCCGCGCGTTGGACGCACGTATCTTGAGATTCACACCCATCGGAGTCCTGCGCCAGTACCTCACTTATCTCACGTCCAAGATCCTCCTCTGTAAAGTCGTCGCTGCTGCTTCGATTCTCACTTTCCAGTTCGTCCCAGCTCTGCCGCGGCCGACAGTTGCGTTTCGCTCCCCCAAGTCCACGTCCTCCAGTATTCTCTCTCTCGACACGTTCTCCATCCACAACGGAGTCGTCCTCCGCACTATTTTCTTCACGCTCATTACTGTCATTGGCATCAATGAAACAGGTTTCTTCACGATCCTCTTCCTGATCACCCTCAACATCATCACTAACATCAACATCGTCGCCGTCATCATAATCGTCATCGTCCACGGTGTTGCTCTCTCCTTCATCATCAATCTCTTCCGAATCATCCCAACTGCTCTCCTCCTCTTCGGCTTCATCTCCTTCTTCAACTGATGACGAAACCACCGCTTTATATTATTCGGCGCCACCGAGAGGGAAACGTACCGCCGAGGGCAAAAAGGATTACCACTCACCGCTCTAATCCAATCAAGCTCTCCAGGGATGACAGGGCACCAGAGGGAAACACTACGGGATGGGTGGGTGGGGGGGGTAGGTGGTTACCTTGAGATGACCATGACGAGGACGAGCGAAGGGATCTAGCCGGGGTGAGGGCGAGGAAGGGCGAGGGACACGGCTGTAGGAGCTGGGAGGGGAGGCGCGGGGGAGCGGGCGTGCAGACACTTTCCTCTCATCTCCACTCTCTCCGGAAAACTCCTGGTCGGGGACTGGATAGGGATTGGAGGAGCCTAAGGGATTGGGAGGGAACAACTGGGATAAGCACGAATGGAAAAATTTCTACTCGCAACAAACTTAGCATATCCGGTGGGGTTATAAACATATGACCATGTTGACGATGACTAGCTTTAATAATGAAATGTGTAAAGCAACGACAGGTAGGGATTCCATAGAACAGGGATGAGGCCTGCTTTTTTAAGGAATGGGTAGAGGTGAAATTAAGTAGTGCAACTTTTCTGCATTACGGTTGCATAAAAAACGACGTTCATATCTGAGTTGACGCTGATAACAGTGGCTGCAACACTTTGGAAACGAAGCTCCATCGGCAACTCACAGCAGCGCCGTTAAAATGTTTCCCGCTGCACCACGCGGCGGTGCTGTGATTGGCTGGATGAGTATTCTTGGGTCTTTAGAAAGACCCAAGAAGATGAATTCCTGCAGTCATGAAAGCTTTAAGTCAAGATTTGGCTGGATGAGGTCACGTGTGGGTGGCGGATGCATCGTTGGCAAGGAAATGTTTAATCGTAGTAATAATAATACCGGACTAATTTATATTTGTGTTGATTAATAACGAACCTCAGTTAATGTACACATCTTAGAATTTCAACCTCATTTTTTTTTACCTAATAAATATTATTTGTCAGATTTTCATAGCCTGAGCAAGTTTAATTGCAGCACCGGCAGCACCATTGAGATACGAAAACATTGACCACCCGCAGCTCCTCCACTGCACCACCGTGTCATGAAAAAGGCCCCGGGAAATGACGTCACAGAACCACTCCATCTGAATTCAAGGAGCCTATTTCCCCACGCCGCGGGTACACTCAGTCTGCATTGGTTTGGCCGGATCCCTGGTGTGAGGTTAGCTAGGTGGGCCGGGCCGCTCAGGCGAGAAGAGATCGCGGGGGGTAGAGCCTCGGAGCCTCCTGACCCCCGGATTTTGAAACTCCAATCCGGGATCTCGGTGTCTCCGACACAGCCATTATGAACCTCATGAGCGACAGAGAGAAAGACCCAGAACCCAGGGATTTAAACCTAGCATCCCAACGATGCCGGCTCAGTAAGGCAGGCCTGGTCTGGAGTCAGGGGACACCAAGGCCTCAACTGCATTTACTTTTTTAATTAAAACATTAATTACAAACGAGATGACATCACAAACTCCTCTGATGTCATCCTTTTTCGTATTTTGGAATCTATGTGCGGATCATAATGGCTCGATAATTGTCACGTGAAAACAGAAGGGGCAACTTGCGCTCAGAAACAGGTTGCTGCCAGAAAGGAGCGGAGGGGAATTTGCAGAAAAGTGGCGCACCGTTTGGCTCAGGGGTGGGCAAATTTTTCTGACTCGCGGGCCACAATGGGTTCTAAAATTTGACAGAGGGGCCGGGCCAGGAACAGATGGATGGAGTGTTTGTGTGAACTAATATAAATGACGTGTAAAAATAATTACATGAAAGGATTTGGCATTTAACAGGTAGCAAAGCATTTATTTGCAAGGCAATTTAACAAATTGCACGAACGTGAACAATACAAAAACATATCGTAACTCCTGGTCAAAGTGCGCCATCTAATGGGGAAATGGGGGCATTACAAGAGAAGGGGAAAATTTAATTTAATTTAATAATATTTGGACAAAGTTCGGCGGGCTGGATTAAAAAGCCTAACGGGCCGTACTTTGCCCATGTCTGGTTTAGCTTCAGATCGAGAGGGGGGATGGAACTGCGGGGAGAGCGAGCACCCGACACAAGGCTTCCATAGCCGCAATGGCACGCAGCCTTAGCGACGTTGCATTGGTTAAGGGTGCGCTGGAGGAGGAATGCGTACATTTTAAAAACCACGGCAAAACATTTGTTTGTATTAACTATAAACGCGGTGACACTTACCTTCACTTTCCAACCTTTGGCTTACTGACAGGAGTTTAGATAAGTCAGGTTTCAAAGGTTTCTGTAAGAGAAAGCTCAACATGAGTTCAATGGAATTACCGAATGCCATATTTGTTTTTATGACATATAACATTATTACTTTGCAGTTTTACAGGATAAATGTATATGTTATATACCACAAACACATTGGAGTACATTATTGTGCTTGTAAGCTGACTTTTATTATATGTCACTTTGAATCCCCAAACCCAAGGGTGTCAAGGATTGAAATCGAAGCAAAACTAAGTTGTTGATCAATTCTAAAATAATAATGACAACAACGTAAAGTTCGTTGTCAGTTTGCTTGTGAAGGTCACATAAGTTTTGAGAATTACAATCAGAAGTTTATTTCCCGCCGAGTAAAGCCCACCGAACTCAGAAGCCCTTTCTCAGCGGCGACTCGGCTAAGCAGACGTCAAAGCATTCCACAGTTACAGATTTTTTTGAAAAACAGGCAAACTGAATAATAACTAGTGAGTTGTAAAATGACATTCACACTTAAACGTCAGTGATGTTTTAATAGAGTCAGTTTATATAAAGGAGAGAAATGGCAGAATGGAGATATGCCAAGAGACAAAAGCGCGTGGCTCCAAACACTTTGGGGCAGCAGCTACATTGAATTATCTCGATCCAAATTGTGTGTGCGAAATGTGTGAACTATTAAGGGACAATCGGACGCGCGTCGCAGATGTTTCGGATTGTCCGACGGTAATAACAGCGGGTCAAACACATAAAGCAACCATCTGCAGACAGGAGTAGCCTTGGAAATTAAAATAGCCCTGCAGTGAAATTTCCATCTACATGCCAAGCACGCCACGGCCATCTGTGCTTAGTTTCCAACGTCTGATGAGATCAGACGCATTTCCCGAGTGAATTGGTCATGAGCAAATGAGAATAACAAAAGCATTATTTGTAACCAATGAGATGTTCACGTAGAATGACTTTTAAATATGGGTTCTGTCCGCGTGAAGTCCATTCATTGATTAATCCACCATGCCGAGGACTCTGTCTACTAGACGCTCACTGTTTCGTCTCAACCATCACACTAAGTTGAACCACCACACCGCAAGTCACAACAACACACTCACCCACTCACTCACTCACCCACCGCTTAACCACCACACTGCAGGTCACAACAACACACTCACCCATTTATTCACCCATCCACTCACTCACCCACCGCTTAACCACCACACTGCAGGTCACAACAACACACTCACCCACTCACCCATCTACTCACTCACCCACCGCTCAACCACCACGCTCAGGTCACAACAACACACTCACCCACTCAATCACCCACCTACTCACTCACCCACCACTCAACCACCACATTGCAGGTTACAACAACACACTCACCCATCTATTCACTCACCCACTCACCCACCACGCTGCAGGTCACAACAACACACTCACCCATCTATTCACTCACCCACTCACCCACCACGCTGCAGGTCACAACAACACACTCACCCATCTATTCACTCACCCATCTATTCACTCACCCACTCACCCACCACGCTGCAGGTCACAACAACACACTCACCCATCTATTCACTCACCCACTCACCCACTGCTCAACCACCATGCTGCAGGTCACAACAACACACTCACCCATCTATTCACTCACCCACTCACCCACCACGCTGCAGGTCACAACAACACACTCACCCATCTATTCACTCACCCATCTATTCACTCACCCACTCACCCACCACGCTGCAGGTCACAACAACACACTCACCCATCTATTCACTCACCCACTCACCCACCACGCTGCAGGTCACAACAACACACTCACCCATCTATTCACTCACCCACTCACCCACCATGCTGCAGGTCACAACAACACACTCACCGATCTATTCACTCACCCACTCACCCACTGCTCAACCACAACGCTGCAGGTCACAACAACACACTCACCCATCTATTCACTCACCCACTCACCCACCACGCTGCAGGTCACAACAACACACTCACCCATCTATTCACTCACCCACTCACCCACTGCTCAACCACAACGCTGCAGGTCATGCTTCTATTTCTGCATCTTCCCTCGCGCGGCTCGACTTTGGAATTCCCTCCAATCGTCTGTTTTCCAAATCTCCTAAATCTGGCTCAAACTCAAAGTCCATTATAACGTCGAAAGCGCCATTTGTTGCTGGCCGTTTGGCTTTTGGTGCTTTGAGCTTGCGGCTCAGCAACTGTGTAGCAGTTTGAATAAAAAAATAAAAACCTTTGGGCTGAAGTCGAGGACGTCCTCGTCGTCACTGGAGCACCAAGAGCCTGCGGCCTCCTCCGCCGTGGGCCCGGTCCTGCAGGGCAAAGTGACAGCAGCGGCCAGGGTGCCGGGGGAAAGCTTCAACGCTCACTCAGGGGCCCGAGGGAACTCTCGCGCACTCGTCGCTGGACAAACATCGGCCGCAACATCGGGATAACGCGACACGAACTCGTGCAGAGTTTCTGACAACGTATGAATTAGACTCCTTGTAGGTATGTACGTTGAACCTCTTTCGCGCCGTACGTCAGCCGGTAGTGCTAATCAGAGGTGCGGATGGACGCAATTGAAGGACATGGAGCAGAGAGGTTTCAAAATGAACAAGAGAATTGATACGGGAAAGACACAAGTGCAGGGGATTTCACCAAGGTCCTGTCTTCGCAGACGCTGACAGAGCACAAAGGAAAATTGGCAATGGCAAAAAATTGCTACATTATGCGTGACACCAAATAAAATGGCATCGATGCCGAGAGTAATCACATCCTCTCCAGGATGTGGAACTCAAGAGACGAGGATAGCCTCTTGCAAACGGAACTATCCTTGATAACTGAGTTCTCCCTGGGTAAGAATAAAATCAACTAGGAGATTTCAACCTGAAAATCCAAACCATCAACACCAATGGACGAAATACTATACAAGGCGCACACTGCAATAGGTTCAGGAGGACTCTGGTACCTGCTCAATGTCTCTGTGTGAGAAGCATCTTCTCCCGCTGAAATTAAAACAAAGTTGACAGTTAGACGGGACACGTTTTCAACATCTGTGGTAAAATTCAAGTGTGTATACAATTCAACTAAACTATATCTAATTTACCATGTAAGGCCTATTGAGAGCTATGTAGCTCTTTTTCAGAAGGGACCTGGCCACAAATGATAGCTTAACGAAGTGGCTTATCATGAGGATATTTATAACAGCCAAATACTCTAAACGCATTACTTACAAATGGCTCACAGATATTTGCTTTAGGCGACATAATAACTTAGCCAAATCTATGTCATAAGATGTTCCCAACACCCGATATTGCCGAACAAATTAAACTTGTCACATGTGTGGTGAGGTAATTGGACTATTACGTTTAGCGCCAGCTGCTGTAACAAGAGTGGAACCTCGTGTCTTGAGCCTCTCTCTGGCACCAGAGTAGGCATGGCACGGAAGCGGGCCCTAGGGAGCATGGTTCTGGTGACGGTCAGAGAGAGGGCAAGTGAGGACGTGACAGTCTGGGTGAACCTGAGAAGCCACGTGACCGGGACAGGGTAGCGAGGGGGCCCAAAGGGCGGCTTGAGGGACACGCGATGCTCGGTCGAGAACCTTCTGCTGAGATCCAGAAGGGGGCGTGGCTGAGAGTGGAGCGAAGCATAAAAAGGAGGTCCCGAGAGCAATCGCGGCTGTCTGCTGGAACAGAACCCTCGGTGATACACCTCTTCGGTCTTCGGTCGTTACGCTCGGCATCGTGGATCAGGCAGTGTGTTGCTGACCTGACCCGTTTATGTAGTCACCCTGTTGGGGTCTAGTAACTGTGTACGTGTATGAAGAAACCCTGTTGGGGTGTTATAATAAACGTGTTGCTTCCAAGTTCAGGTGTGTGCCTCCGCGGAACCCACTACACATGTACGAGTGTACAGCAATGGCAGATCATTACGTGGCCTGACCCTAAAAAAAATATATATTGGCCGCAAGTTCAGGACAAATAACTCGTCCAATTGAAATCACGAGGCACCTTTGTTGAGCGCGGGAATGCCCAAACGAGCGGCAGCCCCCAGCTCTGGCAGGACAGGGCCCCTGCCCGTGCTGCCCACGGACAACTGTGACTGGGCAGCCCTGACCCCTTGCTCCCCAATCAGGTGAGAACACCTGCCAAACGCACCACGAGCACACAGAACGGCAAATAGAGTGATTGCAACATATTAAAATATTCATTAACAATCACCTTTATATATGTGTAAAATCCTGTACCTGGAGTGATTTTCTTTTGCATATGCAAAGACAGACATGGGTGAGCCGGGTCGGCTACGCATGTCGTACTGGCTACGCACGTCGCCTGCAACCCAGCGCTGTGGAGGCAAGCGAGGGTTGGAGGATCACCGCACAAATGTTGTGAAACTGCCTTCCCGTGGGCGTCGAGGTGCCATAGCCTAGCCCACCGGGAGAACGCGTCACGGCAAATGCGGACTTCACCTGTCCCGTCTTGAGATTGAGCACTGCCCCCTCGCGCGTGTGCGTTTCCTACGGGTGCCACAGTTACCTCCCACACCTCATTAAGTGGCCGATTAACATCTTCATATATATAGAGAGGACTCCAGAGCCTGAGGGGGCTCACCACCTGGTTTGCCTGTCTCACTCGGCTGTGGTTCCTCACGCCTCCGGGACGCTTGCTCTCTCTTTTCGAGAGCGAGTGAACAGCCGTGCGGCGCGCGGTCGAAGTTTAAATTATTATTACCGTTAAATTTCGATTTAAAGCTTTCGTGCCTGCAGGGATTCACATTCTTGGTTATTTTGGTAAATTCACGTAGAAGGGAAATAATAAAATAATAAAAATACAACATTAAAATAAAATTCTCACGACGTTTCGGCCACAACACAAGCAGCCTTCCTCAGGTGAAGAAACAGAACTGTCGGAAAGACAGCGCTCCAATGAAACCTGCAAAGCTTGGCAGCGTCTTTTAATCTGGGTGGGAGGAGCAGAGCGCCTTGACAAAGGAGTTTACATATCAACAGAATAATTTAGCATTGAAGTAGCTGTGTTAATGTGAGAGATTAGCAGGATGTTAAAGTCATAAATTAGCATGTAACTGGGAGATTAGCATGATGTTAGTGTGAGAATTTAGCATGTAACTGGTCATGGAAGTAGCTATGTTAAAGTTAAAGTTTACATATCAACATATCAGGTATTTAGTAAAATACCTCTGTTGATATGTAAACTCTAACTTTAACATAGCTACTTCCGTGACCAGTTACATGCTAAATCCTCACACTAACATCATGATAATCTCCCAGTTACATGCTAATTTCTGACTTTAACATCCTGCTAATCTCTCACATTAACACAGCTACTTCAATGCTAAATTCTTCTGTTGATATATTATTACTTTTGTTATGTGCAACATGTTTAGATAGATAAGTTAAGGCCTTCGTCCAGGTGTGAATTGACAAAGTGGCTTAAAATGACATTACTGTATTTTGGCAAGGGTGTTGCGAGCTTAAGGCTTTAAGGCTTGACGTATTAACCTTCTTGTGACTCACTAATCTACACCGTGTGCAGGCATTGCCGCTAGGACTCGGCGATATGGTGAGCCGAGCTTTGGAGCAGACGCGTCTCCCTGCATTGACCCCTGTGCCAAGGGCAGAACGGGAAGCAGAAATTGCACCAACTCACTCAGAATTCCACGTCAACAAATGCCCCGTTGTGCACAGTACCACTGCTCAGCACAAAATTCCAACGCAGTCGAAGTGACACACCGCAACACTCAGTTCAATCAGTAGAAAATGTGAGGCGAATTCAAAAACGGAAACGTTCTCATGAATGCAACGCACTTTCAGCTTTAGACATACTTAGAAAGTCAACTTTTAAAAGTAATGTTTCGTACAGCAGGGTTTTTGAATTGTGCCATTTTTTATAGATATATTTTTATACAGCTACAATGGCTTTCAAGACCTGTAGCTAAGTAACTCAAGCACTGAACAATCGCCACGTCAAAGCACAGTACAAGTGACAAAATCAATCAAACGACAATCTGCCTACTTCCCATGTGGCTGTACACAAAAAAACAGAATTTTTTTACATATCCTATCGGCCGCACAGCCTTCTGGAAGTGAACTTTTCAGAAGCATTGGTTCAACACAAGCAAATCTCCAGACTGGTTTTGCCATTCAGTGTCTCATCAGCAGCAGTCAGGCATGCTTTAAACCAATGCTGGTGAACTGCGAGATGTTAATAGGCAGTACAAGTGACAGCAATTGACGTCATGATTTTAATTTATACAAGGACTCCTCTACTTACGAACCTTCGAATTTTCAGAGATACGATCAAACCTGTCCGTATGTCCAGTTGTCTGTCTGGACCGAGAGTCGTAAGTTTAACCGCCGCGCAATATGTGATGATGGTGGCATCTACATCCGCAGAACGTGAAGAACCAGTGGCATCTACGTCTACAGGAGATTATACAACTTTAAAGCCATTCTACGTGTTTAGTGTGCACGCCGTACAACGTGTTTGGAATCGACGGGAGTAAAGTTGGACTCACGAACAAGTCGACTTACGAACAGACCTCTGGAACCTAACTCGTTCGTAAGTCGAGGAGTCCCTGTCTATCCGGGTTCTGCAACTGGCGGGCCGCAGGCCAGATGGGGCACCCAACGGCTCTTGCGGTGACACGCCGAGCTATGGCTCGCAGGGGAGGTTATGGCTCGAGGAGACGTAAAGACACGGCTTCGAGAGAGGTGTAGGAAAAAAAATGTGCAGATGAGTGGCCACGTGCAGAGACGTTGTGAAGCCACGGCGCCCGGTAACGTCGCGAATTTGTGGCGACACCACCCTCCGGCGAAACACCCATTTTATCGATTGGTCAGCCGGCACATAAGGTTTGAAAGACCCCCTGGTATCGCACAGGGATATGTACTCGCCGCAACCGAGGGGGGCGGGGGTGGGGGGGGCGTAACTCCCTGTGACTTACGCGTGGTGCCCATGAATGACGGCGTGGTCTTCGGCCGACCAGCCCTTGTCGTCCTTGCAAGACACGTCGGCACCGTGCTCCAGCAGCAGCTTCACGATCTCGTTCTCGCCGTTGCTCGCCGCAATCATCAGCGGGGTCCTGCTCACGACAAAAAAAGGAGGGGAGCGGCGTCATAGACCGCCGGGTGGCAACGGTTGCGTTACAAAGCTCAGCCACGACAGCTGTCTCTCCGATCGCACTGTTATCCGCCGCTCGTCTTCTGAACGGGACCGCCGCCGTTGATGACATTAAACATTCCTGCTACTGCAGGAGACGTCAGAAGGACCGCTTACATCTGCCGTCGTGCGTGTCGTGGCTGCGTTGGCAAGGATGCAATACGGACAGATGCAAACATCAGGAAAGGATTGTCCTCGACACGTTTTATACGAGAGCATACGTCGGAGTGATATGAATAACAGTTGCAGTTAACTGAATATTATGGGCTATGTAAACAACAGCAGTGGATAATTATAATATTTAATTGTGATTCAATATTGTTTTGCTTTGGCCACGACACGATCTGGTCAAATTTTCTGCCATTAGACCCTCCCCCGCCACCACCTGACATAAGAATGTACTCGTCACGCATTCTACGAGCACTCCAGATAAGCATCATGGACGACGTGCAAGCATCATTGCTCCTGCCGTTTCAGCTCACCGCTAAGTTTAAAGGTCGATTCTCACAATCAAATCGGCCAATCAAGAACTTTACACTCGTGCGTTTTTCACTTCGTACTGCATCGACAGCGACGTTTGTAATTGAGGCGGTAAAGTGGAAGTGCGGTTCTGGTGGGTGGGTGGGTGCGTGGGTGGGTGGGTAGGTGCGTGGGTGGGTGGGTGAGAAGGGACCTACCGCCGGGCACGGTTCCTGCTGTCCACATTGGCGCCATGCCTCAGCAGCAGCTCAACCATGGTCAGGTCGCCGCTGCTCATAGCCAGCAGCAGCGGGGTGTTCCCATCCTACACGGAGTACAGCACACCCACTGCAGCCCAAAAACCCACCGCCACCATAAGAACGTCCACGCGATGATACCTGGGGTGCAGCAGCCAGTTTCTGGCTCGCTCTACCTGACCGACGTCAACGTAAAACAGCTGGGTTGACCGACGATGCGGCGGTCACCGATTCACTGCAATAACCCGCTCGCCGAAGGTCAGTCGCCTGTAGGGGACTTCCACAACTGGGGGGCGGTGAAGTGGGGTGGGGGGCACCAGTAGGGGAGTTCCACAACCGGGAGAGGGGGGCGCCTACGACGATAAGCACCAGGTCATGTGAGTGAAGTCGTTCTACAATTTAACATTCCGAGATTTCAGGGACCACCAGTGGGTGCGTCTGTGCACGGTTATATTGAAATCTTGCCAGGCGTGAGGCTGCACCACCCGCGTACTTCAGCACGGAGTAAGGCAGGTTTGGGGCGAGCACGCAGATTTCACCACTGCACGCGAGACGCCCGTCCTGCTGGTATTTAGGGGGCATAACAACCTGTGCTGAAGACTGGTGGCTGGTGACTGTAAAATAACTAAATATATCACCACGTAAAAGCAGTCAGCTGGCACCGAAGACCCAGGGTTTGACAGCAGGTTGCAGCCACCTATGAATAAACCTGGTTCTCAATCGCAGCGAGTTGATAGCTTCAGCCCAAAATACAAGCGGCACACGTCCATTCGGCGTCAGCCCACTCGACAAACACCCGTTCAAGCGACACACGTTCATTCTGCAAGAGGGCAGCACCCTTAAGAGTGAATAAAGGACAACTCAAGGGCGCTCGGAAGCACAATTGTGTGATTTCACCTTCCCAGAGGCAAGTTATCTAACGTGCAGTGATGCAATGATTTCTGCGAGAGTTCCCAAGATGCAGTCTTCTTCTCCTCGGGGCATGATGTCAGCACAGTGATACCATACAACGAGAAAGATAAAAAAAAATCGATATAAATCTTTCGTGACTACAGGGATTCATATTCTTGGTTCTTTCGGTAAAGTCACGTAGAAGGCAAACAATAAAATAAATAAAACATATTTTTTATTATAAAAAAATATTTTTCATGATTATTTTATAAAAGAACCAAGAATATGAATCCCTGCAGTCACGAAAGCTTTAAATCAAAATTTTGACTGTTTCTCCTATAACTCCACGCATTGTTTTCATAACGCGAATTGGACGTTTCGGCCACAACGCAAGCAGCCGTCCTCAGGTGAAGAAACAGAGCAATTCACAAAGCAGTCCTATGGGAAGCTTTCACCTTGACGGGAAATTCATTGACAAGTTTATGACCCTTGTCCTTTAAAAAAACTCAATGCATTCATTCATTCATAACAATGAGACTTCAAAAGTAAAATATATTTGTATAAAAGATGTGACGTTTCAGGCAATTGTGCTTCTTCAGAGAACACAAATGAAGGGCCACTGCCCAAATTTGTGAAAGGCAATTGATCTAAACAATACTCGATATATTTTCCTTTTTAAGTCACGATGTTATTGAGGAAGATGTTTTTTTGGTGATTCGTGCTTACGTGATCCACTGCCAAAACAGCATCACCAAATCATCAGTATTTTTTTTATCCTTAAAAAATAAATATTGACTTATCCCTTCTCCCTGCCATATACGGTGACGTATAAAAAATAAACACCACATGACCGACATGTTTAAAAATATCTGACGACTTGGCGCTGCATTAAGACAAGCACAAGACAGGGCACTTGCTGTCATGGGAGAGGATTAATTAACAATGAATATAGCACACGCCTGAGCCGTTGGGAGTGCTGTGCACTCCATGGCTACGGGAACAACAATAGCGAGCCGCGAGCCTTATACGGCCACGAACGCCGGGTCACGTTTCACATCCGCTCACGACAAAATCCGGGCGCCGGGGGCGGCAACGTACGTGACCTGTAATCCAGCACCGCGGAGCCAACAAGGGTTGGTGGATCGAACGAACATTGGGAAACTCCCTTCCCGTGGGCGTCAAGGAGCCAGCCATACCCTGGCTCGCCAACAGAAGGCGGTACAGTAAATTCGGACTGCACCTGTTCCATCTGTACGGGATAGAGCGTTGTCCCCTCGCACACGGGGGTTTTCTCTGGGAGCTCTGGTTCCCTCCCACATGAAAAACGCTCGTTAATTGGCCGATAACACCTTCATAAATAGAGGACCGCAGAGCTTGGGGTGGGGGGCAATTTGTCACCGGCTCACTCACCGCCCCAGTCTCTCCTGTTCCGTCTGTGGTTCCTCGTTCTTTCTCTCTCTCTCTCTATGAGAGCGAACGAAAACTGTGTGGCACGTTTTAAGTGGTTAAAGGTGGTACATATTAACACAAGAAATTGTGGTTAACGTCACACAGACTATGCTGATGTGATAAGTTAAGCAGTTGCGGATTTATGCGTTTGTTAAGACTTGGATAAGGCAGATTCCCTCCGTTACAGTTTTGTGAAAAACAAAGCGAAAACTCCTAGAATTAGCATTTTTTTCACCTATCATTTTTTTCACGGATTATTGAAGTCGACAGTCAACATCTGCACTTCTCTATTGTGCAAATGAATGGCGTCGCGTAGAATAACAGAGCTGCATGATTTTAAACTCCCAAAAATGTGCGATACACCGCGATGGAGAAAAAAATATTGAATTGCAGATTGTTGGATGATTTTTTTTTCTTTCTTCTTTTTCTCATTTTGCAAGCGTGCCGCGGATTTACAGGATCCGCGGAGTTAGCTCCCGGATGGGACAAAGTACCTTGTTCTCGGCGTCGATGTGGGCATTGTGCCGGAGCAGCAGCTGAGCGATAGGGCAGCTGGGTATGAGCGCCGCCTGGTGCAGAGCCGTGAGGCCATTGGAGTCCACCAGGGTGGGGTCGGCCTTGTGCTCCAGCAGGGCCTTCACACACACCTCCTGCTGGCACTGCACGGCCTGGGGGCGGCGGCGCGCCGAGGAAACCGGACGATGAGCCAACGCACAAAAGACAAAGATCCCCCGTGTAGCCAGTAACGGCCTTTTGGGGCAAGCGCAGTTTGCGAGCAGCACCTATGAAGGCCGGTACTGTGACACACGAGGGGGTGGGTGGCCAGCACCACGCCCGACCGCCTTTGTCTCCCCAGTGGCGATGTTTGCTACACACCGCTACACCAGGTACTCGTTTGAGGCTGAGTCGACCTATGGGAGGCCCGGGACCGGTTCAGATAATCGTCACTGGTGTTGGCCGTGAGCGGGAATCAAACTCGGGTCGCCGGGTTCAGAGCGCAGCGCGTTAACCACTGCGCCACCGCTCCCCCAAAGACGCACACATAAACACACACAGGCACCAGCAGTCAAGTGGCACACAGGTGAGCAACACTGTTTGCTGAAAGGAAGAATGGCGCTCTCATTTACGATGCACGTCGAGGAGTATGGACAGATGTTGCCATTGGGAAACTTGATTTGACCAATAACGGGTTGAAGTGGATTGGAGTACAAACAAGAACAAGTGTTAAACGGAGAGACATATGACACATCGCCCCGTCTTACCAGACGTATTCAGGCAATGGTTTTGCGTGCCGTCAATTAACGGCCCGAGACCATGACCTTGCTACCTTTGTGAGAGCATCGCCGCTACTCCGTTGCAAGACTGAGATTTCGGTCTCACGCGTCAGCTGTGCGCTACCACTTTACCACCTACCACGGGGCGTGAGGTTTTTACACAAGTGAAGGGCCCCAATTTTTTAATGATTGCACTCTAAATGCATTACCCTACAACAATTATCACACTAGATTTGGTGCTTTCGTGACTGCAGGAATTAATCTTTGTTTTTTTCGGTAAAGTCACGTAGAAATACGAAAAAATAAAATGACATAATATACGACGTTTCGAGTGCAACACAAGCAATCATCATCAGGTAGAGGAAACACATAACCGCAAACATATATATATACAGACCTTAAGTAGAGGGAATTAACACAGATATACCAGGGGATAGAGAGAGACGGAGTATCACACTAAATCAAATTTTGCTAAACCCTGTTTGATTTAGTGTGATACTCCATCTCTCTGTATCCCCTGGTATATCTGTGTTAATTCCCTCTATTTAAGGTCTGTATATATATCTGCGGTTATGTGTTTCCTCTACCTGATGATGATTGCTTGTGTTGCAATCAAAACGTCGTATATTATGTAATTAATTTTTTTCTTATTTCTACGTGACTCTACCGAAAAAAGATTAACAATTATTACCTTCATCAATGGAGAGCGGTTGTCATTGTCGCATAAATTCAGCTTCACAAAGTTGTTTTGCAGGAGGAAAAGCACGACGTCTGAATGTCCATTGGCGCAGGCCAGATGCAAGGGTGTTCTGAAAATAGAAAATTAATTTAATTTAGCAGTTGCGCAATAAAATAATAACAACGGTAAAGGTATTAAGTCTCAAAAAATAGTGTTGTTGTGAGTAATCTGATTTCACTTTCTTCACTTAGAAAGAAAGAAACAGTCAGCTAGACATGCACACCATGGGATCTTCTATGATAATAGGTTTTTCCCCTTTTTTTTCTGGCAATGCAAACTGTGAGAGTATGTTTTTTGTTTGCATTCTGACCACAAGCATCGTGGTTAATGCAGACATGATTCCTTGTAAAATGTTTCAGTTTGGTGTTTTAACATCTTAACACCTGTTTTGTTGCCAGAAAAAAGGGGAAAACCCTATTATCATATTTTGGTACTGGCAAAGGAGGTCCCATGATGTAGATTCTCACCCCGAGCTCTCATTATTCTGATAGTGGCATTGTCTTTGGGCTGTACGCCTTTTGGCGTCCTCTGGTCTAACACCGTTTGAGACGAGGCTCAAAAGAAAGCTGTCTCTGGTGTGGACCAATCAGTTTCAAAGACAATGCCACATATATTATCAGAGTTTGTTTTTTGTTTGCATTCTGACCACAAGCATTGTGGTTAATGCAGACATGATCCCTTGTAAAAGGTTTCAGTTTGGTGTTTTAACATCTTAACAACTGTTTTGTTGCCAGAAAAAAGGGGAAAAACATATTATCATTAGAGATACACATGTATAATAGAAGGTAAACAATTTACTGTGGTTTTACACGAGGTCGTGGAGCCTTATTACATTTTACTTTGATTCATCATTGAGATTTTGGAGCTAGGATACGTACTGAATCTGGCCAAATTTCAGGCACAAGACCCACCACCACCTGACACGGCTAAAAAGATTGTCACTTGTATAAGCGTCTGATGTGCCAATGTTTCAGCTCACTTATTTTATTTTAAAAATTCGTTTTGCAGGCACAGATAATCTCCAAGCGAAATAATCTGCCCAGTTAACCCGGGAGTTAACCATCATTTATTTTTATATTATCTATTTTTGTAACGTATTTTTAAGAGTAAGCTCCAATTCAGTAAAATTGTAGATTCATTTGTATAGTACAGTATTACTGAGTATTAACAAATAAGGTCACCGGTTTACTCAAGAGAGCTTGCTAAATTATTGATCTACACCAAGTGTTGTTGAAAGGTATGAATAATATTCAGTATTAATAAACCACTTCCCTTTAATTCAATATTTCCATTGCATTGTGTTTCTCGTGCATATCGTTGTAAGAGAATCAATATTTTTGCTAATAGTCCTGTGAGTTTGGATTAATTTAAATTATAAACGATTCACGCTGAGCTTCAGTACACTATATCATCTCCCAAAATACCTGTGCTAGAATTGAATCCCGCTTATGTGGCAAAGCCATTGTACCTATTATATACGTATTTTGCGCTGCACGTATTTATGTTGGACACAAAGCAAATCTAACAAAGACGTTCACTGCATCATGCGCTTTCATATGCACATCTGCAACCGTCTGGAACACTCTTCCTTCCAATATCAGGAAGCCACTGGGGCTATGCACTTTTAAAACTAGATTGAAAACGCATTTCTTTAGAACAGTATTTATGTTTAGTTTGTTGCCATTCCCCCGCACCTCCGATTAGCATGAATGGCTACGCACAGTGCGAAAGACATTCAACATACATACGTACGTACAAATGTGAATGGCGAGGGCAGAGGCGTGGTGGTACCTGTTCTGTTTGTCAAGCTGGTTCACATCACCCTTCTTGAGCAGCCGTTTCAGTTTATCGAGATCCCCCGAAGCAGCGGCCTTGTGCAGTTTCCCCAAGTCCTTGTCCTTGAGCTCGTACCTAGAAATCACGCTGCCTGTCTCGGACGCCGACGGCGAAAGCCCCTTCTTTCGCTTCCCAAGTCCAAAGATTTTCTTCATGTTGATGGCCTACGTACGCCGGCCTCGAGTACCATGCAGCAGAGGCACCGCGTTAACCACTCGTGGGCACCGCTGGATCGAGCTACAGCGCCAGGTCCTCACAGTCAAGGGCATTCCTCATCCCCCGTCAGTGGCGAGCCACTAGCACGTGGGCATGATTCTGCCGCGGTTTAAGCCCTGCAAGGCATGGGTGGTAATGGGGCACATTTGGCTGATGGGATTAAAGAATTAGAATACCCTAGAATCAAGTGGAAAAAATACAGTTTGCATTTCAGATGGACATTCACAAGGCAGTGCGTGGTACATTAAGGATTTACAAGCACATACAATGCAAACACACACACAGAAAATGCAATATTTGCACAATTTTTTGGTGCCGCTAAGTTTTCAGTAGCGCAAAAGCACAAATAACAAAACAGACTCAACGCATTCGTCGAAAACAATGTGGCCTTAAACAGAAAATTTAAATACACAACTGTCAACGTTTGCGTCCTTTCAAATGCAGCGTGTTGTCGAGGAGTACCATTGCTCAGAAGCGTCGCCTGTTGTTTACTTTTCAATTGAAAAGCCACGGTGTGTTTTGGACAAATGTGTTGCGTTTTTACTCTTAAACAGCTATACAGAACTGTATTACAAACAACACAGTCGAGACGCATTTACTTCAAAATCCCGGCCCGCGTAACAATTCATTCCAGCAATCGCCGTCAAGATATTGATGGCCGCAGCTAAAAGTGTCCTGCAGTCGCAAGTAGCTTAGAGCTAGCGCCGCACTCTAATCACTCGCAAAAGATTACCGAACACTGAGGCCACCAAGAAGATTACGGTAAATATCTACCGTCAGATAATCCCGTAGGCTGATTGAAAGGTACGTCTAATAAACATTGGTACTGCAGGGCTCCATATTTCTCAAGAATGATGACGCTGCATGCCACAACGACTCAATTTATTTACAAATCATTCGGTGATACTGCACACTTGGAAGTGGTGCACAAACACACGTCACTAAATAACAGCACATTCGTGAATATATAATTGTTTATATTTTCCTTCTTTTGAGACAATGTTTACTGGCTCGTCATTAATGCATTGAGAGGAGACTTTTGTCTGTTTGTTAATGTGGCACAAAATAGCAAAAAATTCAAACATTCACTCCCAGAAGCCTATGTGGGTGAGATGTACAACATGTGGTGGGAATGAGTAAATTATTGTCCTAATTTACTTCGAATTATAATGCCAATGGCTGTGGAGACTTAATGGAACCTGCACTGGAATTTACACCACACATTCCCTCTCCTCACCCGCCACATCCTCACCACCGCTCCCCCCACATGCTCACACAACAGTCTCACATACTCAGTTTAACACGTAGGCTTTCGCGACCAGTATTATTCATAATAAAGGTTTTTGAGTTAAATCGCGTTATTTCCAAATGTGTCGCAAATTAGAAAAATATGTAACTAAACAAATACAGCCCTACATCGGAAGGACATCTTCATTTATAAGAAATTCAGAACATCTTGTGAATGCAATTAAAGATATTAAACTTATCCCTAATGATATTCTGATAAGTTTTGATGTAATTTCTCTGTTCACTAAGGTTCCAGTTAACGAGTCACTTAAATTACTTGATACGCTGGCAAAGAACACAGGTTGACCAGAAGATATTCCAAAACTAGCCAGCCATTGTCTAACTAACACCTATTTCTTGTGCAGAGGTGACTTCTTTAAACAAAAGGAAGCAGCAGCAATGGGCTCTCTCCTTTATCTCCTGCTATAGCAAATCTGTAGATGAAAAACTTTGAAACAAGAGCACTTGCCTCGAGCACATTAACACCATATTTTTGGTTTAGATATGTAGATGACACTTTGGTTGTCTGGCCACATGGTAAAGATACATTTATTGAATTTTTAAATCATCTCAATGCGCAAAACCCAGCCATTCAGTTCACCATTGAAATGAAGGTGAACAACATACTCCCATTCCTGGATATTTTGCTTGGATGTGGTCAAAATGGCAAAATAACACCACACAGCGTCTACCGAAAGGGAATGCATACGGGTGCCTATCTGAATGCAGATTCACATCATCACCCAGCACAGAAATCCTCTCTCATCAAGACACTCATACATCGGGCAAAGACAGTGTCAGATGGTGAAAGTTTAGGGAAAGAGATTAAACATGTTAAAGAAACACTAAGACTGAATGGCTACAGCAGTACTCAAATTAACAGAGCATTGAATGCCAAATCAAGATTGAACAATACTGCTGAAAGTGATCAGATTATCAAAACAATTAAAATACCATATATCTCGGCAGTGACTGATAAATTAGCCCGTGTTTTGCAAAAGCAAAACATTTAAGCGAGAGTTGGTATGGTACACAAAATTCCAAAACTAGTATCTTGTACTAAAGATGAATTACCGAAGTTAGCAACAGAAGGTGTATATCGGAGCAATTGCTTATGCGGTAAGTGTTATATTGGACAGACGGGACGTAACATTAGCGTAAGACTAAAATAACACCAAATGAACATTAAATTATCCCAAACACAGCTGTCAGCAGTGGCAGAGCATGCTTGCCAACAAGGCCATTCAATTGATTTTGATAACGTTTAAGTGTTAATGCAGAACTAATTATTACTGGCCAAGATTAGTGAGAGAATCAATTGAAATTGACAAGAATTCAAATAATTTTCATCGCTGTGATAGCTCTAGACTCAGGGCAGCCTGGAAGCATATTATTAAGTAATACACAACACACATTGCAATTCCTTACAGGTGAGTCACATGCTAAGTGGCTGATTATTGATCTCGAATCCTGATGGGGTTCAACAACGATGGCGTCATCCTGCACTATTTAAGATCGGAAGCACGTGGACGGATGGCTTCGCTAGTCTGGCAAATAGCCCGAAGATGCTGGATGTAATTTCCAGCGAAACGTCGAACTACTCAAAACTCTGAATGTTGTTGATCCACTCTTCAACACACCGGTGCGCTAAAGTTGTGAAATATTTTGTGTTTTCGATTTAAAGCTTTCGTGACTGCAGGGATTCATCTTCTTGATTCTTTCGGTAAAGTCACGTAGAATGGAAATAAAATAATAATAAAATATTGTTTTATTTTTTATAAAAAATATTGTTTTATTTTTATTATTTTATTTCCATTCTACGTGACTTAAACCGAAAAGAACCAAGCAGATTTTGTCTTTTGTCAACGTGACACTTTTTTTACTGATTGGCCGCGTAGGGTGGTGGAGGGTTGCGACACAGAATTAACGAGATCTAACCCAAAAAAACTTTTTTTATGTCGAGTCTCACACACACACACCACAATCGCCTGTCCACTCACCACCACCAACATCCTCACCACCGCTGTCCCCACACGCTGACACAACACAGATCAAGGCATCGACATTGGCCGAGAGGGCCCTCTTTACCACAAGTGGCTCAGGCGCGCCAACATTTAAACAAAGTTGTCGCCTACAATTTACAAAACAAAGTTTTGTATGTGTCTCTTCTTCTGCGTCTCTTCTTCGTCGTGGTATTTTTGTTGTCCATTATTTATCCTCGATGTCCATCGTAACGAATCCATAACGCGTTTAAGAATCGAATATTATTTTATTCACGCTAAACGCGTTCGCTAATTGCGGGAGCGTTCACGCTGACGGCTTAATTTAATTTTGGTATTAATAAGCGTGGAGGGGGGGGTGCGACAATGATCCCGAGAAGCCATGTCGAACGGAGACTATGACAACAGCAGCAACAACGATAACATCAACAACAACAACAACCGCGACAACAGCGACGATAACATCAACAACAGCAGCGACAACAGCGACGACAACAGCGACAATAACATCAACAACAGCAGCGACAACAGCAACAACAGCAGCAAAAGCGACAACAATAACAGCGACATCAACAACAACAATACCAACAATAACAACAACAATCGAACCTCGACTGGCACCAATGAGCCCTCTCTGCGGTCCCCACAACTGCCCGCACTGTACGTACAGTGCGATAAACACGGGGGGGGGTCTGTCCCGTGACCTGTTCCTGCACCTAGCCTGGCACAGCAATGAACCCATGGCACCTTCTGGGTCTGTCCCGTGACCTCTCCTCCTCCTGCACCTAGCCTGGCACAGCAATGAACCCATGGCACCTGCTGGGTCTGTCCCATGACCTCCCAGTGAGCCTCCCACACGTAACGTGACGGCCTCAAGGTGCACCTAGCCTGGCACATGCGCCGTCGCGAAGGTCACCGCCACTTACTTGGTGGCGAACGTCGTCGGCTGCTGTTCTTGTTGTTGCTACAGTCCTGTAGCACAGTGCGTCCCCGTACAGTTCAGTTACGGTGCGTGTAGTGCGATACAGTAGCGCGGTGTGTGTACAGTAGCCAGTACAGTGCGGGTAGTGCTATACAGTAGCCAGTACAGTGCGTGTAGTGCTATACAGTAGCGCGGTTTGTGTACAGTAGCCAGTACAGTTCGGGGTAGTGCTGTACAGTAGCCAGTACAGTGCGTGTAGTGCTATACAGTAGCGCGGTGTGTGTACAGTAGCCAGTACAGTGCGGGTAGTGCTATACAGTAGCGCGGTGTGTGTACAGTGCGTTTCCCTCTGCTGCGAGTTCACTCCGCGTCGTCTCCAGTCGCGACAACAACAACACGGACAGTAGCACGGCTCTACAGGGTACACATTGCAACACTGCTGCACTCTGCTGCACCCTGCTGCACAATACTACACTGCTGTATACTACTACACTGCTGTATACTACTACTACCCTGCTGCACCCTGCTGCACACTACTACTACACTGCTGTATACTACTACTACACTTCTGCACACTACTACTACACTGCTGCACACTACTACTACACTGCTGCACACTACTACTACACTGCTGTATACTACTACTACACGGCTGTATACTACTACACTGCTACACACTACTACTACACTGCTGTATACTACTACTACACTGCTGTATACTACTACACTGCTGTACACTACTACTACACTGCTGCACTCTACTACTACACTGCTGCACACTACTACTACACTGCTGCACACCACTACTACACTGCTGCACACTACTACTACACTGCTGCACACTACTACACTGCTGCACACTACTACTACTACACTGCTGTATACTACTACTACACTGCTGTATACTACTACACTGCTGCACCAAACTACTACACTGCTGCACAATACTACTACACTGCTGTACACTACTACTACACTGCTGCACACTACTACTACACTGCTGCACACTACTACTACAACACTGCTGCACACTACTACTACACTGCTGCACACTACTACTACTACACTGCTGTATACTACTACACTGCTGCACACTACTACTACACTGCTGTATACTACTACTACACTGCTGCACACTACTACTACACTGCTGCACACTACTACTACACTGCTGCACACTACTACTACACTGCTGCACACTACTACTACATTGCTGTATACTACTACTACACTGCTGTATACTACTACCACACTGCTGCACACTGCTACTACACTGCTGTATACTACTACTACACTGCTGTATACTACTACTACACTGCTGCACACTACTACTACACTGCTGCACACTACTACTACACTGCTGTATACTACTACACTGCTGTATACTACTACTACACTGCTGCACACTACTACTACACTGCTGCACACTGCTACTACACTGCTGTATACTACTACTACACTGCTGTATACTACTACTACACTGCTGTATACTACTACACTGCTGCACACTACTACTCCACTGCTGCACACTACTACTACTACACTGCTGTATACTACTACTACACTGCTGTATACTACTACACTGCTGCACACTACTACTTCTGCTGCACTAGTGCAGCTGCTGGTCTACTACATTGCTACTACTGCTACACTCTACGGCAGCTACTACATTACAGTAATGCTACTACACTACTACTAGTGCTACACTACTACTACACTACTACTAGTACTACACTACTACTACACTACTACTAGTACTACACTACTACTAGTACTACACTACTACTACACTACTACTACACTACACTACTACTACACTACTACTACACTACTAGTACTACACTACTACTAGTACTACACTACTACACTACTACTACACTACTATACTGCTACTACACTACTACTACACTACTACTACACTACTACACTACTACTACACTACTACTACTACACTACTACACTACTACTACACTACTAGTACTACACTACTACACTACTACTACGACACTACTACTACACTACTAGTACTACACTACTACTACACTACTAGTACTACACTACTACACTACTAGTACTACACTACTACTAGTACTACACTACTACACTACTACTACACTACTAGTACTACACTACTACTAGTACTACACTACTACTACACTACTATACTGCTACTACACTACTACTACACTACTACTACACTACTACTACACTACTAGTACTACACTACTACACTACTACTACTACTACACTACTACGACACTACTACTACACTACTAGTACTACACTACTACTACACTACTAGTACTACACTACTACACTACTAGTACTACACTACTATTGCACTACTACTACACTACTAGTACTACACTACTACTACACTACTAGTACTACACTACTACTACACTACTAGTACTACACTACTACTACACTACTAGTACTACACTACTACTACACTACTAGTACTACACTAGTACTACACTACTACTACACTACTAGTACTACTACACTACTACTACACTACTACTAGTACTACACTACTACTACACTACTAGTACTACACTACTAGTACTACACTACTACTACACTACTAGTACTACACTACTACACTACTACTACACTACTACTACACTACTAGTACTACACTACTACTACACTACTACTACTACAACACTACTACTACACTACTACTACTACTACACTACTACTACTACACTACTACTAGTGCTACACTACTACTACACTACTACTAGTACTACACTACTAGTACTACACTACTACTAGTACTACACTACTAGTACTACACTACTACTAGTACTACACTACTACTACACTACTACTAGTACTACACTACTACACTACTACTACACTACTACTAGTACTACACTACTACTACACTACTACTACACTACTACTAGTGCTACACTACTACTACACTACTACTAGTACTACACTACTACTAGTACTACACTACTAGTACTACACTACTACTACACTACTACTAGTACTACACTACTACTACACTACTACTAGTACTACACTACTACTAGTACTACACTACTACTACTACACTACTACTACACTACTAGTGCTACACTACTACTACACTACTACTAGTACTACACTACTACTACACTACTACTAGTACTACACTACTACTACTACACTACTACTACACTACTACTAGTACTACACTACTACTACACTACTACTAGTACTACACTACTACTACACTACTACTACACTACTACTAGTACTACACTACTACTACACTACTACTACACTACTACACTACTACTACACTACTACTACACTACTACTACTACACTACTACACTACTACTACACTACTACTAGTACTACACTACTACTACACTACTACTACACTACTACTAGTACTACACTACTACACTACTACAACACTACTACTACTACACTACTACTACACTACTACTAGTACTACACTACTACACTACTACTACACTACTACTACACTACTACACTACTACTACACTACTACTACACTACTACTACTACACTACTACTACACTACTACTAGTACTACACTACTACTACACTACTACTACACTACTACACTACTACTACACTACTACTACACTACTACTACTACACTACTACACTACTACTACACTACTACTAGTACTACACTACTACACTACTACTACACTACTACTACACTACTACTAGTACTACACTACTACAACACTACTACTACACTACTACTACTACACTACTACACTACTACTAGTACTACTACTACTACTACACTACTACTACACTACTACTAGTACTACTACTACTATACTACTACTATACTACTACTAGTACTACACTACTACACTACTACTATACTACTACTATACTACTACTAGTACTACTACTACTATACTACTACACTACTACTAGTACTACACTACTACACTACTACAACACTACTACTAGTACTACTACTACTACACTACTACAACACTACTACTAGTACTACTACTACTACACTACTACTACACTACTACTAGTACTACACTACTACACTACTACAACACTACTACTACACTACTATACTACTACTACACTACTACTAGTACTACTACTACTATACTGCTACTACACTCGACTCCTCGACTCTTCGCTTGCTGTGCATCCCGCTCCTCTCTCCCTCTATTGCTCTCCTCTTTCCTCTCTCTGCTTCTCACTTTGCTTCTCTCTCCCTGTTGCTCTCCCTCTCTGCTGCTCTCTCCCTGCTGCTCTCTCTCTGCTGCTCTCTCTCTCTGCTGCTCTCCCTCTCTGCTGCTCTCTCCCTGCTGCTCTCCCTGCTGCTCTCTCTCTGCTGCTCTCCCTCTCTGCTGCTCTCTCCCTGCTGCTCTCTCTCTGCTGCTCTCCCTCTCTGCTGCTCTCTCCCTGCTGCTCTCTCTCTGCTGCTCTCCCTCTCTGCTGCTCTCTCCCTGCTGCTCTCTCTGCTGCTCTCTCTGCTGCTCTCTTCCTGCTGCTCTCTCCCTGCTGCTGCTCTCTCTCTGCTGCTCTCTCTGCTGCTCTCCCTGCTGCTCTCCCTGCTGCTGCTCTCCCTGCTGCTCTCCCTGCTGCTGCTCTCCCTGCTGCTCTCTCTCTCTGCTGCTCTCTCTCTCCCTGCTGCTCTCTCTCCCTGCTGCTCTCTCTCCCTGCTGCTCTCTCTCTGCTGCTCTCTCCCTGTTGCTGCTCTCTCCCTGTTGCTGCTCTCTCCCTGTTGCTGCTCTCTCCCTGTTGCTGCTCTCTCCCTGTTGCTGCTCTCTCCCTGTTGCTGCTCTCTCTCCCTGTTGCTCTCTCTCCCTGCTGCTCTCTCCCTGCTGCTCTCTCCTGCTGTTGCTGCTCTCTCCCTGTTGCTGCTCTCTCCCTGTTGCTGCTCTCTCCCTGCTGCTCTCTCCCTGTTGCTCTCTCCCTGTTGCTGCTCTCTCCCTGTTGCTGCTCTCTCCCTGTTGCTGCTCTCTCCCTGTTGCTGCTCTCTCCCTGTTGCTGCTCTCCCTGCTGCTCTCTCCCTGTTGCTGCTCTCTCCCTGTTGCTGCTCTCTCCCTGTTGCTGCTCTCTCCCTGTTGCTGCTCTCCCTGTTGCTGCTCTCTCCCTGTTGCTGCTCTCTCCCTGTTGCTGCTCTCCCTGTTGCTCTCTCTCCCTGCTGCTCTCTCCCTGCTGTTGCTGCTCTCTCCCTGTTGCTGCTCTCTCCCTGTTGCTGCTCTCTCCCTGTTGCTGCTCTCCCTGCTGCTCTCTCCCTGTTGCTGCTCTCTCCCTGTTGCTGCTCTCTCCCTGTTGCTGCTCTCTCCCTGTTGCTGCTCTCTCCCTGTTGCTGCTCTCTCCCTGTTGCTGCTCTCCCTGCTGCTCTCTCCCTGTTGCTGCTCTCTCCCTGTTGCTGCTCTCTCCCTGTTGCTCTCTCTCCCTGCTGCTCTCTCCCTGCTGCTCTCTCCTGCTGTTGCTGCTCTCTCCCTGTTGCTGCTCTCCCTGCTGCTCTCTCCCTGTTGCTGCTCTCTCCCTGTTGCTGCTCTCTCCCTGTTGCTGCTCTCTCCCTGTTGCTGCTCTCTCCCTGCTGCTCTCTCTCCCTGTTGCTCTCTCTCCCTGTTGCTCTCTCTCCCTGCTGCTCTCTCCCTGCTGTTGCTCTCTCCCTGTTGCTCTCTCTCCCTGCTGCTCTCCCTGTTGCTCTCTCCCTGTTGCTGCTCTCTCCCTGTTGCTGCTCTCTCCGTGATTCCCGGGAAGCGAGGCCGTTACCCCGCGTCGCGCGTGGATCGATGCGGGGGAATCGCCACAACGATTCGCACCGAGAGAGTCGCCGACTGACAGGGGGTCTGTGACACCGTGAGGGGGTCTGTGACACCGTGAGGGGGTCTGTGACACCGTGAGGGGGTCTGTGACACCGTGAGGGGGTCTGTGACACCGTGAGGGGGTCTGTGACACCGTGAGGGGGTCTGTGACACCGTGAGGGGGTCTGTGACACCGTGAGGGGGTCTGTGACACCGTGAGGGGGTCTGTGACACCGAGAGGGGGTCTGTGACACCGTGACGGGGTCTGTGACACCGAGAGGGGGTCTGTGACACCGAGAGGGGGTCTGTGACACTGTGAGGGGTCTGTGACACCGTGAGGGGGTCTGTGACACCGTGAGGGGGTCTGTGACACCGTGAGGGGGTCTGTGACACCGAGAGGGGGTCTGTGACACTGAGGGGGTCTGTGACACCGAGAGGGGGTCTGTGACACCGTGAGGGGTCTGTGACACCGTGAGGGGGTCTGTGACACCGTGAGGGGGTCTGTGACACCGTGAGGGGGTCTGTGACACCGAGAGGGGGTCTGTGACACCGTGACGGGGTCTGTGACACCGAGAGGGGGTCTGTGACACCGTGAGGGGGTCTGTGACACCGAGAGGGGGTCTGTGACACTGAGGGGGTCTGTGACACCGAGAGGGGGTCTGTGACACTGTGAGGGGTCTGTGACACCGTGAGGGGGTCTGTGACACCGAGAGGGGGTCTGTGACACCGTGAGGGGGTCTGTGAGACCGTGAGGGGGTCTGTGACACTGTGAGCGGGTCTGTGACACTGAGAGGGGGTCTGTGACACCGTGAGGGGGTCTGTGACACCGTGAGGGAGTCTGTGACACCGTGAGGGGGTCTGTGACACCGTGAGGGGGTCTGTGACACTGAGGGGGTCTGTGACACTGGGAGGGGGTGGGGGAGCGGCAGTGTAGTGGTTAGCGCGCTGCGTGTGTACAGTACGTTGCGCTTCTTTCGCACCGTACGTAACCAATCGTGGTTTTAATCGGAGGCGCTACGAACCTGGCGACCCCGGTTCGATTCCCGCTCACGGCTAGCACCGGTTATGTAAACCGGTTCTGAGCCTCCCCTAGGTCGACTCGGCCTCAAATGAGTACCTGGTGTAGCGGTGCGGTGTGTAGTAAACATCGCCACTGGGGAGACAAAGGCGGCCGGGCGTGGTGTTGGCCACCCACTCCCTAATGTGCCGTGCCGGCCTTTATAGGTTTTATTTTGGTGATTTCGAAAATGTTGTTTGGTTTGACCATGGTGTGTTGTAGTACGGAGTTAGACTGATGGCTTTAATCTTAGTTGTCTTGTGGTTGTTGATGTTGTTTGACTTGCATCCCACTGGGATTTTTGCACACAGCGTTGGTGATGTACGGTGCTTTTTTCAGGAATATTTTGATGGTTTTTTTCCTGGATTTTCTGTTTGCACAGTCACACAAAGTCACTTTAAGATGTTTTCTTGTTCATGTTTTTTTGTTTGTTGTGGTTGCACCCGATTCAAAAGCGGAATGGCTCACAGGGCTATACCAAAATAAATGAAACTGAAATAGGCGCTGCTCGCTTCAGCTGTTAAGGCTGCACGGGGTATCTTTACTCTTTGAGCTGATATAAAAATTGATGTCATCGATTATAATTTAGCTTGCAACTCTCCCCTGCCAAAAAAAAATATTATACAAACCCTTTATTTAGATGTAGAATGTACAGCTGTATTGCTGGTTTAATACGGCACGAACAATTAATGCATTAAGTACGTAATACAAAAAACAACAGCTACTGTTTATAGAAATATAATAAACAACCGAAACCGAAGGTTCTGAATATTGTGTGGTAAAGTGCCTGAATGTTAAGGGTAGTTGGGGGTACGTGTTACACTTGTCAACAATGATGCTTGAACACCCAAAATACTCCGTTGTTTGACCAGTGTTATTACAGTCCAAATCAAATAAGCCCTCACTATTTGGATTCTCTTGAGGTTACCTAACAAACGGAAGAGGATTCACGCAACTCGTTAAGTGAAGAATAACATGTTTTCCACGATTGTAATGCTATTAAGACCGTATGTGTGTAAATTCGAGGCCCTTTGAATGGCCCCTAGCTTGAGCGAAACACATTTTAGATTTATTACAGACCCATATACTACCATAACTGTCAACCCATATGGTTTACCCGTATTCTTGGGCAGGGAAATTGAGTTTCCAGGTCCATAGGACGTACAGCCGTTTCAATACGGGCAAGAAAAACACAATTTTAGTTTGTGTTTCTCTCCTTGTGATGATGCTTTGTAGGATGAACGTCGTGGCACGTGGTGACCAACAAGGTCTGCATTGGCCTGTAATAAGGTAGGGCACCGATAAGCACTGGCGGAGCCAGTGGGGGGTGGGGTGGCACGTTTCCCCCCAAATTATCCGATCTAAATCCCTAATTTTGATCGGATCATTGGGGTTTATTAGTAATAATTCGGCTTTTTGCGACCCCCATTGCCACTGTGTAGCATATTATTAAGTGCCATGGACTCTGTGAGATGATAGGACAATAGTCTGAGTCCATAATTGGCAATAAGTAATGGCAAAGTGGTTATAAGTGACTCAGAATTGTGCGCAGTTGCGTATAGAGTCCACGACTTCCCTGAAGGCATCGACACCTTCAGCGAGCGCGATGCCGATCACACAACGCGGTTCCAATTCGACCCTCGATCGATGGCTGTGCCATCGCCGCACACGCGTCGAATAACAAGCAATGGACAAGTCCTTACTAACAACTATTATTATTTTTCATTGCTGGAGGGGTTGCCCCCCCCACCTGAAAATTCTGGCTCAGCCATTGCCGATAAGGGGTTGATAGGTATGCATGTACAATACACATTTGCATCGGTCACGTCATGGGTGCTATCTGCGCCCGGCTTGGCCCCGTAATATGCGATGCTTTCTGTGGAGAGTGCTTTCAAGGCTTCATGTTTGATTGCCAAAAAATAAATAGCTTTGAACCGTGGGTCCAAGAGCATTTTGCAATGCCACGGAAGCTGTACTGTGCTGGTACAATCAATTTAACTCGACTGTGTAACATTTATCTACGTGGTATTTACTCCCAGAATCGGGGAAATTATTTGCGGGTAAGGTCGTGGTGGACAGAAACTTTGAGAATCATAATTATAATCCGTAGCTTTCCCAGGGTAAAAGTAATTACAAATCACAGATTAATGTTAGTTCATATGTGATGTCCATGTATATAGAAGGTAAAAGCGGCCAATTGTGTGGAATAACAGTGATAAAACATACCATGAGTTGTAATTATAACCCCTAGCTATCCAAGCGTAAACGTAATTACATATCACAGATGAATGCTAGTTAATGTGATTTATATGTATAGAAGGTTAAAACGTTAAATTGTATGGAATGGTTAGTGGTAAAATATGGCACGAATATAACGAAGCGTTGATGCTGTGGGTTTACTGTTTATTGTCAGGGAACGGAGGAAGTTCAGGAAGAAGGCAGGACGAGAGATGCCAAGGTGAAATGGTGACAGGAAACTCACGTTTCAAGGTGAGTGATCTGTTTAAAACGCTCTGAATGTCATACCTGTCAACCCATTATATTATCAGTGCCTACCTTATTACAGACCAATTAAGACCTTATTGGTTACCCCGTGTCCTTATAAGTCTTAACGTTAATGCTACAAAGTCTCATCACAAGGGAGAAACAAAACATTTTTTGCCCGAATTGAAACAGCTGTATGCCGTATAGGCCTGAGAACTCAATTTCCCCTGTACGAGAATACGGGGTAAACTGTATGGGTTGACAGGTATGGAATGTCGTACGAACGTTGTGAAAGGGCACAGAGGCCTAGCGAACACGAGGTGAGTCTGAGTTAGACCTCGTTAGAACGTGGCGTCTCTTTTGAGGCAAAAGGCCACATGTTGAACTCGATTAACATCGCCGGGTTGTAATTGACGTTGGCTCATCGCGCGACTCTAAAAACGGCAGGGGTTCTTAATGTGAACAGCGATTAATGTGCGTGATGGTAATTTTCGTGAACAATCTGCGGTTCATGTTGACTCTCGAATCGTCACGAAATTCCCTCAATTACGGAGATTTTGCCAGGAAGTAACGAGTTGTTTACGACGCGTGATAATTAATTTTTATTCGTAATTTTATGCACAATTATTAACGGCGTATTAGGTGTGCAGTAATACCTCGATTTTATTGTCGTTTCGCAAATACGTTGTCACTTTAATAATATTACCTGATTTTCGTTGCCTCAACCGGCACTAACGTCGCCGACAGCATTCTTTCTTGTATCCGCCACCTCGGTCTTCACCTCCATCTGCGTACGCCCTGAAAACCGCTTTTATTTTACGTCGTTTCGATATACGTCGTCGCACCTTTCAGGGACGCATCCCCAACGTAAACCGGGGTGCGACTGTAATTTCTCGCGACAGATTTTATACAGGTGTTTATATGGGGAGTTAAGGGGATTGGGTGATCTTCGTGGTGTTTAAAACATTATTGTTGCTCGTGCTGATTGTCATTGCGTTATTGGATGGGAATACTTCCTATTGGGTAAGTACCAGCGCTTGTTTCCGAGAATCAGGGTAGCGATTGAGGGGGAACAGGGGCTGGTGAGCGGAGAAGGGGGAGTTGTCGGCAATGTCAAATCTTGACAGGAAGACCTCGTTTCAGGCTTTTACGGATTTGCCAATGCTGTTGGCGCCCTTCTGGTGTGAAATTAAAGGCGGCCCTGGTTGCAGTTCTCTACACTGGCTGCTGGATGTCCCCGTGTGTGTCCTGGCCGATGTCGAGTCCGTGTACTGCAGAGGTGGTGGCAAGAGACGCGGAGGAGACGTAAAGAAAACGCAGGTGTACTTCCAAAAGTAAATTGTTTAATGTTACGCCAAACTCGCACGCGCTTGAAGATCACAGACAATAAGAGCGAGGCATAGTGGGCACAGGTTACACTTGTCATCAACGATACCTGAAAATCCTCTACACTCCGTTGTTTGACCATGTTGCTACAAGTAAAATAAGTCTCACCGGGTCACACATCCCTTCCACAAAATCTCATTCATTTTCAGCTGTGGCTACAATTGCTGCAGTCCACCTTGAAAGGTATCAAACTGCAATCTCCCTAGCAGAGACAGGGGACTGCTGTGAGGCTGCAGGCCACCATCGGCTCCATTTCCTCTTCCATGATGACGACGTGGATGCTGTCATTGGTGCTGCCACATTGATCGGGGAATTCTTCAGACGTGCGCGTTACCACACTGTCACCCACCGACTCCACTCCCTAATCCGACTCCAATCCCCAATCCGAATCCCTCTCGCTCGCAGGAAATGAGCCTGCAGTATTCTGATTGCTCCAAGCGGAATCTGGATTCTGCTCGCCTCCACCAGGGACTCTGCAATCTGCCTGGCTGAGACGGGACCGTCGAGAGGCTGCAGGCCACCATCGGCGCCATGTCCACGGCCGGGCAAAGCGGGATGTTAGTTCGTGATGTCGCAGCCATGGTGCTGCCCTGCACCCATGGTTGGTTGAGGGCCCTCTGTGACTGTAAGGCAGCGTTCGGGATCCCACCTGCCAAGAGACGGAGGGAATTAGGGCCCATTGCATTCTAAAATTGCTTTTTTCATGGGCTGGTGATGAGATGTGCAGTTTCATCACCAACACTATTTTCAACGAAAATATTTATTTTAAGAATCTACAAGACGAAGAAATCATGCCCTGGCGTGACACAACACTTTGCAGTCCCAGCCCAAACTAAATGTGAGATCTATTAACTTTTCAAGTAAATGTTGATGGGAGATGCAAAGTGATTTATCTTTCTCTATATATAAAAAAAGTCAAAAATAGTTTGTGGCTGTGTGTGTGTTCACGCGCTTGCGAAGGATTTGGCTCTCCAATGGTGGAGTTTACGTTAAATATAAATAGCCAGGTACCACGCCGTAAGCCGCGCCGTGAGCACGCGCTATTCCTTTTTCACATCCGTCAACTTTTATTTAGTTTAATTAGCCATTTTGTGCAGTATTTATTTATTAAATGGCGCGCGATCGACCACACCAACTCACACGTGTTCGGTGGGGGGGAAGGACTCGACAAAAGTCACGCATTCGGTGGGGGTGTCGACACTGCGCGAGGTAACACGAAATCACAGCTCCCTTCAAGCATAATCTATCTTTTTTCTCTCATTTCTATTACTATTTTTTCATAATACAGCGTACACATTAACCAATGTTTTATGACAGTATACATATTTACACAATATAACACGCTTTTTCCCCTGCGTACCGTTGTTACATTTAATGTCCTTAAGACAACAAAGTCCAGCCAATGTGTCTTTTTGCCCACAAACTTTCCTGTTGTGAGCAGGACTTTACGTCACAAACTATTATTACTTTGTTAACATCCATTTTTCACTGCCTCAAAGCTTCAACTCTATGGCGACACGTTAAAACATTTTCTTTAAGAACAAACATGAGAGTACAGCTTATAGGGGAGTCAAGTGCACACGTTTTTGCTGACAAGCTTCTTCAAATCGGTGAAGATACTTTCCCCACTCAGTCGGCATCAAGTGAAATTAGCTTTCCAGAGGATTTTTGCGAGATGGTTGCCATCGGTTCCTGAACTGATACATAAACTTTATCCAAACATATCGTCAAATTGCAAAAATCACGAGTGGCTGTGTGAACGAGCCATCCTTGCTGATAAAAAATATTCTGTCAATGAAATTAATAATCAAGATTCAGGATTGCTTCCGGGCACAGTTACCGAGTACAACTCAATCGATACGGTGGTGGATGCCGACGAAGCCGTAAACTATCCAACGGAATTCCTAAACTCACTCGACCCCCCGGGAATGCCACCACATCACCTTCGACTGCGAGTTGGGTCACCCATCATGCTGCTTCGCAATCTGGACCCACCTAGGCTATGTAATGGCACAAGGCTGTGCGTAAAAAAATTGCTGCTCAACGTAATTGAGGCGACAGTGTTGACCGGGAAGGGAAAGGAGAAGATGTATTCATCCCCCGCATTCCACTCATTCCGACAGACATGCCGCTCAGTTTCAAGCGCCTAGATTTCCCGGTCAGGCTGCCATACAGTATCACGATCAACAAGGCACAGGGCCAGTCAATCAAGTGCACTAGTATCAACTTGAAATCTCCACGTTTCTCCCACGGGCAGTTATATGTGGCGTGTTCTAGAGTGGGTTCCCCGAATCAGTTGTATATCTTTTCCAACTGGAAAAATAAAAAATGTTGTTTATAAACGGGCCTTACAATGAACATGTACTTTGGTAATATTAAACTTTAGGTACATAGTTATTGGCACCGTCGGCATCATGTCACCCATCATGCTGCTCAGGAATCGCCATGTTCTCACGTACAGTTATAAGTTTCAGAATTAGTTTTTAAGAAGAACAAAAAGGTGTTGTGTAGTCTTTATAACAAAACATTTTTAAATAATCGATTAATGTAGTGCATTTTTCTTTTCACCTTTCTTATGGAGCCTTTCCGAAAAGCCTAAAGTTACCTTAAGGTATTTCTAACAAATAGTACCTAAGAGAAAATGAAATCCCGGGCAACGCCGGGTATATAAGCTAGTATTTAATCATTTTTACGAGGTTAAATGTAAACAATAGTAACGGGTCTCTTACTGAGGGCACCCGCGGAGAAAATGTATGAAATTTCTATTGCGGGTTCCCGGAATCTTCCTCAGAGAGAGGGTGCACGGGATGATCCGTTTGCCGTTGATGATGGGGTGCTTCTCTTCGTCTGGTTTTCGGAGAAACAATAAGAGAGACTGAATTAGTTCTGGTGATAAGTTCAATGCGGAGGTCCTTAACGTTTAATTGCGATGCTGCAAAAATAATTCCCTGTCGGCGTTCGACTCGGCCTATCATCCCTCCAGGGTCAATAAAATTGATAACGGTTTGTGAGACATTACCAGTAGTTGTGTGGAAAGCATGGCTCCCAAATTATAAAAGTGAAATTCCCACTCTCGACTCTGGGCCACCAGACGAAATGAGGACCACCTGATGTTAATTTGAGCAAGGAGACACTTCAGATATTTTAAGTTAAAATTGTTATCACTAGAGAGGATGGTACATTGTTATACAAGTATATAAGCTTAATAGATTCCTCACTTAAGGACCCACAGTTTGTGTGGAGGGCTGTTCTGTATAACATGGTTGTTTGTATTATGGTAGAACTGCACTGTGCCGATTTAGAATACAGTTCCATCTGGCACACATTTTGAATCATACTTGGTTCTGTTGAAATTTAAAAAATGTGATGTCCAGAATACCATGTAATGCACACGTCCTCTGTTAGACTGCAAATCTCTATGGGTTTTCCAAATATACACTGTGCTACCTAAACATAACTGTTTTTGTTTATTGTTTTCATATCTCGTTACTGGCATGGTAAATCAAGATGTACTGGTAGTATGTTGCCAAGACCGCTGTGACTTTTAAGCCCAAATGAAGCACAGCATCTCATGTCAAAATTACGCGGAGCAGTTTACAAGCCTTTGTATTCGAGCACAGGGTACGAGACGCGCAGCTGCATGGCCACGATTCTCCACGCTGTGACAGCAGCAGCAGCTGCTGCTGCGACCCCCTCTTGTCCACTCACCAAAGGAGATGACGTCGGTCAAGGCGTCGATCATGGCTTTCGGTGGGAGCCCCAAGAGCTGAAACCAATATCACAAGAGGGATGAGTTTACTTGAATGAGGTCCGTTGCTCGTGTGAACAATGTGTACATAAATAATAGAGGGGTTTTTTTGGGTTAGATCGCGTAAATATATAAATGTGTCATTAAACCAGCCACCACCCGACACAGCTAATTAGTAAGGCTTGTCAGTAAACAGAACGTGCCAATTCGTTACTAGTACAGCACACCGGTGTGTTGGAGAGCCAAGCCACAACATTTACAATCCGAGTACGACGTTTCGCCAGTAATTACGACTAGCTTCATCGGGCAACAGCCAGATTTGTGGAGACGTCTAACTGTTTCGTTATATATAGGCGTAGACGTGGTGACCACGCTCTTGTGCAAGAGCGCAGAAGTTCTTGTGCTGTACTAGTGACGAATTGGCACGTTCTGTTTACGTGACAACCCTTACTAGTTGGCTGTGGCGGGTCATGGTGGGTTTTAACGACACTAATATTTGCGCACTCTATCCCAAAAAAAAACCTCTTATGGATGATATTGGTCGCGAAAGCCTACGTGTTAAAATGTGTACATACGCCGCACTTTATCTCATTCAAATGTCTAAGAACGTAGAACTTTTGCCTGCAACGGTTGCTGCTTATGCGGAAAGATATCTCTCGTTAAGGGATACACAAATATTTGTTTTTTAATTGATAACTTGCTTACGTGTGACCACGTAATTTTATAGAGGCACTTTATTTACAGTCATGTGTTGAACATTGTTCCCGTAATAAATGTACTATGGTCAAAAAAACTAAATTCGTGCTGGTGGTCTTCCCGGTAGATTTCGTTGAAGACATTGGATCTCTCGTACACGATGCAGGCCTCCATCAGTGCTTTGGCTAACATCTCTTGCCCCAACAGTCGGTGGCGTAGCAGTTAGCGCTACGCTGCGCTACGAATCCGGCGAGACGAGTTCGATTCCCGCTCACGGCCAACACCGGTGACTGATCTAAACCGGTCCTGGGCCTCCCCTAGGTCGACTCAGCCTCAAACGAGTGTCTGGTGCGGTGTGTAAACATCGCCACTGGGGAGACAAAGACGGTCGGGCGTGGTGCTGGCCACCCACTCCCTAATGTGCCACTCTGGCCTTCATAGGTGCTCACAACTAACAGCACTTGCCACCAAAAGTCTGTCAAGGGCATACGGGGAGGATCTTTGCTTATATTTGGGGGAGCATGAGTAGAGTGGTTAGCGCACCGCACTGTGAACCCCGGTTACCCACGTTGGATTCCTGCTCACGACCCACATCGGTGACGTGTAGAAGTGAGGGAGCAACAGCCGAATGATGGAACGCGCCCCCACAGGAGTTTGTGTATCAAGGAGATGAAATCCACTCGCTTGCAGGTGCTTGGCTGCATTTATCACATCACAGCATCACGAGAGATGGTGAACAATCTGGGGATGCCTCATCCAGCAGTGGATTGACTATGGTTGTTGAACGTTACCCGTCTCAGCCCGATCAATAACCGTCACAGTCAGGACTCCCCCCCCCCGCCCTAAATATGGATCCCAAACGTAGCCTCTAATCGTCAATTATCACACCTCCATTACCTCGACCGCACCTCCAACCCTCGCCCGCACCCCCACCCTCACCCCCTGTGTCTCCGGTCTCCTGGTTGCCTAGCAACGTGTCTCCCTAAATTGCTTGGGACCAGGGCTGGGGTTAATTGGAAACACTGAGTCGTGAACACTGGGAGGTCACCACAGAGCTGCATGCTGCAAGTGTTATGGATTTCAAACGGTGTTTTCCTACAGGGTAATCATATATTCGTAGAGTAGCAGTTCTCTTCTTGAGCATGATGGCAGGAGAAATAGGTTCAGGATCTAACTGCCGTTGTCACCTCCCCACGATAAGAGTGCTTCAGGAGAGAGAGGTCACGTAGTTCTTCTATCCAGACTCCGTCGAAGGAGTGCAGACTACAGTGGTTTAATATAGACTGGACCCATAGACTCACACTAGACCCATACACACCGGACCCATAGACTCACGCCGGACCCATAAACTCACACCGGACCCATAGACTCACACTGGACCCATAGACTCACACCGGACCCATAGACTCACACTGGACCCATAGACTAACACTGGACCCATAGACTCACACTGGACCCATAGACTAACACTGGACCCATAGACTAACACTGGACCCATAGACTAACACTGGTCCCATAGACTGACACTGGACCCATAGACTAACACTGGTCCCATAGACTGACACCGAACCCACAGACTAACACTGCACTGGTCCCACAGACTAACACTGGGCCGAAAGACTAAAAGTAGTCCCACAGACTACAACTGGACCCGTAGACTCACACCGGACCCATAGACTCACACTGGACCCATAGACTACAACTTGGCAGGATCGCTGTGTTCAGGGTCTAGATGCCAATGTTGAGGTCTGCTGCTGGCCATGACGAGAGGGGCTTTAGCAGAGTTTGTGGAGCTTTGCTACACCTCCTCCGTTGAAGGAGTGCAGACTACAATGGCTTACTATACCGTAAACAGTTTGTAGGAGTCATATTTGTTAAGTCATGGTCCAACATTGTATTTATACGTTGGGGCAGATAGGATAAATTACAAAACGGGACCTATTTGCCAGTAACAAAGTATGAAAGTTTCGATTTAAAGCTTTCGTGACTGCAATGATTCATCTTCTTTGGTTCTTTCGGGTAAAGTCACGTAGAATGAGAATAAAATAATAAATTGATAAAATAAAATTACACAATAATATTCTCACGACGTTTCGGCCACAACACAAGCGGTCTTCATCAGGTGAAGGGACGAGACTGACTTTACCGAAAGAACCAAAGAAAAAGTATGAAAGCATAAGAATAGTTTAACCCTTTCTGGCAATAAAGCAGGAGGTGTTAAGATGTTCAAACACGAAAAACAGAATCCTTTTGGAAGGAATCAAGTTCGTATTAACCACACACGGTACTTGTGAACATGCAAACAAGCATTCTCTAATAATTATCAGATAATATATAGATGGAATTGTATTTAAAGCTGATTGGCATACACCACAAGCACGTCTGGTTAATGCGAACTTAATTTCTTGCAAAAGGTGTATATTTGGTGTTTACACATCTTAACGCCTGTTTTATTGCCAGAGAAGGTAAACCCTATTCTTATATTTTTTATATGATTAGTTAGATTGTAGTAGGGGTTATGTGTTAAGTCATGGTACAAATTGTATTGTAAAGGGACAGAAACGAAAAGTGGCGGATGGTCTGCTTATTTAAATCTCCACAATGACGCTAATCGGCGTCTTGTGTTACATATGACTGTATGTGGGTGGCCTTATAAAGACAAAGTACTGTATACAACAGGCAACGTTTTTTCGGGAAATCACCATTCTTCACAGCAATCTATGGCCTGTCTATGTGGTTCTGATTGTGGTTAGAGTGGGGTTAGGGTGTGGTTGTGATTACATTTTGGTCAGAGTGTGGTTGTGATTGTGATCAGAGTGTGGTTGTGATTGTGGTCAGAGTGTGGTTGTGATTGTGGTCACAGTGTGGTTGTGATTGTGGTTAGAGTGGGGTTGTAATTGAGTGTTGTGACGGTGGTTCGATTGTAACTCGTGTGTGGTTGTGATTAGGGTGTGGTTATAGTGTGATTAGGTTGTGATTTGTGGTTAGATTGTGGTTTGAGTTTGGTTGTGATTGTGGTTAGAGGGTGGTTGTCATTACGCTATGTTTGTGATTATGGTGAGTGTGGTTGTAATTGTGGTTAGAGTGTGGTTGTCGTTATGGTGTGTTTCTGGTGTACAGCATTTTCGATTTTTATGTTTTTAGTATTAATGTGATGATGCAGATTTGTGCCAGAAATGTGTCACGTGTGTCAACTAAAATAAAACTGACTTCACTTGGGTTGTGATTGTGCAGTTAAGATTGTGGTTTGGGTGTGGTTGTGGCTAGAGTGTGGTTGTGATTACATTGTGGTCAGAGTGTGGTTGTGATTGTGGTCACAGTGTGGTTGTGATTGTGGTCACAGTGTGGTTGTGATTACATTGTGGTTGTGATTGTGGTCACAGTGTGGTTGTGATTGTGGTCACAGTGTGGTTGTGATTACATTGTGGTCAGGGTGTGCTTGTGATTACATTGTGGTCACGGTGTGGTTGTGATTACATTGTGGTCAGGGTGTGCTTGTGATTACATTGTGGTCACGGTGTGGTTGTGATTACATTGTGGTCAGAGTGTGGTTGTGATTGTGGTCACAGTGTGGTTGTGATTGTGGTCAGAGTGTGGTTGTGATTGTGGTCAGAGTGTGGTTGTGTTATTTTATCTCCACGCCCGTATTGCCTTTCCAATTTCCCCAGCCACACCCACAAACGCGGGGACAAAGTGAGAGACACACGGGGAGACACTGAGACACACTGGGAGACAAGGTGTTACAGAGACACACGCATCTACGTGGGGAGACACAGACACACTGAGACACACCGAGACACGAGGAGACACACAGGGACACCATAGAAAGACCTGGGGACACAGAGAGACACGATGTGAATTCGAGACGCACATTAATAGACCGAGACGCACATATATAGACAGAGGGGACTTGGAGAAACAGAGACATTGAGAAACGCAGACTCACGGAGACTCGGGGAAACACAGAGACAAGGGGGGGGGGGGCACATAGACACTTCGAAGCACACAGAGAGACAAGTGGGGAGTCACGGAATCAAACCCACAGGACTTGGTGAGTGTGTTTGTGTGCGCACACACACATACATTAACACACACACACATAAACACACGTGTACACAACGCACATATACATAATACAGTATATGCAATCATATACAGACACAAAGATCCGTAATAAAAATAACAATGATCTCCCGTGCAGCCCGTGTATAAACAGGCTGCTGGGGAAAGTGTTGTTAGCGAGTGGCACCTACGAAGGCCGGCACGGGTGGTCAGCAACCACGCCCGGCCGCCTTTGTCTCCCCAAGACTGACGATCACACACCGCTCCAGGTACTCGTGCAATCGTCGCTGGCGTTGACGGTGACCGTGGGCTGGTGTCGAACTCGGGTGGCCGGGCTCACAGTGCGCTCACCGCTAGACACTGCCGCTCCCGCCACGGACAAAGGCACACATAACGCACATAAACACGGAGCACAGACGCAACATTTCAATGTTTTGAAAGGCTTTGCAGTGCGAGCTTGGCAATGTTATCCGATTAATTCTTTGACGGCTATTAAAGCCCGTGTGTGATTCCATGGAAGATTAAAAATCTCACTTTCACAACAACTACTTTTCGACATTTGAAAATATTAAAACTATCCTTCCTATGGTGGGGGAAGTTTGCCGTTGTTGGGAATTATGCGGAGTTATCATCATTCCCTGTCACCGAGCTGGTAACATATTGACGTTTGTCAAGGGCTACTGCTGTATTGTCTCCTGTGCCATAAAGGTTCGATTCGCTGGTTAGCAGAGATGTTAACTCCCTCGCCTGGTGTGCAGGAGGTCGTGGGTTCGATCCCTACCCTGACGATGCCTGCTGCATATTTAGAGTTTGCGGTGTCTCTCTCTCTCTCATCATCATCACGGTGGCTAGGAAATGTTACCTACCTCGCCTGGTATACAGGAGGTCGTGGGTTCGATCCCGACCCTGATGCCTGCTGCTGTATATTTGGAGTTTGCGTGTCTCTCTCTCATCATCACAGTGGCTAGGAGATGTTAACTCCCTCGCCTGGTATACAGGAGGTCGTGGGTTCGATCCAGACTCTGACGCCTGCTGCTGTATATTTGAGGTTTGCGTGTCTCTCTCTCTCTCATCATCATCACAGTGGCTAGGAGATGTTAACTCCCTCGCCTGGTATACAGGAGGTCGTGGGTTCGATCCCAAACCTGACGCCTGCTGTATATTTGGAGTTTGCGTGTCTCTCCCTGTGGCCGCGTGGATTTTTCTCCGGGTTCCCCCGGTCTGTCCCTCCACATTTAGAATTAACAACACGCGTTTCGAGTATATGGCTGCTAAAAAAATATCCCACATGATGACAAGCCACTTCGTTGAGCTATCATTTTGTGATGGCTGGGTCACTTCTGAAAAAGAGCAACATAGCTCAGTGGGCCTTATCTGGTATAATAAACAAATATGTTTTTAGCACCTCTGTTCAAATGTCGAAGGAGTTCTGCTGCTGATCATATACCTCACGATTCATTCTGAGAATCCGCTTGTCTCCTCCACCTAAGCCGGCCAACTCCATGGACGGTGTGAAGTCAGTCGCGGTTATCAGTACATTTACTGTGGGGGTATGGAGTGGGGTAGTGGAATATACTTCACGACGCTGGTCAGGCCGGCCTGCTGAAGGTGACACGTGTAGCATCCCTACTCTGGTTGGGTACGTGCCCACTAGCCGGGCGGTGGTGGCGTAAGTAGCCGGTGTAGTGTATCATCAACGTCGGTATTAGGGAGACAAAGGCGGCCGGGCGTGATTCTGGCCACCCACTCCCTCGAGTGCCGCTGGCAACTTGTCCCACCAGTCTAGGCGTGTGTGCGTGGCCCGTGCGAGAGTCTCTCTCGTCGTGGCCACGTGCTTTTATTCGTGCGTGCGTCAAATCTGCGCGCTCCTAACCGGGCTCTCTCTTTCCCACGCGCACTCACGACAGAGCTTAGAAATGGACCCTCATCGCCATCCACAGCAGCAGCCACAACCCCAGCACCACCACGACAGCAATCACGAACAACACCACCATCATCGACATGACCCGTGCAGTAACCCACGCCCTCCCAAGCACCTCTGGCGGCAACCGCAGACGCGCATCCACATCGCTCGCAGGGTCCTCTCCGACTCCGAGAAAGATCGGGTGCTCAGGGAAGAGAGAGCGGCTCCGGTGAAGACCTGGATCGGCCCAGCCCTGCTCGGAGTTGGCCACTGCGGATCCGCCGACTCGGCGCTGAAGAGATCGCGAGCGGCACCGGAGCAGGAGCAGTGGGAAGAGACACGGTGAGGAGGAGGAGGAGATCAAGGGGGGATCGAACCGGAGAGTTTGAGGCTGCCCCGGGTCACGTGACTATGGCCATGCACGTGGCGTGCAATGCAGCGTCGTGTGGAGGTAGCGAGGGTTAGTGGATCGCCGCACAGATGTGGCGAAGCTGCCTTCCCCGTGATCGTCAAGGAGCCCATACCCTGGCTCGCCATGAGAGGGCGGTACAGCAAAGGGTGGACTCAATCCTGTCCTGTGTGTACGGGATCGAGTGTTGCCCCCTCGCACACATGGGGTTTTTTTTCAGCAGGTGCTCCGGTTCCCCACCCCCCCCCCCCCAACGTGCGTATGCATCTTCGTGTGTGGGAGATTGTGAGAAGTGAACACAAATTGTATAAATGACGCTGATATACAAACATTAATGATTGTTGTTGTTTACATTGATTACAAATCACAGCCCTGCAATTGCTGGCTCACGCCACTGCTTGCAGAAAGGGCCTTCAGTAGAGGGGGGCCTCTGTGGTGGCCCCTCTATGGAAGGTATTTGGCCTACTCTTCCACGCTGGCCAGTACGTCTTGGGAGAGGAAGTACCCACACTTTACGTCACCACGCGCGAGTTGCCGACCAACTTGCGTTAATCTCCCTCGCCCGGTATACAGGAGGTCGTGGGTTCGACCCTGACTGCTTGCTGTATATTTGGAGTTTGCGTGTCTCTCTCTCTCATCATCATCACGGTGGCTAGGAGATGTTAACTCCCTCGCCCGGTATACAGGAGGTCGTGAGGTCGATCCAGACCCTGATGCCTGCTGCTGCTGCATATTTGGAGTTTGCGGTGTGTCTCTCTCTCATCATCATCACGGTGGCTAGGAGATGTTAACTCCCTCGCCCGGTATACAGGAGGTCGTGGGGTCGATCCCAACCCTGACGCCTGCTGCTGTATATTTGGAGTTTGCGGTCTCTCTCTCTCTTCGTGGTCGCGTGGATTTTTCTCCGGGTCCTGCGTGTTTTTTTTTCCCACCACATTTAGAATCTACATCACCCCGCGTTGAGAGTAACTCGGCTGCGACTATAACTTCCCGCACATGATGATGATGATAAAGCCATTTCGTTGAGCTATCATTTTGTGATGGCCAGATGGCTTCTGAAGGAAAGGGCTACACAGCAGCTTACCTGGCAAATAAAGTTTCAACTGCCACGTCGGGAAAACCAACTTCAAATCTCCAGTGTTGCCCACCATTCCAGCGGGACATGGGGGTGTGGATGGAGAGAGGCGTGGGGGGCGAAATACAGAAACTAAACGGGGGGCATAAAAAAGTCCACATTTAACGTGAAACCACGTCCCAAAGAACGTGAAACCAGATTTTTATTTGAAGCTTTCGTGACTGCATGAATCCATACTCTTTGGTTCTTTCGGCAAAGTCATGACGTAGGTAGAAAAATAAAATGAATCACGACGTTTCGGGCGCAACACGAGCGCCCGATTCACGCAGCAGACCACGGCTTTCCCACCTGATGACGGACGCTTGTGTAGCGCCCGAAACGTCGTGACTTATTTTATACCTACGTGACTTACCGAGAGAACCAAAGAGAACGTGAAACCCAGATTTTATTTGGGTCTTTCTCTAAAGTCACACGTAGATTGCTTCAAAGAAAATAACAGCAACAACAAAAAACGACGACGTTTCGATCGCAACACAAGCGGTCGTCTTCAGGAAAACAGATGAATTCCTGCAGGCACGAAAGCTTTAAGTGAAGATTGAACGTGAAACCAGTTTTAAACGTTAAAACAGAATGAGTCCACACAATTTGCTCCACCTCGTCATGCTCACTTCGCTACAGCTTCCCCTACACCCCCAACCACCAAAATGTGATTTTTTTTTCCGCCGGATTCTTTTATTCACCGTATTTTTAAGTGATAGTTGGGGTGGGTGGATGGGTGCGTCTTATAATCCGGTAGCTGTGTGAGTGTGACCCCCCCCCTCACCCCCTATAGCCTACATAAAGACTGTCGGGGCAAGTGCTGTTAGCGAGCACCTATTAAGGCCGGCACGGCACACTTTGTGGGTTTTGTTGGCCAACGTCACGTCCCGCGCCGCCTTTGTCTCCCCGCCGTTGATGTGTACACACCGGAGTAGCAGACACTCAGTTAAGTGCGCCACCACTCCCCCCACAACACACGCTGACCAAAGACAAAGATCCCTCGTGTAGTATTTGTCGGACTGTTGGGACAGGTGGGGTGGGTGGGCAAGGTGGGCAAGGTGGGGTGGGTGGGCAAGGTGGGTGGGGTGGGGTGGGTGGGCAGGGTGGGGTGGGTGGGGTGGGTGGGCAAGGTGGGGTGGGTGGGTGGGCAAGGTGGACAAGGTGGGGTGGGGTGGGTGGGTGGGCAAGGTGGGGTGGGGTGGGTGGATGGGTGGGCAAGGTGGGGTGGGGTGGATGGGTGGGCAAGGTGGGGTGGGTGGGCAGGGTGGGGTGGGTGGGTGGGCAAGGTGGGGTGGGTGGGCAAGGTGGGGTGGGTGGGTGGGCAAGGTGGGGTGGGGTGGGTGGGTGGGCAAGGTGGGGTGGGGTGGGTGGGTGGGTGGGCAAGGTGGGGTGGGGTGGGTGGGTGGGCAAGGTGGGGTGGGGTGGGCAAGGTGGGGTGGGGTGGGTGGGTAAGGTGGGGTGGGGTGGGTGGGTGGGCAAGGTGGGGTGGGGTGGGTGGGTGGGCAAGGTGGGGTGGGGTGGGCAAGGTGGGGTGGGGTGGGTGGGCAAGGTGGGGTGGGGTGGGTGGGCAAGGTGGGGTGGGGTGGGGTGGGTGGGGTGGGGCGGGGTGGGCAAGGTGGGTGGGCAAAGTGGGTGGGCGGGGTAACGCACGGCCACGTGCTCAGGTGATGCACTCTCTCGCCATTATAAATCTACACTTTGTGTCTCGCCACTAACCACGGCAAATAATCATCACTGCGGTTGCAGTGTCGCGACTTACTTTAATTAACCACGCGATGACTCGTGTGAGGAACAGCCACGGAATTCTGAGGTTCATTCCTGATTGCGACGGCCCATTGGGATTCGTTATCTCTTGTGACTGATGTCTTTAAATGTAACCCACGCTGGGGACTTTAAATGTGGTTTGTTTGTTCATGTTTGTGTGTGTGTGTATACACGGTATGTGTTTGTGTACGGGCGTACCTCCATATACGTAGGGTTGCGTCGAAGACCCCGAACTTAAAGTGAAATAGCATACATCAAAAGGCGTTCGCCCACGTGGTCTCTTAATTATTATAATTATTATTATTGAGTTCCCCGAGAAAACATTTTAGTTTACCCAAAACCTAATAACAAAAAAACATATAACACTTTTCAACACAACTAAGATATTAAATACGGATGAATAATAACCGGACGGTTGTTGTACAGTACAGTACTGTAATACTGCACTAAGCACCCGGCGACCCGAGTTCCGATTCCTGCTCACGACCAACATCGATGACGAATATCTGAACCGGTCCTGGTTTTTCCCCTAGGTCGACTCGGCCTCAAATGTAGTACCTGGTGCGACGTGTAGACATCGCCACTGGGGAGACAAAGGCGGCCGTGCGTGGTGCTGGCCACCCACCCCCTCGTGCGCCGTGCTGCTGCTTGCTAACAGCCCCGGCAGTATGGGAGGGCTGCTGCTGCTACTGTGTAGGAACCTCCTGGTTACTACACCAGCAGCAGTAGCCCACAGGGGATTATTGTGTCCGTCCGTCCGTCGTGCATCCAAACATGGGAGGGGTGGGGTTGGGTGGGGAGGGGCTGGGTGGGGAGGGGAGGGGAGGGGCTGGTGGGGGGTGGGAGGGGTGGGGCTGGGTGGGGGGGAGGGGCTGGTCACCCCGTGGTGCCCCCCTTATAAAACTCAACGTTTAACCTACTCACGCCGGCTTGTGCCCGCCCTCACAGTCGGGCATATTGTGCTGAACACACCACGTGGTGGTGGTGCCGTTGACCCTGGCCACTGACCGAGCAACCCGACGTTCCTACTACCAGCTCCTCCCTCCCTAGGCAGGAGAATGTGTTCGGGGGGAATCTTTGAATCTGTGTCGGTGCTTCCCTTCGGTAGAAACAGCTTCACGAACGGTTGCCGTAAAAATGTAACATCGAGGCACGAGTAGACGCAGAGACAGATACAAGTAAGGCGTACACATTAGACAGAGGTCAAATAGGAGCAGCCATAGAGAAACTTGGGAGACGCAAAACCCAGGGACACGTAGACACAGAGAGAGAGACTCAGGGTAGAGACAACTCGGGAGACGTGAGGACAGGGAAACAACAACATCAACATCAATACGGAGAGAACATTTACTGTAACCACAACAGACACACGGATCGCGTCTTCCTCATTTCCCCACCACTGCCTTCACCCCCTCCATCACCTCTATTCTCTATCCTCCACATCCCCTGTTCTCCCTGTAGAGTAGTAAGGGGGCGTTCATAAATGACGTCACGCACCTGGGGGGAGGGGTCAGACATTTGTGACGATGTGTGACGAGGAGGGGGGGGGAGGGGTTTGAGAAATGTGACGTCACATCAAAATGCGCAACTTTAAATAAATATAGACAACACGTTCTTCTTAATTAAATAGACTCTTTAATAAATGTTTTCGCCTACAACATCAGAGTGCAGCGTCACATTAAATACGCACTACAATGACAATAGTTTAAAGCGATTTGAAGCATGTTTTATTTGGGGGGGGGGGGGGTCAGAGCTTTGTGACGTCATATTAGAGGGGGGGTCTGACTTTTTGTGACGCCGTGTGACGAAGGGGTGGGGGGTCAAAAATCGCGTGACGTCATTTATGGACGGCCCCAAGTTGCCTCTCCTCCCCGTGTCTCCCTCCTATTCCTCCTCCTCGTGTACTGGACATCTGAGGTTGTCGGATTCCTCATGCGGTCTAAATACCGATTCTGTATCTCTCCTCTCTCTCCTCCCCGTGTCTCCATTCCCTCTGTGCTCCCCTCTCCCTGCCCATCTATGTCCATGCCCCCTTCACCTTTTTTAAATGCTGGT